TGGTCTACACTGTCACAATTTTGGCAGGACCAGCGAAGTGTGACAATGGACTTAGAAGAAAAAAACGAGTTGAATGACCTCACAAAGAGTTTCCTTCACATCACACTCTTTTTGGAACAAGATAGGCTGTCAAAACTACATTTATGTACTTGTAGTCCTTGATGAATTCATTGTCCAGTGACTCATAGTGGCTTTAACAAGGAGGTGTTGGGTAAATGGGAACATGTATCCAACATGCAAGGGGGTACCGGGATTTAAATCCCAGACCAGAGGCTGGTTGGTTGGTTCAGCCACCAGGCCGCTATTTTTTTTTTTGACATACCAAAATTTCAGTGCAAAACGACGAGAGGGTGATTGGACAGTGCTCAGATAACTGCCAGAATGCATGAGCTTGAATATATTGGGTCTATCTGAACATAAAGAAGCCAAAGAGATAGGACTTAGAATTGAGATCACATGTTGTGAAATACCTTTCTCTACAACATCACTGCCCGAAAACAGCAAGCCCCTACAGTGACTTACTTTAATTCAATGTAGCAAGCAGCTCAGTAGTTCAATTTCAATAGTGAATTTTATGGTCAGCTTCATCGTAGTATCATTTCAAGCTCGACGGGGAGCTCAAAAAATGGGTTTTTACCAAGTTTTCACAGCCTGCTGGGCATTGGGTGATGGAAAAGGGGGAAAAATGGCATGTGGATGACATCATATTTCTTAAAATGGATGTGTGCCTGATTACGTTGGGTGGTTGGTTCAGCCCAAGTCCCACTAAAAATAATTTCGACGTCCGGTCCTTATTTTAAATCCCGGTACCCCCTTGCCAACATGTATCTTGAAAGAAACCAGCCAGACAACTGGATGATCTCCAATAGAAGGGAGTACTGGATGCAATGGGGGTGTGAGGTTGTTGCCAGAGATATTGTCGGTGTGGTGTGTATGCCAGATGTGCATAAGGATTCTGTTGCAGTCGCATCAGTATCGGCAAGTGTGAAGTGTTCACTCTGAACTTCTCGCATAGCTGAAGCCAAGAGGGAAGGAGGAGGCAAGAATGGGTGGATCTGGGATCAACACCCATGAGTGAGCAATGAGCAGTTACAAGATACTCAGCTGGCCCAACATGATTATGCATACTGTAGGAAGTACAGATACACAAAGCACTACATGTAGTGCAAGAGGATGGCAAGACTACTGACAAGATGGTGGTTCAAGACAAAAGATCAATATATTATGTAAGATATCCAAATCTAGCTATATACCACTGTTTGACTATGGCCTCTGGGCATTCCCTTCCAATCCTATATCACAGCAAGGCATCGGCATTGATGGGGTAGCTGGGTGCAGAGGTTGGTTGGGGGTATTGCAAACATTGTGTGCATGAAGTCACGCTCGTAAAGCCTCCAGGTACGCCATCTGTGCAAGCCATGCTGCATGTATTGTGCTGTTTCGCCTTGCCTCGTTGCTATTTGCCGCGCTTTTGGAGGAGGGGGGGTCCAGGTCATGTTCGGTTTAGAAGGGACAGGTTGCAGAGATCACATCATGGCCCAGTATGGTCTATTGTAGAATGGTAAGCCAAATTCAAGTCTGTAAAACATACTTACAAGCAAGGGTGTTCAAGGTGCCATAGTTAAGTGTCAACACTAAGTACGTCACTCGACACCAGTCGTCTGAATTACTCAGTACGTGAAGACCTTCATCCAGGCTGGTTGTATCAAGGGGAGGTTGCTGGACAATGCTGTAGAGCGGGTGAGATTAAGCTTAGCAGTGTCTTGAATGATGTTGACTAACATTGTTTGAGCGTTGTTCACCGAAATTTTGCTAAGTCCTTTGTCACAAATGTGTGACCCGCCAAAGTGACAACAGGTTAGACCAGCCGTTACTTCAACAACGATCGGAGTTTGAAGTAACGGTTGGTGTCGAGCCTAGAAAAGACCCCCATGGCCCCTGGGTAGTTTGTTTGTACCTGTTTGCTATTTATGACCTTGGGAGACCTTGACAAGCAAGGTGATTAGGGTCACCAACATGGTGCTGTCGTATCTCACAGATGGGATGATGATCCTCGGGTTCTCAGTGAGGTCAAATATACGATGGGGAACTTTTAGAGGTGCTAGGCCTACAGCAGAACTTTTGTAAAAAAGAATCAAGGCATTGTCCAGCGTCCTGTTTCCAAAAAAACTTACGGATACTTTGGATATGTCACCCAGTTCCGGATAGTGTACCGCTACTGCTGTACGTCTGCAGGGTACGCTTCAAAAAAAAAAACCCACAATCTGATCAGCAACACACCTACCCAGGCGTGTGCGTTGGGGGATCAAGATGCAGGTTGACCATTATTTAAAAATGAACCCAAATGCACAAGTTGGTACATGAAAGAAAAAATCAATCTTCTCAAGGTATGCCTGAATGTGAAGTCTCTGTCTAGGAGTCGAACCCAGCTAATGCTCGTAACGGTGACCAAATGACCGATATATTAACAGAGATTGTTGAAAGAGGGTCTTAATTTGAAGTGTCATCCACATATGCGATTTTGGGTGCAAAACTACTCCGTAATTCACGAGATGTTGGTATACAACTTGTAAGGAGATATTGAGGAGATCCTACAACAATATCTTCGGCTATCACCGATCGGAGTTCAAATCGAAAACAAATTTCTTCCTCCACCCATCGACAAGACCCCACTTTGCGCCCTCAAGAAAAACAAGATCAAAATGGTACGTGAGACCCTCTTGCGCGGAGGAGTTCGACCAGCAGTAGTTCTCTATCGCACGTTTTGTGTTGGATGAGTGAGAACTTGGGATGGATGGTGAGTTTTTGGAGTGGATGACGTTTTTGAGCCCTAACAAACATCTCTAATAGAACTGCATAAAAAGTAATTGAGACTCGTTCTCGGCTGAGCCATTGAGCTATGAAGCCTACTACTTTACTTTTGCTGGGTCGTCCATACTCCTATGAGTACGCACGACATTAGAGCTCCGAAGCGCGATGGTCTTCTTCTTTTCTGAAGAACATCGCTCACTTCGTCTCAATGACCAGCCCAAAGCCAAATCCGGAACTGGCAAGAAACCCGCCGCGGCCCCCTTTGGTGCGAGCAAGACCACCAAGGCGAAGAAGAACCCTTTGTTCGAGGCTAATGCCAAGAACTTTGGTATCGGTGCGTTTTCTTGTCGTCATCTCAATCGGAATTCTCGAAACTCAGCTTGGACTACACACAGGCCAGGATATCCGACCCCAAACCGACCTCACGCGTTTCGTCAAATGGCCCGAATACGTCCGCCTCCAAAGGCAAAAGGTCATTTTGCACCAACGTCTCAAAGTCCCACCCGCCATTGCCCAGTTCTCGCATACCTTGGATAAGAACACCGCTACGCAATTGTTCAAGCTGTTGAACAAGTACCGCCCCGAGTCGAAGCAGGAGAAGAAGGCCCGTTTGACGGCTGCTGCTGCGTCTGCTGCCGAAGAGAAGGAGAAGGACGCCAAGGTCCGTTCATTCCCTCCCTTTCATTCGCTACTTAACCTCTGACATTATTACGAGCAGGACTCCAAGAAACCCATCTTCGTCAAATACGGCCTCAACCACATCGTCGCCCTCATCGAAGCCAAGAAAGCCGCCCTCGTCGTCATCGCACACGACGTCGACCCTATCGAGCTCGTCGTCTTCCTCCCCGCCCTGTGCCGCAAGATGGGCGTCCCCTACGTCATCGTGAAGGGTAAAGCACGTCTCGGAACCGTCGTGCACAAGAAGACGGCTGCTGTTGTCGCTCTTCAGGAAGTGAAGAGCGAGGATCAGAGGGAGCTCGCTACGCTTGTTAGCGCTGCCAAGGCTAATTTGTGAGTTTTCGTTGTTGTTGTTGTGATTGTAGAGTTACTGATGGGGTTGGTCTATAGCTCTGACAAGTATGAGGAGCAGCGCCGTGTGTGGGGTGGTGGACTTCGTGGGAACAAGTCTACCCAGATGCTTAGGAAGCGCGCCAAGGCTGCTGGGCAGAGTACGACTGCTGCTTCGCTTGGGAAGCTCTGAGCGTCTCGCGGGGGACGTTTGGAGCGGGGTCCCTTGGAACCTTTTGAGCGGTTTGGGAGTCTGTTGATGCGTACTTCCAGCTTATGTTTATGCACAAATTTATCGTCATGTTCATGTCATGTTCGTATGCGTTATGTGGTCCTTGATGTTGTGTTATGCAGTGTATGTAGTCCAGAATGCCTCGTCTCTGAGTGCTTTTATCATGTCTCTGGTTTTTCGTTGCTGGTTTGAAGCCGTGACTCTCTTGCGGCTCTCTCTCTTGTGCTTACCTTACCATCATCATCCAGGACCCCCGAAAATCCTGCTAAATGATAGATACTGAAATTGCCGATTTCCAGATTCTTGTCCGTACCAATTTTGGCGAAGTCTGTCCGGATTTTATCTAGCCTAGACCAAAATTTCGAAAAGTTGTCCGAACTGCGTATCTAGCCCAAGTCAGGGCCAAATTTTTTTGTGCGGCAAAAGGTTCGAACCGCAGACCACACGTCAGGCTTCGTAAAGTACATACTTTTTTTCCGTTGAGCTACGCGACCATAGTTGTCCGGTTAGTATCTAGCCTCTGATTCTTCTCGCAAGCCTGTCCGGATTCTGTATCTAGCATTTTGCTGATTTTTTCGAAAACCTGTCCGGTTTGTATCTATCCTAGCGCCTCATTTTGAAACATTCTGTCCGGATCGGTATCTACCATTTAGCAGGATTTTCGGGGGTCCTCATCATCCCTGCTTTTCCCAATACTTGTATCTGTGCTTTTCTCTCTGGGCCTATGACAATATATATTATGCCTGTTGGTGCTTAAGGCAAACTAAGAGACGTCAAGCCATCCGATTTGTAAGACTTATTTACATAAGATGGTATCCACAATAATATTTTTCTGAGCGGCACATAAGTTGCACATAAGAGTTGGCTCTATATAGCGCGTTACATTTCCGCTACTCCGTTAACAACCGAAAACCTGGATGGGAATTTTCCACTCCTGACCACCTGGAATCTACTGAATCCTCGCTGATGCACTCATCGGGATCTCGTGAAAGTTCTTGGGTGGGGAGTAATTCCGGAAGAGGTCTTTCCGTATCAAAAAAAGTAATTTGACCACTTACGTCAGTATACGTGTCGTCAGACGACCAGACTTTGATATTGGAATTTATAAAGAAGTAGGGCGTCTGGGGTTCAGGCAGGGTCACTACCCCAGGTATGGTTTCGACACCGGGGCGAACAATCCAAATGCTGTTTGTTGCATGGATGAAGTCAATACCCTCTACGGTAACGTGGGTTGCGCTCGTTTGGGAGGGATACCCCACAGGCTTGGTAGTGGCTCGTGGGCCTCCCAGTACATGGACTGCAGAATTAGCTCTGGCAAAGTTAGACTTAGTGCTTCTGAGATGGGTAAGTCGTGGAAAGACATCTTCCAAGACGTATGGACCCCTCGAGAATTCGGCTGGTTGTGAAGAGGCCACTGAAATGTAAAACTCGTCCTCAACGTCGATGAAGTGGCAGTTTATGGCTGTGACATGTGTCGCATTCGGAAACACAAGTGGTCCAGGTCGTGCGTTCTCCTTCAGTGGTGCGTTGAACACCGTGGACAGGATATCCGGGAAACGTGTTTGAAAATCCGGAATCGTACTCCAACGATCGACCAATTGGCGTTCGTCTTCCCACTGGCACGTCGTATCAAGGTATGGGCAACCCCGCATCTGATGTTTTTTGAGAAAGATTCGTGCAGTTTTCATAAACAAATCACCGAGCGGGTAGCAATGATACTGGGGGAGAGTTGTGATGGTGTCATCGAAAGAATTTGGGTCAGAGGTGAGAAATTTTTGAACAGTAAGGTGTGTAGGTGTGACGAATAGACTTTCCATAGAAAGTGTTGTGCTGATTAGGTGACCACAGCCGGATATCAGTTTGAAAGGATCATTGATAGTTTTATTTGGGTCCCAATCATCACCCATTTCCGCGATGTTGAGTAATTGGATGAGGAAATTGATTTCAATACTTTCATAACAGACCACCAAATGAAGCGTACGTCGAAGGCGAATCCTTGAAGCCCCAGGACGTTCGTCGATCCGTTTGAGAGAACGTATGAAAGTTTCTTCAAGCCCTTTTGGTAAGCTTTGGAGTGCATTTCGGATATCGTAGTCTGTTTCGCACTCCAAGATGCTCATAACTTGAAAAAATACATAAAGAAACCTGCATATCGGTTGAAAAAATTAGACCAATCAGTGTTCATATCTTTACGAAATGTAGCTCACATTCCGTCAGCATTTTTGACGAGAGTTTCGATGATCTCCTCCCGTAAGGTGCAATCCTGTACAAAATTTGGGTTCTTCTCAATATGATTATCGAACGTCTTGACAAGGTAACTCCTGATGTCGTGTTCGATGTCGTCTGAATTGATCTTCTGTTCTCGAAGTGCGGAATGGGATCGAAAGCTGCGCCTAATGTCATCCTCATCCCTACTGGATATAAAGAGGTGGATGGATGATGGAAGCTGATGGAGCAAGCGGAGGATGCTTTCCCTGTCCTGACATTCATCCAGGGCGTCGATGACAATTGTAAGGTGTCCGCAAATTGAGCAAGTTGCGAGCCCGCTCAATACATCAGCGAAGGGTATGTCGGTCACTGATCGAGTCCTCGAAAACTTGGCTAGAATGTCGTGGACAGGAGATGGCGATTGTGGAAGAGAGTCGTCAAACGAGCGGAGTAGCTGTCCCAGAAGACTTCGAAAGAGGTATGCCGCCTTACTTTTCTCCGGAAATTTATAATCGCAGTAAAATGATAACAATCGAGAGTTGGGGCGTTTGTTTTCCTTAAGATCCTCAATCACGAGGGACCTGGGAATATGTCAGGCTTGCAGATCAGCGCATAATATGAGTGATATCTTACGTTGAAACTGTCTTTCCCGAACCCGCTGTTGACGGTAAGCATGTAGAAGTTGAAAACCTGGATGACTACCCACGCTGTCCATTGAGCCAGAAAAGCGAACCAGAGGAGTCGACACCCCACGAATCTCGCCAATTCTTGTATAGCGGAGCCTCGAGAAGCCAGGTACCAGAGTCCAAAGACATATTCTTTCCGATGGATTGTGCGTGCTTCTCGCCGCAATCGGAGTCCTGGAAGTGTAAAAGGTCTAGCAGGTGATCCATCTCTTCTCGCCACTTGGCGATGACGTGTTCTTCTCGGTCAGCATGGTGAGCCTCGCGATCTGCATGTTCAACTTCATTTTTGAGCATAATGTGCCGTTTTTCGAGACTAGCGACAACAGCATCAAAGTCGCCCTCCAACCAAAGGGACAAAACAACAATGGCAGGGAAATCTAGGATAATGAATTAACAGGTACTGATGTCGATGCGATGGGAGTAGAACATACTTCGCATGCGCTTCCTACGGTCGATAAAAGTCTTTTTTATCGTCATAAAAACAGTAAGGATATCGCCATAGACGTTGGCAAGTTCCTGGCTCCAAATTCAACGATTGTAGTGACGATGACAGCAAACAGCGCACCGTCATGACCCGATCATTCCCCTTGTAAATCGCAGTCGCGTACCTGCCGTAAAAATGGAGGTTTTGGCCGACTTTTTGAAGAACGCCCACAATGCGTTCGAAATACTTCGAGTGTTTTGAGACCGCCTAGCGACAGCATTCAGTAGTTTACTCTTTGATAAAATAAGCATTGCAAGTTCGCGTACCCGTATGATGAACTTGATCCCGCCCCAAGCCAGCCCAGCGATCGGGTTCACGGAAACCAACGCATCAACCGAGCTGAAGAATTTTTCGAACTGCATGATAACATCCGATATACGGGAGGTGTAGGCACGTAACTTCGACCTACGGTGGTCATCCTCGTGTTGTTTGATTTCACTATACAGCTCCTCTGGAGTCGCGCTCTCCGGAAATTCATAGTCTGATTCCCATTTGTCCCGATGTCTTTGAAGAGCAATTTGGAAAGCTTGGTTGGCCTGTGAGTCGGGACTGCCAGTGGATGTCATACTGTAAGCAAGGGGAGAAGGGAGAGAAAAGTGGGCAAACCAGGGACTCGGAACCAGTGGGTTTACAGCTGAAAGCAGAACGATAGGCCATGCCAGATCGACACATACATAGGGCGGACTCTCAACTTTTATTGTGGTACTAGCGTGACATCAATTCGGAGGTTGAAATTTAACACGTTGTGAGAACTCAGCGGCCCCAGCCATCACGTCGCTTTGAAATTTTGGGAGTCCGCCCTGAACATGTGTCGATCTGCCGTGGCCTATCGTTCTGCTGCCGCAAGGGACAAGCAAGGGAAGGCCTTGAGGCGACAGCCCTGTCACGCGTCTTGATATGGCCAACACACGGTCACGTTACTTGATTTACTTCTACTCTCCACTACCGTCATCATATCTGTCCTTTCGAGCGCAAGGAGGACTTCTCTTATCAAAATTCAAAAGGACGGACATGTTGCGCCCGTCATTGAAACTCATTTTGAGAAGGTCGGTACCAGCTTTGAGGCCGGCGATTGGGACACCAAGGAATATTTCAATTGTTGGCTCAGGAAGAGGGCAAGGGCGTTTTAAGGTATAATGTCTCCTTATTGTTTGTTGAGGATGAAGCTAATTCTGAATAGGCCGAAGCGTGTCCTGCGAAACGCGCGCCAGCCCCGGTCAGCGAGAGATTTGCGTCCAGATACCAGTTTCCCGATGAACAAGGAACACCTCCAGCTCAATTCGATTTCCTGGGCCTTGAATCGTTTGAAAAGATGTCGCATAATCCAAAGTTTTGGTTGCCACTCCCCGACCCTGACATTGCGCTCTCGACCGCGTATCTTGTCCTTGTCCGGATGATCATGTACATGGGCCGTCCAAAGGTATCGGACGAGGAGAGAAACAAACACTGGGAGGTATATATGCGCTCCTTTTCCTGCCTGATCACACCCATTAACAAAACGAACAGGATTTTGAGTTTGCGGCTACCCCACCAACTTCCGAAATTGGGCGCGCTAGGACCTGCGTTTCGATGTGCACCAGCGTGATTGCTCTCATTCTCTCGTCGACCCCGAACGACTCCCCATTACGCATGTCCCATCCACAAGTTTTTAAAACCAACGAGGCTCTTGTAATGTTGCACGACTCCTTTTTGTCTGACAGAGTAAAAGATGGGAAGGGGTGGGAGGTGAGTGTAGATCAAACAGAAGAGTGGCGCGAGTTTTGGAACTGTGCTCTTGCGGTGTTGACGCAACTTGCGATGGACTTGGATTTGGCGGGGTTTGGGGTGTCGGATGAGACACCGGATGAAGCTTGGAGGGAAGCATGAGCTGTTGTGGACTCGGCGCCCTGACTATACTGCATTTTTCTTCTTGAGCGGGATTTTTTGTTGCAACTCCCGACTTTGAGTAACTTCTGAGATGAGTTGAGAACAAAAACCCTAACCCTAACCCATCTCACGGCTTCCCTGAAAATTTCCACCTCCTCCACGTCTTCCGCAAGCCCCAACCATGTGACGTAAATCCAACGAAAAGTCCTGTTTTACTCTACGTCGTCCTGAAAGGCCCGCATCCAAAATATCCTCTTCATAGACTTGGATAGTGCGTGGTTCACGGACTAGGTTGCAATCCCCCAAGTCCCGAAACCTGGACGAGTTCACAACCCACAAGCAACCAGCATTTCAATCCGCCTTTACTCCATCGACCTCCATCGTTCACACTCCCTCATCTATCCCAGACGACTCATCATTACGCAAGGCCCACTCAAACACCTTTGATACCACTCAGGAACTGGTGCGTTGCGCGATCGAGATATTCTTGGCATATCGTGTGCAAGAGGAAAAGGGACGGGAAATGATGACAGAACAACTCCGAGGTGGACCGAATTTTGGAGGTGCACTTTGCTGGCAGTGCTGACGGAACTTGGGAATTTATCTAATTGGACGAAGCGGGTTGTGAGAAGTGGGCTGGTACTTGGAGAGAAGGAAAGATTACCTGGCTCCAGCAGACAGGAAGACGCTATTTTCATCCTCCGAAAACATCGCAACTAATTCGCAACACTTCGGGGGCTGTATCTTTGGCCATGAGGCTTCAGGCTCTCCAAAGAATAGCAAAAAGAATAGCTTGCGGTTTCTGTGTCCACGTCAAGATTTTTTCATTAGGGTCTCGAATCCCTGCTGGTCATACCCTTGGGCGCCTCCAGTTTTGTTTCAAACAGTTATAGATCGATGAAAGAGGACACGATCATTTAGCAGGCTCAGCTTGTCCCCCCCCCTTCCATTCATGTCTACGCCCTACTATGGCCCAGACGAGTCGGCGTATAACATTTTTTTGGAGCGAACGTTTCTAGCGGGGGATGTGATTTCTGGAACGGGATACGGTTAGCACACTCAATATCCTTGTCTGTCTTTCCCGCTCACAACTGTCATAGGCATCCAAGTCGTCCTCTTTGTATCCTGCGCGACCATTCTCTACTCGCAGTACTCCCGCTCCCTGCGTTCCTCCTCTTCCTTCTTAATCAAGGGGGACACAAGAGCCCTGTTCCTCCTCCTCTATATAACCCTCCTGTTCGTCATCGAATCGATCTATACCGCAGTTCAAGCACGCACTGTCCAATTAATGTATATCGATAACCGAAACTACCCTGGGGGACCATGGGCTTACTTCCTTGCGACGCAAAACCTCCCGGTTAATGTGATGTTCTACGCCACGCTGTTTGTGTTGACGTTTCTCTCAGATTTACTGGTGGTGAGTATTTCCTTGACAGCGTTTTGGACACACTTGACATACGAAACAATAGCTCTGGCGCTGTTGGGTCATTTGGACAGCTTCCGGGCGGCTTATTGCCGCCATCGTGGTTGCGTTCCCTACTACTCTCGTCCTAGCCTCCTTCGGTAATGTTTCATCCCTTGTTTTTCCATGTCCTCAATTCTCACGTTTTACCTAGTTATGGGAACACTCTGGACCCTCCAATCATCCCAACCCGGGCTATCGCTGTACAGCGCCCTTCCTATGGCTTATGGAACGTCATACTACATCATCTCCCTCTCAGTCAACATCATTCTCACTATCCTCATTACCATCCGTCTCCTCCTCTATCGCCGGCGTGCCCGAATGGCTATTCAAGGGGATGAAGGCTCCGAATACCTCTCTTTGGCGGCGATAGTGATCGAAAGCGCAGCGCTCTATTCCGTTTTTGCGCTTATCTTCATCATCACATACGCGATCAATAATCCGCTCAATCAGATTTTCTTGGGCGTCGCTTCCTCTGCTCAGGTAAGGTGTTGATCATACTTACCATTCTCTGGGAACCCCCGCTCAAAGGACGCTGATGCTAACTTACTGTTCATACAGCAAATCGCGGGATACCTCATTATCTACCGTGTCGCCCAAGGGCGCGCATGGAATAGCGGCACCTTTTCTCAGACGGGCAACCCGTCGTCGAGCTTACAGTTTGGCGGCTCCTCGTATGGAGGTAACAGCAATGCCTACCCTGCGAACCGGAATCATCGAAGAAGCGCTGTTCTGGTGGTTGAAGAACCTCCGTTGTCCTTGGCGATGGCGTATAAAAAGAATTTGGAGTGATCATCTTCGACATACCTAGAGTCTGAGGCAAAATGCGACCCCAACGTCGTAGTTGTCGGGTGGGTGAGACCAAGCTTTTTGACGCACTATCTATGTATTACCCGCTGGAAGACGGGACTGTAGTTTTATTGATTTGCTAAATGCTGCCTATTGAATAATATTGACGCGTCTTGGACCACACGTGACGTGAAATTCTCCGGAATCCAAGATCACCTCCTTCCTTTCTTCCTTGCTCCCTGGTCCTGTTCTTATTTCAACAGAATTGACAGCTGTAAGCCCGACGTTAATCACTGACAGCTTTGCTCAATCTCGACTCCCGTCTTGGGCCTTGGCTTCATACAAATTGTGATGGATAAGGGTTCCATTCGGGTGTGGTTTTCTGAGACCAACATTGATCCTCACACCCGAGCATTTCGGTAACGGCCAGCGGTCTCATCATCTCAGCCTCTGGTACGCTTCTACACGCGCGGTTCGCTCAACCATAATGGCTCCTTATACCGAGCGAACTTTCTCTTGAGTCTTGTGGTAACTGCAGTGTCGCAGGTTCAGTGGGCACTCTTTGGAAGCACTATATTCTACACCACCGTCTTGTGGTAGGCTTTCCCCCAAGGCCAGTGTTACCTTATCCTGCCCCTCGGGGCACCACTTGGGCGTTTCCGTACGATAATATTACTGTTGCACGATTTCCCGTACGAGCAAACATTACATATTAACGACGTCGTACGCTAGTTGAAGGTCCTTAGGTCTGAGCCTGCCTAAATTTACGTTCACCGTACTTGTTTGCAGATTTTATAGCGAGGATTCAATTCACCTGTTTTTTTTTTTGATGGGAGTTTGCTTGAAGAGCGTCTCCCCGTTGATCTCGGAAGGATAGTCGCTAAATCGTAACTATTATAAGACACAGACACTCGCAACGGAACGGAAGCCGATAGAGACCAGTCACCAGACGGTGCTCAACGATAAGAAGAACGAAAGGGACTTTACGACATCTGCAGCCAAGAGACTCCGCACCGACGCCCGGCCGATCAGGAACGCCCAGCAATAAAATTCATGTTACGGCGTTTTGAATTCATGAAGAACGACGCCGACCAGTGCATCAGTGCGCCTCCGGCGGTTTGTTTCAGTGCTACGGCGTGTGGTCTAGAGTAAGCGTAAGCTCTGTTGTCGTAAGGATTGGGGCAGGCAGTGTAACCACAGGGAACTGTCGAAAGATAAGTATCCAAGATTATCATGGGCGCCCAAATCTAACCTTAGACTCTATCTGAATCAAAGTTGACGGAGAAAAAAGGACAAGGTGAGATACATACAGTCGTTTATAGTTGGCAGCTCTTCCCTTGCCTAAATAACACAATCGCAGCCGGTGTCTAGCCGCTTGAACTATGCCGCTCGTATTTCGTTGGACGACGCCAAGGCGCAACACGTGCTGGACACGAGTGATTTGTTACGTAATATGGATCCACTCGACTTCACTCAGTACTCAGTACTCAGCTCTCAGCGCTCAGCATCAACGCTTGGAAAGACTTCTATTTTCAAGTTTACACCAATCGTAAGTCAACTAGTCAAGGGCCGCGCGTTTTGTTTGGCTCAAGCTGTCTTCATAGCACCCAAACCAAACCAATACAAAACTCTTCGGCCTGACTCGGACTCAACCAAACTCCGAATGCACAGTCGGAGGCCATGCACACTCACAATTACGAACGATTGACCAATTGGTCAAAGGGTTCCATAGATCTCCCTGTTTTCAGGCGATCATGGGTTACGGGCGCTGACTTCCTCACTGTTTATCTTGTTCCAATCCTTCCCAAAGGGATAGTTTGCGTACCACAGCCGTGCACAGTTTGGGTGTCCACGACCTATCCAAATTGATATCACTGGCTCAATGCGCGCCTCATTTTTAATTTGGCACGAGGTCATAAAAAACCATGGGGCGAACACGTTCATCCCAACTTCTGAACGACTCTCTTGGGTCCCCACCCCCCACATCCTACGAGCGCTTCATGTCCACGAAATACTATGGCCCAGACGAACCTGCAGACGATGTTTACCTAGAGCGGACGTTCCTAGCTGGAGACTTTATTACTGGAGTGGGATATGGTCAGCGCTCGTTCTTCCAGGTGTCTGCATCGCCGTCCTGCTAACCAAAGAGATAGGTTTCCAGGCCGCCCTATTCATAAACTGTGCAAAGTTACTCTATTCAAGATACTCCAAGTCTCAACGTTCGGCCTCTTATCCCTTGTTCAAAAAGGATGGCAAAGCCCTTTTCCTCCTCTTCTACGTAACCCTCCTCTTCGCCATCGAAACCCTCTATGCCGTAATCCAAGCGCAAACCATTCAGAGCATGTATATCGATAACCGAAATTACCCAGGAGGGCCATGGGCCTACTTCCTAGCCACCCGGAATGTGCTGCTCAATGAGATTTTCTACGGCTCGCTGTTCATCTTGACATTCCTCGTAGATTTATTGTTGGTGAGTCTGTCTTATGAGTGACTAGTACTTGGATGCTTATTAACGTTTCGGGAGAGTAGCTCCGGCGCTGTTGGGTCATTTGGACGGCCTCCGGAGGGCGCCTTATACCGAGCATCGTGATTGCGCTTCCCGCGCTCCTGGTCTTCGCATCATTCGGTAAATCTTCCCCCATCCTCACTGCACTTCTCATATCTTACCGGTCGTCTAGTAATGGTAATGGGGACCCTCTGGAACCTAAAATCATATTCCCAAGGATTCACTTTGTACAGCGCCCTACCCATGGCCTACGGAACAGCCTACTATGCTATCTCACCCGCTGCCAACATGCTCCTCACCATCCTCATTACCGCCCGTCTCCTCTTTTACCGCCTGCGCGCAAAGAAATACCTTCGATGGGAACAAATCTCGGAATACTTTTCTTTGTCAACTATCCTAATCGAGAGCGCAGCGCTCAATTCTATCTTTGCACTCGTTTTTGTTATAACATTCGCAATCGATCACTCGCTGAATCAAGTCTTTTTGGGCGTGGCTTCATCCGCGCAGGTAAGCTGATGTGGCCCGTTTTGAAAATATCGCTGATGTTCCTTGTGCAGCAAATCGCCGGATACCTCATCATCTCTCGTCTGGCTCAAAATCGTGCATGGAATAGCACTACACTTGAGTCTGGGGGAAGTGGATCAACGTTACTGCAGTTTGACGCCCACTCGTCTGTGGGCGACTATTCGCGACCTGTAAGCCAAAGCTTCCGTCAGAGTTCCGTGATGGAGGGCTTCCGTCAGAGCTCCGTGATGGAGGAAGACCCGCGGTTGACGGCGTATAGGCCATATTCTGGGTCGTCGGCATTTCTGAACGCAACTTCAAGGTCGCAGTTATCGCTCCACGGCTAGTACACTTACTATCAAGAAAACCGGGATGTTGTGTCTTTCTCTCTTGGACTTTACTCTCAACGGTGAAACCCCTCTGTATCACTAGAACACTCTCCTCCCTAAGAACGTTACATCTGGTAGAAACTTTATGAATAGCCATAAATATAGTATAGTGTGTAAATTTATGCAAATCGCGACACCTTAATTCTAGCTTGAGGGACCAGGTCGAATATTGGCGTACCCCCGTCTCCCACGATTTTTGAGTCATTCATCCATTTCTAAAATCATGCATAATTCGACCTACCGTGAGTAGGTAGTAAGATGCTAAATAAGAATCGGACAATAGATCAAGCCTAAGAAAATTGTAGTCAGAGTATCTGACTGCCATCGCAACCGCCGCGGTCGTTGCCTTGCCCCCTCTGAATAGTATTCCTAGGAGATTACCTGGTTCCAATTGGGTTGTGCCGGTATATGGCACGACTATTTTGGATTTGGTAATAGCTACACACGTATTTCTGGATACATTTAGCTGTCCACTGAGGCTATTTGAGCTATGAGTATCCGTTCTGTGGTACTGACTCCCTCGAGCAAAGTTTCGAAGATGAGCGCAACATCACACTTGTGTAGGTAGTAGATTTTTTAACAAAAGCTTTTACATAGGTACATTCTGAAATGATTTCAATTCAATAGTAGGAGGCGGATTCAAGTTCACTTACCCTAGGCTCACATTGGAAGCCCTAGAATTGTTGTTCTCCTCTCGGATTTCTGGCTGAGAGACGGACAAGTCTATCCATCATCGGGGGAGCACCTGTACCAGAATAACTCTGATTCTTCGACATCCTGTGGCTTCCCGAATAAAATATCTCTGTATGGAGGATCCGCTTGACCAAAAAACCTGGTTAATACATTAATCGTCGAGCCTCACGAAATTGCCAAATACCTTGTTTCTCTCCAACGTATAAAAGAGAATATTTCCCCTGCTGAATCCAGCAACGACTATCAATATCCGCCAGCAGGAGCGGAGTCCATTCGTGAATAAGAGCTTCTGCGCGCTTGTAGAACCGATACTTCTCTTCATAGGGTATGTTATTTGGTCCCATCTGAATTATTTCATAGACCGCCTTGTGGACTCTTGACGTCTACGAATATATGAGCCAGTCTTGAATGTGAAACAAAAGAGAACAAACACATTCAAAAACATAACATCCAGGATCAGACGTTCGGCTTCGATACATGCTAAAATGGAATGAAGAACATAACTTTTTTTCACATCCAGAACGGACTGAATTATTCCATTTCGAAGTTGAGGCCGACGCCAGACATCGAGTGTCGACTGGAGTTGTGCTGCCATATTCTTGACCTTCAAGAATTTGGCTGTCGATGGCTGTTCCCATCCCTCAAGGAGTGAATGCGCTTCCACACACTCCTCGGAGCTTGGAAATACCATTTGAACATCCAAGCGCTCCACAGAATTAGGAGGAAGTTTCCGTGTGTATCGCTCCCCGAACTTAGCCCGGGATTCTATCATCGCCATGAGTTCCTGGTAAAAGGCTCTTGAAGAACAGTGCAACACTAGCTTTTTTAGGAGGGGGGCGATGGGAAGTATATTGGGAAAAAATGTTAGATTAAGGAGATCGCTAATTGGAAGGTCATTGCATTCCAATTCTAGGAGCTGTGGCGTTAGTTGTAGAAGGGTAAACAGACTAGATTCTTCCATAGATCGAGCATGGATCGAGATCTTCGTAAGATTACAGGACGATTGTTGTATCAGATGGATTATTTTTTCAATAGCGTCCCCAGTGTCGAGCTGCAACCGTACACGCTTCAAAGCTGGGACTGTGAGGGTGTAATATAGCGATGCACCCGGGGCCCTGATATCAAGGTGTTCGAGATGCTTTAGAGTTGCTGGTGGGAAATGTATGGTGGTGGAGGAAACAATATAAGTGAGATCTTCTAAGATAGAATCATCCCGTATAAGCCTTGTGAGAGCGACGGGCATTTGACAACGCTCAACATATCGAGTTATCTGGTGCCATGGAAGCACCAAAAAATGGGAGGAATGGGCCTCCACTTCAAGCTCTCGCAGTTGCGGGGCGTTCTCAAAGGCGTTGAGAAAACCGCCCAACCATCCTTCAGGTTTCGAAGTTAATTTAATGTTGAGGGAGCGCAGGAGAGGGAGATTATTTCGGATAGTTTGAGAGAGAGTGGTGAAATTCGTGTTCCCCAAGTCCAATGATAGCGATACCCAACGATCGCTGGCGAGACATAGATTTGAATCAGATGCTTCAGCCTCGTACGCTTTGGCACCTAAAGTAGGATCAACATTATGAATGGAAATGGATATTGGCTTGAGCGACCGGTACATGTACGGATTCACCATGGAGGATGAGCCGCTCTTTTTCCACGAAATAGTGGCATATTCCCCACTGGGTCGTACCTGAGGAATGGATGATGAAGCGACTATCCACCACCGGCGGCACACGAGTCCCAACGTCCAGGGTTGTCCACAATTAGATTCTGCAACCATAGTAAAGATTCTATCCAAGAGCTCATTTGGGATTCGGCGAATGACGGAGAGAGTGGCTCGATGAGAGGTGAGAAACCGCATGTAGTATTCCCGAGTTTGAATTGTGGAGTAATCACGAACATGTGAAATAGCGGACAGCCTGGTTTCACAAGAACAAATTGCGTCGAGAATGAACGCTTTCTCAGTCTCCGTTGGTTCTGAATTCGAGCGAAGCAGGGCCGGTACTGGAGAAGGTAGCCCAGTAATGCTTTCGAGCCTCGACGACATGGTTCATGCGCTATGAAATCACAATCAGCTCATGACCTCAGCAGATCGATAGAGAGCACCTACATTGCACTTACGCTTGAGTATCCAGTGTCGGCGTTGGAGGTTGGACAAAGGTCGGAGCAGTGGCGTTGCCACGTGGCCCTTCACATCACTTCAAGCGTCAAACCAATCAAACCGATTTTCTGGCATGTGTGATTTTTTCCCCATGACTCTTCATTTGTTCCCCGACTTCATTTTTCAAAGTTGTTACAGTCCACTATCAATTGATAAATACCATTAAATATATGTTAAACATCCTTAGTAAAAGACAGTATGATTTGAGACGACGTAACCAAAAACTGCGGGTGGACCATATCCGAACCTTGTTTAGCATCGAACAGATGTATATGCCTTGGCACTACAATGATTCTCGATTCCTGTGACTTGATCTGCGATTAAGGCTAGTCCAGGTATGTCGAGCTGGTGTGCCCATTTTGCGGCTGCGGAGACGGTGATGTCTTTCAGCCGGGGCACGTTGTATCTCCGGGCGAGTTGAATATACATGATGCGATCGTTCAGAAACCTACGAACGAGGTCGCGATCGGAGGCCCTGCAATGCAATTGTAGAGATTGTAGTCTTGGGAAGGTGACGTATACTCTCTGCATTTCCTTTGAGACTTGGGGTTTGTAATAAAGGGAGTTCAAAGATTTTAGAATTCCCTCGTCAGGGTCGTGAACTTTGAGCGACTTCAGTGAGATGAGATGAGAGAAAAACGAGTGTGGCCAGGAGGTTGTCGCGAGATCGGGGGGTGGGCGACGTAGGGCAAAAGTGGGAGAGGGGGGAGCGAAGAGGACGTAGCATAACGTCAGTTCCTCGAGTGTGCGAAGGGGAAAATGTCTACATAAGGCGGCGAAGAGCAATATGGTGCTGTAAGGATCAGCAGACGCCACCACTTCCTCCTCGGAAGTAGACAGGCAGCGGCGCAGATCCTTGACTATCAGGTTTTTGAGGTTGGGTACTCGGATGTTGGGTATGAGGTAAGACACTTCTTCCGGGTACGCGTAACCCAAAGAGAGAGTTACCAATTTGGGGAGGGTGAACGGCTTGCCCTCCTCACAGGGTGCAGAACCTTGAATTGACAACGTCTCCAGAGAGTGCGCGTTTCCGAGGAGCAGCGCCCGAAGATCCTCAGCCCGAGGTCGAACGTCGATCGGTAGAAAGTTGAGGGTTAACGAAGTGAGGTTACGTGGGGCAAATGAACTCCAAGGGAGGGGTATCCCGCATAGAGTCACATCTTTCAGACGGGGATACGCATTAGCAAAATATGCTACGGCCTCTCTCCCTCCGCTCCCAGAGGGGTTCAAGAATGTTGAAAGGGTATGATCGATTCCCTGAGGCTCGAAGTCACCAATATAGGATTGGTGAGGAACTGAACAGTGGATTTCCAGGGTTTCCAGAAGTGTCATGGCGGACGGTGGAAGATGGGCGAGGATCTCAATGATTGGAGCGATGGATCCACTAAGAAGATGGAACTCGCGGAAGCGAGCCCCGTGGGGGGCAAGAAGAATGCCTACAGCCTCAAGCAGGAAGTTGAACCCTTTGGTGCACAAGTCAACATTTTCGTGTTGGTATTGACCGGATTCATCTTCAAACGCTCGTATGGAAAGAAAAACCCGAAGAGGGGCCTGACGGGAGCGTTCTAAGAACTGAGGGACGTGTCGGAAGCGACTTTTCGCGCTCTCGTGTAAGATTTCTGCAGGCCAAGAGTCGTCCTGTCCAAACTCCAACAAAATGGTGGACCATAATCGCGATGAAGATAAGGCCAGGGTGCGCCACTGGTAACAGACCAACGAAACTAAGATGGAGAAGTCCATCGCGTCAAACGGACTGCCTGTTAGGCAGGAACCGACGTGAAAGATTTCGAGGAGAATCTCTTGAGGTAAACGCGAAATGGGGGAGCCAATGGTAGACATGGTAGCAGCTGTGGGACTTCTCATATGTCGTTAGTTTGACGCCAAAGAGACGATGTCAAGTGAGAGACGTACCGACGACTGAGGAACCGGGGATTGATAACTTTGAACTTCTCGCTGCTTCGAAGGTGTGGTGGAGGGGGTTGAGCGACCCATTCACCAACCGATCTACTATTTATATACCCGGGGCTGTCAAGGCGTAATGCAGATATGGCCTGCGAGCGCCAGAGCTCCCTTTGTGCGTAATGTGGCCGGACAGTCCTCGACATCTAAAACGGGACAGATGGTCACGGAAGTTGGCCTCGCTTAAGTACTGTCCTTGTTGTTAGCCACCAGCCAAAACATGGAAGGCGAAGGCCACTTTGACTCCGTGACTGAGGGCGACCGCAATGGTAAGGATGTGTGATATTGCGACGATATTCCACTGTAGAAGCTTAAGAGCTATTTCACCAGTAACGGCTTTAAGGTCCGAGAGGCCCAATCGCGCCCGCGTATCAAAGGAAGTCAAAGCAAATCTTCAATCCATTGTCCAGGCACTACCTCGAAGATATCACTCCCCGTGTGGCGACGCCCGGTTGACATCGTTTCAGGAGTCAGCTGGGACTCGGAAGTTGCTCGAAGTGGTCAGCGACTTAGCGGGCTGAACAAGGGCTGAAGTTGGTTGATGAGCTATGAGGCGAGCACATTCGGATAATTGGATGGCCAGAGGCGATGCGCACCTATGTTGTCACGCACAGGCCACAAAGCAAATGCCGGAGGACCTCTGTGATATGATATATCCAAGACGAAGAGGTGATGACGTGACGAATGTGATGATGTGAAGAAACAAAGGAAGACTCGGAAGCTATATACTCTTTTCACATGGCGCTTAAAGTTAGTTGAATTTGTCGTAAAATGCCAATGAAACACAAAATATATCCATCTATTCGAACATGCGTATTTCTAACAGCATATTCCGGCTGTTCATCGTCGCTCAGCAATTCCGACGCGCTTGGACGTTATAATAATCAAGCTTGAGGGGAAAGTTTGGTTGTTTGGTCAAGCTTGGCCACTCAAACAAATTTTTACCCTCTGGCACAATGTCATAAGCTACCAGTATACCAAGTCCAACCAAGGTAAGCGTCTAAGCAACACTCCTTTTCTATTATTTATTGGAGAACCTTATTATTAGGGATCCGAGTAGGTGCTGGGGCGCCCATGATCATCGACATGCTTCCCCCAACATCACAACTTCCACCCATCAGGAAACTCGCCGCATTTTCTATTGCTCATCTCATCGGCTCCGTCAGATATTTGAGGAAAATCTACAACCCACAAGTTAGAGGTATAACACGTCGCAAAGGTAACCTTCCACCTGCGAGCGCAGGACGCGATTCCTTGGACGAATTACGAACGGACGCATTTGAACGGACATACGCAATCAAGTGGCTAACCGCGCTCATAGGCCATTTTAGCTCCACAGAAGAATGTGACCATCCTTTGGGAGGACACCATGTGGAGGACTTGATCCAAGATGCAGCCTCCCTGCTAGCCATCTGTGCTGGTACCGCATCCGCCGGCATCATCTGCCGCACCTTCACCTTTGAGTCTCGATTCGGCTCGGTCACCGTCAACCTAACTGATGCTCCGTTGGAGAATCAGGATTATGGGAGCGTAGGCGCACAAACCTGGGGCGGCGCGTGTGTTTTGGCTGAGATGATCACGGATAAGCCGGAGAACTTTGGATTGCTGGAGCAAAACGTATCACCGAGTAAACTGAGGATCCTTGAGCTCGGAGCTGGGACTGGACTGGTCAGTCTTGCCGTTGCAGGGCTCATGCGAAAGGTCGCAGGAAGGGAGGTAGAGATCGTTGCTACCGACTATTACCCATCTGTTCTGACGAACCTTGCAACCAACGTTCGGAGCAACAGCTTCGACCATGCCAACCTTGTAAAGGTCACCACTCATTCTTTGGACTGGTCACTTTTTTCCGAGACATACCCTCAACCACAACCATTCGACCAGCCTTTTGACCTTGTACTCGGAGCGGACATCATTTACGAAGCGCAGCATGCCGTTTGGATTAAATCCTGCCTGACCATATTACTCCGGAACACCAATGGTTCACCCGACGACGGGCCCGAGCCCATATTCCACCTGGTCATTCCGTTGCGCGTAACGCATACTTTCGAGTCCCAAACTGTCGAAACTGCCTTCGCTCAAAGTGGCGGGCTCGTCATCAAGTCCAAAGAAATTATCTTATGCGACGCGGAGACGGGCAGGGAAGGCGATGAGGTTGAATATGCATACTACAAGATTGGTTGGGAAAAAGAGGTAAAGTGGTCATACACGTCAACTGGCAGTAAATAATTGATCTTTACAGTTAAGGACAGCGTGAACAGTTAAACACGCCCCTTGAAAAGCAAATAAATAGCCATTCTCCCCACTTACATTTGGCTAAGGTAGTTGGGCATCTAGCGACCAAGGTCGTCGAAAATTGCAGATACAACGGGCGGCATGGGACCGTAACCTACTGAGCTGTTCACTATCAATCTGACGGTGATTCCCATGCTTCATTCAGTAAAACCGCTCAAGGCCCACCGGTTGAGGCTTAGGGTTGCCACTTCAGTGAAGTCAACTCAAAGAAGACAGCTCCACGAAGCACCGCGCCACCTCATGGCTGCGATAGCTCGCTGTCTGCCTGTGCTCTTGTTCCTCCCTTCACTCATACCATCATCACCTCCTTGCCATGTCCAACAGCCCTGACACCGCAAGTCCAGAAAAAATTCACACCGACGACGATTTCGACCCAATTTACCATGCAAAAGCTGAAGTTTTGAACAAGGCGATACAGGACATTGGAATGGGACGGTATCAATGGTAACGCAACCGTTATTGCTCTAATCCGATTCTGACCGTTAAATTCCACAGGGGATTGTTTTTTCTCACTGGGTTTGGATGGCTAGCGTAAATCTATGATAACTATCCGAGTCGTCGACGTAACTGATAGAGCTTTATAGTGATAACATATGGCCGGCAAGCGGCACTCCTCTCTCCACATTCTGATTTACTTACAGCTTTCTTCTGAAGACGGTAACTGGACTCATTTTGCCCCCCGTCATCAATGAATTCAAATTCCAGGGACCATATCTCAGCCTCGGACAAAGTGTTGGCCTCCTTATCGGCGCTGCGTTTTGGGGAGTAGGAGCTGATATTTGGGGGAGAAAGTGAGTATTGGATTCTGATCTTCGGACATTCAGAGTCTCAAAATTGCGTCAGGATCTCCTTCAACCTCACTTTATTGATAAATGGCATCTTCGGCATGGCTGGTGGCGGCTCGCGCAATCATATCGCGTTGACCTCATTTGCCACTATGTGGTCTATCGGGGTTGGGGGAAACCTTCCCGTGGATTCCGCTATATTTCTTGGTAATGCCCCTCGTCATCATGGGCTCCGGCCGCCACTCACAGTACGCATTTTGACAGAATTTGTCCCCGGATCCCATCAATATCTCTTGACTGTCCTCTCAATCTGGTGGGCGTTTGGTCAATTGTTCGCCTGTCTGGTATACTTTAACTTCCTTCGAGAAAATACGTACAATACTGATCTCTTTACTCAGATAGCCTGGCCACTCATCGGAAACTATTCTTGTCCCATAAATGCCCCTTGCCCCCGTTCATCGAATCAGGGCTGGCGGTACCTCCTTTTCGCAATGGGCGCCTTTATGCTAATTCTATGGATCATCCGGTTTTTCTTTTTCAAGCTTTCCGAAAGCCCAAAGTTTCTCATGGGGCATGGGCGCGATGAAGATGCCGTGGAGGTTATACATAAGGTTGCGAAGTACAACGGGAAGGTGTCGGAGTTTACGCTTGAAGAATTGCAAGCGGTGGAGAAGATTGGATCCGGAAATGAAGGCAAAAAAATTGAGACGACTGTGAAAGCTGTTCTTCAACGCAAGCTTATCAATTTTGATGAGAATCACGTCAAACTGTTATTTGCGACGCGAAGATTGGCTTGGTCCACCAGCTTGCTGATCGTTATATGGGGTCGGTACGTTTCGCTTATGCCATCTTCAACCTATTGAATAAGCCGGTACCAGCTCTTATTGGCCTTGCTTATACGCTGTACGTATCATTAGATTTATTTTCCCCCATAGTGTATTGACTTCACGGAAATCTTCAGATACTATTCCTTTATCACCTACTAGTAAGTTTGACCTACTAATATCAAGCTTCCGCCTCTCAATTTGTTTTCTCAATGCCAGTTTTGCAAGTCGAGGCGCGGACTTTGGTGACGGCTCAGTGTATATCACCTACCGCAACGTGAGTCTTCTATTGAGTATCTCCTCAGCCCTTTTGATTAGTGATAACAATGTGAACAAAGCAAGTCATCTTGGCCACATGTGGAATCCCAGGCTCTCTACTCGCTGGATACATGGTGGAAATCACACTACTTGGACGAAGGGGAACTCTATCGATCTTCACGAGCACGTTTCTTCTAACCTCCCTTACCTATGACCAGCTAATCGATGATTTCAGTTTTGACTGGCATTTTCATCCTAGCATCCACAACTGCACGGAGCTCGAATAGCCTCCTTGGATGGAACTGCGCGTACAGTTTCACCAGTAATATTATGTACGGCGTCTTGTATGCCATGACACCGGAGCTCTTCCCTACAAAGCATAGAGGAACTGGAAATTCACTTACGGCGACTGCGAACAGAGTATTTGGCGTCATGGTATGTGTTCTGGTTTCGGAGTCCTTTGTGGCTTTCGAATTTGACCTTTTATCAGGCACCAGTCATTGCGCTGTTTGCAAACCTTACGACCTCTGTTCCGATTTATATCGCAGGCGTTGTTTTCTTGGGAGCCGGTGTCTTGGCGTTGCTCCTTCCTTTCGAATCTTTAGGCAAAGCGTCGCTCTGATGTTTGGAAAGGACTTCACTCCGTAGACATTGGTTCGTGATTGAGTCGTTAGAGAGCGTTGGAAGCAATTGTCCGAGAAAGCGAGCAGCCTAAACCGTATCTATCTATGGCTTGTACGAGCTCACAACTTATCTTTGATTTTAACATCCTGTGGTCGTAGACGTTGTCAACGGCCTTGGTCGGGCCGGTTCCAAAAATAGCTGGTCACTGACACAAACACGTTCTCATCAACTTTAACTCTGACAGGAACTCCCAAATGCTCAGCCCCGCCATCCGAAGGTGGATTGAAACGCCTACGGGCACTTTATCACTTGCTGCAATCCCGCTTGCATTCGCGCTCTACAAGCTTCTCCAAAAACCTCAACGCCTGTCCAAAGTTTCAAAGACCAAAGAACGCGTTCTCGTATTAGGAGCGACGAGCGGGATCGGTCGATCAATAGCGCGCCAGTATGCTGAGCGTGGAGCAGTCGTTTGCGTTGTTGGGCGCAGAGGAGCGCTGGTAAAAGAGGTCGTGAAGGAATGTCGTCAGGTGCAATCTTCGCTGCGCCTTGGGACCACTGACGAGAAGAACGACTTTTTGGGAGTCACGGCCGACTTTGCGAACGTTGATGATATGGTTAGAGTTAGAGAGGTCATCCAGTTCAGTGTGTACTTTTTTATTATTCTTCGACTCAATTTGATTTGGGGTTAGATTGGAAGGGTTTAGATACCATCGTTGTCGCTGCTGGGGTCTCGGCGCTTCAGCCTCTAATGGCCGTCGCTGGTGTCGAGACTGCAAATGGGGGGTTTACTCCAGAAGAAGCGACTCGCGAGGGAATCAAGCGAGTTACTGAAGTCGCAACAGCTGCGATAACAGGAAATTATGTTGGTCCTCTAATTGCCGCAGTCACCTTTGTAAGCTACCACTTCGACGGGTAATTCGCCAGCTAACAAAGCCCAGATACCCCTCCTGTCGAAAACATCAAAGTCGCCAGCGATCACCCTCGTTTCGTCTCTAGCCTCCGTGATCGCAGCGCCAACCCGCACCATCTACGCATCCACTAAAGCCGCATCCCTAGTTCTCTATCAGGCCCTTTCAATCGAACATCCCAACATCTCATTCTCTCTTATATTACCTTCTACCGTTGAGGGTGATTTCCGTGCATCCGCGGTCGACAGCGGCCCAGTTAGAGAAGTCGATCCCAACAAACATGGATTGAAGCGCGAAGACGTGGCTAGGAGGTGTATCGCTGCGGCTGATGCCGGGGAGAAAACCGTATTCATACCACCGTTTGTGCGATACGGGCATCTCTTGTACTGGATCTGGCCGTCTTTCGTGGAGTGGAGGGCGAGGAAGAAGTACAATTTTGGTGCTTAACATTTGTGAGGCCTTTCCATTAATTGCTACCTTTCTTGACTGAAGCTAACAACCGGTCAGTTGAGTCTGATTTTCTAGATTCTCTGCATAAACCTGGTCTCCGTTGTTCTTTTATCTCCAGGCGAAGTGTCTGTTCAAGTTTGTGTACGACTAAATGGCATTTTACTCTATGTACTTCTGTACATGCATCAATAGAGCAATTGTGAATTCAAAACGCAGAAGCGCGAAAAGAAGATGAGATTGGTTATGCGTATTACAAGATTGGTTAGAGGGTCATGATACAAAAAAGGTATAGTTGTTACAAACATGAAATGGTAATACATTCATCAATCTTGAAAATCAAGCAAGCGTGAGCAGCTGAACGCGTTCCTCACGAACAGCGAACAGCAATATAAATGGGTGGCCTTCCGACCTGCGTTTAAGAATAGCCTCTCTGAGTTGTTGGGCGTAAGCCGAATGTTGGGTAGGGAAAGCAGCAGCAATAGGCTTCCAGGCGTCTTCGTCCGTAATCCAACTCTGCGATTTGACCATGGCGTCGAAAATCGTCGGCGTGACGTCAATGGCGAGCGTGGGCATGCCGCTCTGGATGGCGGACTTGATTTGGGTACTGGTCTCGAAAGCTGGAGGGATGGGCTCGGATCAGCGGACTGTAACGATGACGAAACAAGGGGATCTGACCTCGGTCAAGGAAAAGTTGCTTGACCTGCTTTCGCTGCTTCTTGATATCTATGGGGAGGAGTAGTTGGACGTCAGAGGAGACTGGGGTGTCCTTCGTTGGTAGGAGTCCAGGTACACTCTCGGAAACGACGGGAGCACCAGAGGTTGCAGTATCGATTCGCTTCTGTTCTGCGATATGATGTTGTAGCCATCCCACGAGCTCTTGTCTTGAGACTGTCACAACTGTTAGTGGTTTCCTGTGCGACGGAACGTGGACTGACGTTCGTATTCAGTGCCCTTCAGAATGCTCTTGACTTTGAAGGCGGGATGATCTCTACGCCCCGTGCGAGGACGAGGATACACAGTGAATCTGATATACTGGATAAGGGTGTGCCTTTGCATAGGTGAAAGAAACTCACAAGATACCCTCCCTTTCACATAGGTCGACGTGGCTCTCATGGTCCGCTTCAGGCAATCCCGATTCATACATAATATCGGCGCTGATATTGTGTTGCCAGAGGTACGCAACAACCTCTAACCGATCTTGCAAATACCCAGGATGGTACGAAACAACATACACATCACATCTCCTCGGGCTCCAGAAGCCAAACGAACGTCCTTCCTTGACCAGGGTCTTGACGGATGCACCCTGGAAAGAGGCGAGCGCCATCGTAATCTTCTCCACTGCGATTTGCAAGCCCATAGCGCAAATTTCGGACTTTTGCTTCAGAGGGGAGTAACGAGTGATGAGGTTGTCATAGCTGGTCACGTTAGTTAGTAGACGAAGGTTTAGCAACAGAGACAGCATACCGGCCACCAGCTGCAAGCACGTCCGTGTGCTTGTTCTTCCGAACGATTTCCACGATGACTCCATCTTTGAAGTGTGTATGGTGGCTACCCAGCATGAGAGGATGAAAGTAGATTTGACGCGTAACCCCGGCCGACAAAGCGAACTGCAAAGTAGCCTTCACCTCATCTACCGCAGGCTGCAAGAGCGAAAGGAGAGCGGGAGAGACTTTCTCCAGCCTCGATAACACATCATCGATATCGTCATCTATGCAACGCATTTCACTGTTGAACCACTAAAATTATGAACAGCAACATACCAGTTTCCGACAATATCTCCAGCTCCTCTGCAGTGCTACGAAGAAGACCTTTCTTCAATAACAACGCCCGCTTCTGGGTTGGCAAAGACTTCGACTGGTTGATGATTTCCACGACGGCATCCCTCTGTCCAGCAGGTACTCGGCTCATCGTCAACTCGACGACTACACATAAGTCAGTCATCGAGTACCGCAACGAACTTACGCAACGTACTAGAAGAATGGGAGATGTGAATGTCGTAGTTCTGAGAAAGGTTTGGAAAGCTATTGAGACAGTTATTCGCGATGGCTATGATCTCAGCTCCGGCGGCGACAAGGCCCGACCCCAGATCTTGCGTGATAATATCAAATATAGCGGCCTTTGAGACTCGTGGATGACCCGCCACGGGACTAAGGAGAACGATCAGCGCAAGGTCTCCACATGGAAGTCGCACAGTGAACGCTTACTTAGGTCTATAGATGTTGGTGATATGATAACGCTTGATCCGCTTGATATTCCCCCTAGCAGCGAGCCTCGCAAAAGGGACGAGGATGTTGTTGGGTAATGTGACGACATCCCCATGACGGTCGACGAACGTTGCTCGACTCTTCTCGTCCTCCGGATCCAGAACAGGCATGAGAAGGGGCGGCTCCATAGCCACAGCTCCGTGAAGGTGGAAGATCGCAGCCAAACGGTCTTGAACGGTGTCATTCAAAGAGGCGTGCTCAGGTGGGTCAGCTTCGAGATCGTAGAGGACGCCTCTTGACGGCCTGACAGGTTGGTTGAACAAGGTGGTAAGAACGGCTTGGTGATAAGGTGAGTCGGATTTGGCTACCAAGCAACATGAGCTATTGATCGTCCTTCAACTGGTTATCCGACTCACCCATCAGCTTCAGCGCCCCTTTGAAAAACTCATCCTCCAAACGAGGGGGGAGTAGCGGGCTCTGAGAAAGTTCCAACGCCGTAGGCCTCTTGTCAGGATCATGCTGAAGGAGCCAGGTAATAACTAGTGGGTCAAGCAGGTCAGTCGAGAACTTTGAAAACTTTGGCTTTCCCCTTACTATCTCGCTGCCGAGTTCGATGAGCTTCCCATGCGTGGGGGAAGAAAACGCCCGGTTTCCGCAGATCCTCCAGGACGACAATCCGCTCTGCGCCCGTTGAGAACATGTAGTTCATCTCAAAGAACACGATCTAAAAGGCGTTCGACGTGAGTAATCGAAAATGCTTGGAGTACAGGACTTACACCAAGACTGTACATGTCAGCCTTGTTGTGATTCCTTGGTCCTCGTTTCTTGGACTGAACTTCGGGGGCGATGTACAGGCGGGTACCGACCTCTACAGAAGTGTCAATGAGGTATAAGGTTTTGAAGATGTAGAGCCGTACCCAAAGTCATATCAGCTTCGAGGGTAGCTACATGATGAGACACATCCGACGGGTCGACAGCGGCCAGACTAGATGTTGCGAGGCCAAAGTCACCAACTGCAGCAAGGGGATCGTTAGCTTGGAACTCTACAGAACTCCGACTTTGTCAATCCCACCTTTACAGTCTCCTTTGGCATCTGAATTTCAGAAAGGATAAGTTCAAGGAGGACAGGAGTGAACGTTCGACTTGCCAATGAAGATGTTGGTAAGCTTGATGTCACGATGCAAGATGCCTAATGTAGACATGTGAACAAGGGCGTCAACGATCTGCAGGAACAGCCTCCACGCTTCATCCTCCGAGATACCCTCATCAAGTCTCTACAAGGAACTTCAAGTATCAGACCCAATTCAAGGATCCTTAACAGCAGCTTAAACATACCTCCTTCAACGTCTGACGCTCAACAAACTCCTAGAAAAAACCGTTCAGCCGCGGTTGGAAAAGAAGATAGGAAACACAGACCATCTGGATATAAAGTGTCCTAGACAACATCGGCGGCCCCACCTGCACCATACTCGAACTTCCCGAAGACTTGAACAGACTCCCAAAAGCATCGTCCCCCTCCTCCTCCCCGCTACTAGTATCCTCTCCAGTCGGCGACATCGATCTATCAAAATGTATACTAGGGAACGACGACCTCGACTCGGAGAGATCATCAAAGTCCTCGATGTTGATGCTAAACCCGCCGTTAAGTCGGCCTCCATTCGACATGGGGTGGGGGACAGAGGTCATCCCGTCCTCATCTGTTGATTCCGCACTGGAGTCGTCTGAGGCGGCGGTGGATGTGGGTTCGGCGGTCTCGACCCAGGTGGTGTAGTACCGGACGATGAAACGATGGGAGAGCCGGCTGAGAGCGTTGACTTCGCGGAAGATCTTGCTGTCGCTTTGCATTGTTCGGAGACGGATCTTCTTAACTGAAAAAGAGGGTTAGAGATGAAGGATGATGGGATAAGGGGTAGGACAAACCTGCGTAGATCCTCGAGTCGATCCTATTTCGAGCTTTGACGACTGAGCCAAAGGCGCCTTTGCCCTGTATTCAACACAGCATGAGAACCTGGAGACGAAGGAAGGAGAAAAAGACGAACCAACAACTCCAGCTCCTCCCAATCCTCCTTCCACCGGCTGGTATGCGAGCGGGCAGCAGATGCCGGCATCCTGAAGTACTCCAGATCGGGTGAACCAAAGTTCATCGGTGTCTTCGGGTCTACCACCAACAATCAGGGGCCTTGAACGTCCTCTCTCTTTCCTCCAAAACGGAACTAATACACACCAACGTTATAGTAGCTTGACATACTCCTACCCGTCACTGGGCTCTGGCATGACGCTTCTGCCAATTCAGACAGCAGGGACAAGCAGGTCACTTGACCTTTCTTAGGGGGGATGAGCATGGAAGATGCTTGTCTTGCAAGTACGGGGGAAGCGGATACTAGTTGGAAGGGTTAGTATTTGGTAGATCGTTAATGGCAGGGGACTGACGAGCGAAGATGGCACCCTGGACGTCTGGGAATATCTCTGTGACGTTCAAGCTCATGAGCATCTGGAGCAGAACGATGCCTACTGCGTGGAGGTCTCGTTGGCGAGTGTACAGTAACGATGATTCGTTCTTCACGTCCTTCGATAGCCTAAAATTATCAGTTAAATGGCAGAGTCAGCTGGAGAAGCGGCCTGAACACACCACTCGTCAGAGATCTGAGGCTCATCCGCCACTGGGGGCGTGTGCGGGCCAAAGGAGTTTGAGCGATGCAGGTCCAGAAGCCGAGTATGGTACGCCACCCTTGCCAGTTTCACGAGCTTTGAAGACGAAGGAGTGTCCCTCGGCGCAAGACCGATACACCCCGCGTTGATACCTAACAAACAAGCGTGAGCGAGCACCAAAACCAAAACGTAGATTTACGTACCTCGATGGACTAGGTCCGCACCATGCACAGCGTTCAATCCTGACAATATCTGGCCCAGATAATCTGAAGCCCTCTCCTCCTTCAGAGAATCACAATCCTGCAGTACGTCGTGTAGCGTCAACGCTGGACGTTGCTCCGAGAGGACCATCAGCTGCGGAGGTCCGCTGGAGTGCGGTATGTTCAATTTGACGGCGAAAACGCTGATGAGATTCTGGTGCCGGACGGTCGTGAGGCGCTGGATCTCGGCTTCGACTTGTTTGAGCTTCTTCCGTCCTATCGAGCAATTAACACGTCGTTGGGAGAGGATGAGAAGATGGACGTACCCTGGTTGGACGAATAATATGGGTCCTCGAACGTCACGACGTACAACTCCAATGGGAGCGTAGTGCTCACGTCATCCACCATCGGATCAGCCATATACACCACCCCAAGCCCGTCTTGTAACAAATCAACTTTACAACAAAACGTAGCACAAACGCACTCACCCGTTCGGGGATGAAACAGCTTCACCGTATTGAAATACACGTCACCGACCTCCACCTCATGACTGAACGTCTCTATCGGGGTATCGCTCGACAGAGGAACCTCCGTCGCCTCTGAATTAGCGCGTTTCCGGCTCGCCTTGTATTGTTGTTCCCGAGCGATGAGCTGGCGCATTGCATGGTCCGCTTGGATTTGCTCGTCGAGCTCTTGCGCAGCTTTAACGGCTCTGTCTTGTTCCCTCTCTGCTTCTTCTGCTTCCCTTTGCTTTCGTGCCTGGAAAGAATTAGTAAGTATGAGAGTAGGAAGTGAAGGGGTAAAGGTACCTTCTCCTCATCCATTGCACGCTGGTTCATTTGTAATGCCAAAGAACCGACAACCTCAACTGGGGGCGTTACGTTGTTCGATATCCAGTCTTGACAGAACGTGACGATCTGGAAACAAAGTCAGTGGGACCAAGTGAGTTAGGGTGAATGAACGTACCGAGAATACCATCTCCGACCCCCGAAGTTTCTGCGCCTCTCCATTGATAGATTGTGATAGCTTCGTTAATTGTTCGTTCGTCAAGCCTTTTGCGGGCTTCTGTAGCGTAAATGTAGGACATGCAAGGTGTGGGTATGTTTTCGGAAATCTGAAAATTGTCAGCAACGTGATACATCAAGGAAATTTGTACACTCACTTGACAAGAAGTTGTGCGTTCACTTTCGATGCGTGCGCTGGATCCGGGTGTGGGACCTTGATGATAAACTGTGGCAATCTACCAGCACCCTGCACGACCTTCAGAATCAAAGACTGCAAGAGTAAAATTTAACTCACCTTCCAAGGAAGAATCAGTAACAAAACAATGTAAGAGTACGGTTCAACTCACCTTCCAAGCTTTAGGTGGTGGACATTCAACAAAGTCTTCGGCGTAGATGGACCTTAACGCAGTGATTTCTAACTGTTGCAATTCTTCGGTGGAATCCATTCTGCTATCGCGATCGTGGCTATGTTGTCACTTGCAGCGTGGCTCAAAAAGCCAGTAAACAAAAGTTGAGAAGGGGAGGGCCTGATGGACCTCAGCAACTCAAATCTCCATGGTTGATAAAAGGGTGAAAATGTGAAGACAAAGTCAGGACAAAGCTCAGAGGAATTCAAGGGAATTGGTATTTGGTTGACTACATTACGTAAGAGATCCTGGTAACTATGGTAACAGAGAGAGAGCCTGAACTCCTTCACAAGTTGTACTCGGGTGATAAAAAAAAGGACAACGGTGAAGGAGCATAGAAGGAATGTAAGTTTTTCTTTCTTTTGAGACCAACAACCTCAGTAAGGAACCTCAACTTGTGCCCATTCTTCCACTGCCACTGCCAGCCAGACTTCCACAATATTTCACGGTTTTCACCAACTCACCTGTAGAGCTCAGATAATAGTCCATCGGCATGCCTTCTATCCACCGTAAGATACCACGTCAACGTGTTGTGATTCTTCCAGTTTGTCGAATGTGGATATCTTCATCATCATTAAGTTGGGCTTTTTGACAAGCCTCGCACGAATACTGGCGTCGATTGGTGCTTTCCCGTCATCTCCTGCGTGAGACATCCCCAAGTGGATGATGAGGTCTGAGGGTGCAGATACAACCAGGCCCGGTAAAACATTTCCGGTCAACTGCCGTCGTGCAAAAGGCAGTCGCTATCAACGTCGTGAGATCGCCAAACTGCGACAATTGGATAAGTTTGCGAAAGTAAAGTTCCGTTTTGGAGGAAAGAGAGGATAATTGAATAAGTAAGAGGCTGCGTTGTGTGAGAGTGCGCGAAGAGATGTCGCGAGCTGGCGAAAGTGTTGAGCGGCGAATGCACTGCAAAAGAGTACCGCAAACGAGGTAACGTCGCCAATCCTAAGCATAATTGGTTAGAGGTAATTCTCAAAGTTGAGAATGTCTTACACACTTGAATATTTGTATCTCGATCTCTTCTTGGGCTTCCGCGTCCGTGGGGACCGTGTCGGGTAGCAATGGATCGAGAAATTTGCCATTCCATGCGAGGTCTTGTGCCGCGGCGAGCGTCAAGTCAAGAAACCACTCGTCCGTCTTGTATCACCACCGTTAAAGCTGAAGGACATGGCGTGCCACATGAGATTGCAAGAAGGCAAGTGAGGATGTTGTGGCACGAACTTTTGACTTCAGGGGCCAGAATGACATCTCCGACACCAATCAAACGAATTTAAACACGATATGCATCTACATGAGCCTGAACTGGGGCAATAGATGGGAGTAAATGTGCAAGTTGGGGATGTTCAAGAAGCGAAAGGCCAAACAAAGCACAACGCATATAATCTCTAAGTATAGACTTGGTATAGATGTTCATCTCGACCGCGCATACATTCTCCACCTGGAAAGGTTAACGAGTGTGTAGGCAGTCGCCACCTACACAGCAAGTGCACAACTGACACGGATCGATACGGAAGTGCAGGGAAGGATGGGGGCCGTGGGGCGTCTGGCTCCCAAAACCGTTGGTTGACCAGAGGATAAGGGGACCTTGAGGCATTGACCAGGACAAAAAGAGGTGCTTGTTTAAATATACGATTTCTAGATTACATTACTGGCGGACGCAGGGTAGAAGGAAGTGGGTCGGCGTCCTACTGGCAGAAGACGGATTCCAAGGAGCGTTATGACGCATATATTCGAGCAAACGCCAGCTGGACCGAAGGGAATTGCGTCAGAGACGAGTTAGGGGAGACAAGCGAGGCGCGTACCTGTTCCAAAAAACTCAATAAGCAACCTGGAAACATCTCAACTTATGCCCGTTCTTCCAGTGCCAGGTCTGACACTTCTTTCCGCAGTACCTCACGGTCTTACACTTTGAGCATGCAAGCTCCGCCTCTTCGTCACAGGACGACCTCCCACAATTATCCACCTGACCTTCCAAATAGCTGCGTGTCGAGCTCAGGTAATAGTCTGCTGGCATGCCTTCTATGCACTTCAATATCCCATGCAACCTCTCGATATCAACGCGTTGTATCTCCGGGAGTCGTTCAAACTCCGGGGTACCTATCAAGGCATCAAGCTTCCGGGCAAGCTTTGTACGAACATCCGCATCAATGGACGCTTTGCCGTCGTCGCCCTTCGTCGAGTTTCCCCAGAATAGGAAATGGATAATGAGACAACATATTTGACCGGGCCCACTCGGGCGTTTCCATCGAATGCCTTGCACGAAGCCATCGGCGATTATATTTGCGAGGTCAGCGTATTGCGGCGATTGGATGAACCTGCGAAAGTAGGGCTCCGTTTTGGGATCGGGGAGGAGAGAGAGAACTTGGATGAGGGTCGAGAAGGCGCGAGGCTGGGTTGTGCGAGAGAGAGCGCGAAGAGATGTTGCGAGCTGGCGAAGGTGATGAGCTGCGAATGCGCTCCAAAAGTCGAGTACGGCAAATGGAGGTAGGATGAGCATTGCATTGATCTGGAGTGAAGTAGTTATTAGAAGTGGTGCACGAGTCGAGGTCTAGTGTTTTACGCACTTGGGACTGAATCTCTTTTTCATCAGCGTCCGTGAGGTCTGTGTCGGATGGCAGTGGATCAAGTAACTTGAGATTCTTTGCGAGCAGTTCTACCAAGGAGATAGCTTCACGAATCCAACCATCCACATTGTATTCACGACCATTGAAGGTAAAGGACATGATGGACTTGAGAAAATTTCGTTGTCATGGCGTGGTGCTAATCAAACGAATCACATGGTCGCTCAAGAGTGCTCTTGACTCAATGACTGTCACCATCGCGCTCAAATCGCGCTTCTACACATCGGCAGCCGCTTTTTTCTTCTTGCTCAGCGAGAAACCCAACATTCCGTCGAAATCTCATAGAGATAAATTGCAAGCCTGCAGAATAAATAGTGTGTATCAATTGTCGTTGAAAGGATGGATAGAAGCATGGATCATGCATTTGTCGAACAGGATTTGGCTCGCAGGACGATGACTTCGCCAAGAACAATCAAATCTCTGACTTTTCTACAGGGGCGCCACGTCAAGTTGCCAGCAGCCTTTCGATATTTCTGTGGTCGACTTCGCCTTACTCTACCTCTGTGAACTCACCAACATCCGTGAGATCTACTTCATCTAAAATTAGCCCACTTACTTACTTACGTGCCTTGACGTAAAACAGATATTCGAAGCGGGAGACGTACAAACGTGCGCAGACGGTGGCCAGGGGCAGCTGCCGTGATCGTTTTACCGACGGAATAAAAGCAAGGGGATGTGGGGGATTCAGGTAATCACCCCTGCTTTCCGGACTTCTAGGTGTTTACCATGCTCCCGATGAAGCATCATCTCGTCCTGCCGCTCCTGGGCTTCGTATCTTTCGTCCTCGCTGATCTACCCTCCGTTTCTCACGTCCGGGTCCCCAATGACACTTTTGAACCAGTACAAATCCGCCAGGCGTATGCCGGGTCCACCGGGATGCACCTCTCTTGGAACACCTTCGCTAAACTCCCAGCCCCTCCCACTGTGCACTACGGTTTCTCTCCCACCTTCCTTCCATTTCTTTCTTCACCCCATAACGGGGAAAGCGTGACGTACCCTACGTCCCTCACTTATAACAACCATGTCCGACTAAAACAGTTGTTCCCAAACACTAAATATTACTGGAAGCCCGCGTTTTCCAACGCAAGCAGCATTTTCTCGTTTACTACGGCTAGAGAGACGGGCGATCATACGCCGTTTACGGCTGCTGTGGTCGTGGATCTTGGGTTGATTGGACCGCAGGGGTTGAGTACGACTGTTGGTGCGGGTGCTGCGCACCCTCTCCAGCCTGGCGAGATCAACACCATCCAATCTTTGCAACAGCATCAAGACTGGGATTTCCTTTGGCACCGTAAGTTGCAATCCTTTCGCTATATAATCCACCTTACCAACCAACTCCATTTAGCCGGAGACATCGCATATGCCGACTACTGGCTGAAAGAAGAACTCCAAGGTTTCTTGCCCAATACTTCCATTGCGGACGGCTTCCACGTCTACGAATCCCTCCTCAACCAGTTCTACGACGAAATGACCCCCCTCACCAGCCAGAAACCATGGATGGTAGGGCCAGGAAATCATGAAGCGAATTGTAAGTCCCACACACACATCTCCTCCCTTCTCCAGCCCACTTACATCGACGTTCAGGCGATAATGGCGGTACCAAGGGATACGACGTCACCATCTGTATTCCCGGTCAAACCAACTTCACCGGCTTCCGGAACCATTTCCGCATGCCTTCCTCCGAATCGGGGGGTCTTGAAAATTTCTGGTTCTCGTTCAACCACGGGATGGTTCATTTTGTGCAATTTGACACAGAGACTGATTTGGGGCACGGATTACTGGGACCTGACCAGCCTGGGGGATCGGCAGGGAATCCAGGAGAGGACAGTGGGCCATTTGGGTTGGCGGATCAGCAGATCCAATGGCTTATTAACGATCTTAAAAATGTGGACCGCAAGAAAACGCCGTGGGTCGTCGCTGGTTGGTTTTCCTTGGGTCATATACTTTATTTTTTGCTCACCCCGCCAATTGTCTAGCTGGCCATCGGCCTTGGTACGTGAGCGGCACCGCCTGCCCAGAATGTCGAGAAGCGTTCGAAGCCACGCTAAATCAATATTCCGTCGATCTCGTCATGTCAGGCCACGTCCACGTCTACGAGCGCTCTGCCCCGATTTTCAACGGCACCGTGGACCCCAATGGACTGAACAACCCCAAGTTCCCGTGGTACATCACAAATGGGGCTGCGGGGCACTATGATGGGTTGGACACTTTGAGCGCGACGCTGGCGCCGTATAGCAGGGCGGCGTCTGATAAGTATTATGGGTGGAGTCGGCTGGTGTTCCATAATTGCACGCATTTGACGCATGAGTTTGTGAAGAGCGCGGATGGAACTGTTTTGGATAGCGCTACGCTTTTCAAGGATAGGAAGTGTTGATGGGCTGAGTGGGGCGTTTCTTTTTAAATGTGCATTATCATGCACTCATATTTTAGTCACTCGTTATTTCTTGACTTTTACAACTTTTTCTTGGTTCTTGGCGACGCGATTCCCAAGAGCCCGCATACCCTCATTATTTATGCCCTTTGTAGAATCTACTAAGGTTCTTGAGTGGAAACCCTTGTTGTAATGTGATCGCAGAAAATGGATGAGGCAACGTTATAAATATGACGTTCAAACGAACGTGGTTTATTGAGGGCGCCGGACTCGGGAATTCCCCGTTCCTCTACCATCTTTCATATAAAGTAACCTATCACACCAATCTGCTGTGATGGACCGTGTGTCCCTCTATGGGTGCTCAGGCCTCAGGTTCGGAGACAACAATATCGTTGTTTCCAGACTGAAGCAGAGGGCTACACTGTTTTTAGAACTTCAGTGCAAAAAAAGTGTCATGTGACACTGATGTTGACCCCTCTGGACATCAATGATCAAGCAACTTCCAAGCTACATAGCTCTCTCATCGCCGATCCTATTCTATGACTTTACTTTCACAATTCTAGTGGGAGTGATATCTTTTGACTGTCATGTCGATCTAGAACGCTCAGAGCCAACTAGTACATAGGAGTCGTGAGGTCCGAGGATCTGCCAGTTTCTGTTGTTAGGTCTCACTAACAGGGAAGTTTTCTTCGCTATTATTGGACTCCTTCTCCTTTTTGAGGTGGAGATGTGGGGGGTTTTATAGCAGTATTCTCCTTTCCACGCTTTCTAGAAGGCTACCATGAAGCACCAGCTGCTCCTTATGAGCTTCGTACCCCTCATCCTTGCCGACTTACCCTCTATCTCCCATGTGCGGGTCCCCAAGGACCCCTTTGAACCCGTCCAAATTCGTCAGGCGTACGCTGGGTCTACTGGGATGCACCTTTCTTGGAACACCTTCAAAAAACTCCCCGCTGCACCCACCGTGCACTATGGCTTAACTACCACCTCCCTTACTTCCGTTTCTTTGCCCCAAAATGCGGAAAGTGTGACTTACCCTACGTCTCTCACTTACAATAACCATGTCCACATCAAGTACCTGAAGCCGAACACCAAATATTTTTGGAAGCCAGCCTTTTCGAATGCGACCAGCATTTTCTCCTTTACTACAGCAAGGGAGGCGGGTGATCATACACTTTTTACGATTGCTGTGGTTGTGGATCTTGGATTGATTGGACCGCAAGGACTGAGTACAACGGTTGGTGCTGGCGCATCAAACCCTTTGAAGCCGGGAGAGATCAATACGATCCAGTCTCTGCAGAAGCACGAGAGTTGGGATTTTCTTTGGCATCGTGAGTTCAGTCTTTTGGAATGCACCTTCAATCGCTCGTGCTCATCGTCCTGGGTCAGCGGGCGACATTGGATACGCCGATTACTGGCTCAAAGAAGAACTTCAAGGTTACTTGCCCAAGACCTCTATCGCCGACGGCTTTCATGTTTACGAATCTCTCCTCAACCAATTCTACGACGAGATGACGCCCCTTACTAGCAGAAAACCATATATGGTGGGACCGGGAAATCACGAAGCAAACTGTGAGTCCCACCCTTTCATTTTCTGCTAAACCCACTCAACTGCGCATGCAGGTGACAACGGAGGTTTGCATGGGTATGACGTTAAGATCTGTGTCCCTGGCCAAACCAATTTCACTGGCTTCCGGAACCACTTTCGTATGCCCTCCTACGAGTCCGGCGGCCTCGAAAACTTCTGGTACTCTTTCAACCACGGGATGGTGCATTTCATCCAATTCGACACAGAGACTGATCTTGGCCATGGGATCATAGGACCTGACCAGCCCGGGGGGTCGGACGCAGGGGAGGACAGCGGGCCCTTTGGGTTGGTAGACCAACAGATCAACTGGTTGATCAATGATCTAAAGAAGGTAGACCGCAAGAAAACGCCGTGGGTCGTCGCTGGTCAGTCTCTGCCTCGATTTCAAACAATTGTTTTGCTTATATCCAGTGTTTAGCTGGCCATCGCCCGTGGTACGTCAGCGGGGCCATCTGCGCAGAGTGCCAAAAAGCGTTTGAATCCATACTCAATCAATACTCCGTCGACCTCGTCTTCACCGGCCATTTCCATATCTACGAGCGTATCGCTCCCATCTTCAACGGCAAAATAGACCCTAATGAACTGAATAACCCCAAGTTTCCGTGGTACATCACTAACGGGGCTGCCGGTCATTATGATGGGTTGGACAATTTGCATACGAAGTTGGCTCCGTTTAGCAGAGCGGCGTTTGACAGGCATTATGGCTGGAGTCGGCTGGTGTTCCATAATTGCAGTCATTTGACGCATGAGTTTGTGAAGAGCGCGGATGGTAGCGTTCTGGATAGGGCTACTCTTTTCAAGGATAGGAAGTGTTGACAGGTTGGGTGCGGATGTTCTGCTCATAGGTTCTCATGGACTGAATCAAGTTTTAGTTGCGTGTTGGTAATAATTCTCTACTGAAAAAGGCTACTAGCAAAATTTGCGTGCAATACACACATTATGTACCGTGCCAATGTCCAAAATGCTACAAAACAACTCCACCATCCTCAAATTTTTTTTCAAAAAAATGGATGATGGGATGGCACTGCCGCGGAAAACCAAAGCTGTAAAGTGGAAACCTCACAAAGTCTCAGATAGGACTGGAGATGGGGGTCTTGTTGCAATGGGATCATCCTCTCCATCCTCACGGTCATCCTGGCCATCTTCCCCCATGCCGCGCTGCATTTTCAAGTTGATGAGAGACGAAACTCCAGCGCCCAAAGCGGTTGATGCGCCAGCAACTGCTGTCACGCCTGGAAGCACCGCAGTTGCTCCTATCGACTGGAATATCGAGAATAGTCCCCCAGTGAGTCCCCCATATAATATTGATTGAATGGTGGCTGCTAATGAACCTATAATCGTGTTCGAGTAAAAGTTATTCTGAGGTCGGACGGATGGTACTTGCGAAAAATAAATTACATACCAGCCAAGACACCTCCTGCGGTGAACCCTATCGCGTTCAAAGCCATGACCCCGAGCGCTGGGAGAAGGACGACAGACCCCCCGATAATAAGGCCTGCACTTGCCGAGGCGGCAATGAATGGATGATTTTTGTAGAATTCGCTGAGTTGATCTTTGTTTTCTTTCCCTTTCGCTGCTTTCGAGACTGAAGTTTGGGGTTAGAAGGGTCTTAGCCTTTCATATGTTCGAATTCACTCACTTTCTGTCGCCTGGCCTATGAGAGTAAGAATTTTAGGATGTACTACGAGGTCGTTTGGAGAAACCACGTACGATTTACCAGTCTAAAATCCTCCTTGAAGTCATCCCAATCCCAAAAGCTCCGCTTCGTCTCTTCCAAATATCTAGTCTTCCTCTCGCTCATAACGGCTTTCAACTCCTGGGCCTCCCCCTCCGGGGCCAGGAAGAAAATGGCGACATCAGCCCATTGTAAAGGTAGGATGTCGCAATCACCTCCGCAGGCCTCGATAGTTCCACTGAACCAGGCTTCCAGTTTGTTTGCAGAGATTGCCGACTCAGAGTCAGACTGATTCAGAAGGAAGGGGTAGGAATGTGTTTTTCCAGCCCAGTCATCAAGCCGGCGTTTGAGGTTTCGGGGAGAATAGACCATGAAAGGCGAGGCTATATATATAGTAAGACTATCCTTGAAGTCATCCCAATCCCAAAAAAGCCGCTTCATCTCTTTCAAATGACTAGCCTTCCTCTCGCTCATAACGGCTTTCAACTCCCAATCCTCCCCTTCCGGGGCCAAGAAGAAAATGGCGACATCAGCCCATTGTACAGGGGAGATGTTGCAAGCAGCTCCGAATGCCTCGATACCACTAAACCATGCTTCCAGTTTCTTTGTAGAGATTGCTGACTCGGAGTCAGACTGGTTCAGAAGGAAGGGATAGGATTGTGTCGTTCCAGCCTGGCACTCAGCAAGCCGGCTTTCGAGCTCTTGGGGAGACAGGATACTTGGGTTGCCAGCGGGCGCCATGCAGTAGTTCGATGCAGGATGGGAACGTGTTCAGCGGGTGTAAGGTGAGGATAACGTATGAGTCAGTTCAATCTGGGCTGCGGGGAGTTCCCGAGTAAGCAGATTTATGATCAAGCGCGCGTCTAGTGAAACGTGTACGGGCGCTGCCTCGCGGTCGGCGATTATGTACGCGTGTCGATCGGAAGCTATATCAGGACTCCCAATCAACAACTACCCCTCCAATACAAAAGGTAATGTAAGATACAAAGATTAGGCTCACTCGCACAACACACTCCAGTTCTCGAATTGCCGTCTCCCAGTCTGGATATCAGTGATCACGGTGTACATGGCCTTCCCAACGGGGCCCAACCCAGCCTCGTGCACAGGGAGGATGAGATCCTTGCCCTCATGGCCAATGCGGCCCACAGGGGCAACGACGACGGCCGTTCCCACGCCGAAAGACTCGATAATCTTGCCCTGCGCTGAGAGGGCAGTGATCTCGGACATGGTAAGGACGCGTTCGTGCGTGTGCAGCTTTTGTGAGGCTGGGATGCTGGGGAGGAGGAGTTTCCCGGAGGTGTGGGCGTTCGCGAGGGTGAGCGTGGAATCGCGTGTGAGGCCGGGGAGAATGGTGCCGTCTAGCGGTGGGGTGATGATGTCCAAATCTGTCGAGGTGTTAATTTGGTTGATCATGTGGAAAGGCAGAGGCTGGACGTGCCTCCATCATCTCTCTGTGCAACGAGGAAAAAATTCATTGCTCCTACTTCTGTTACTCGTTGGTCGTCTCCGAGCAGCCATAGGATCTGGTCGTAGCCCTGCTTCGCGGCTATTCGTTGAGGGGCAAACCCTGGGGCGTAGTTCAATCCCAGTTTGTGTCCACCAGTCCCTCCCGGCCATGAACGCACACTTTCGCTGACGGCAAGCAATGATATGGGTTTGGTGCCGCCTCGGAAGTAGGGTCCGGCTGGAGTTACGATGACGAAGATGCATGCGCTGTCAGAGGCCGCGACTCCAAGAGCTTAATGGAAGGATAAGAATGTAAGAATACGGGGAGGATCCAAAAACGCCGCACCTGCCCGAGTACCGATGATTGTGGGTCGGATGTATAAGCTGTATCCCGGCTTGGTTGGTATCCACCGTTTCTCAATCTGAATGAAGCGTTCGATGAGGGTGAGGAGGGCGTCCGTGTTGAATGGCTAAAAATAGAGTTGGTGACATGTTGTGGGGTGAGTTTCCGAATGCTTACTGGTAGTGCCACGCGGTCGGCCGAACGTGCGAGACGCTCCATGTTTTTTCGAGGTCTGAACAAACGGGCTTTGCCATCAGGTCCTAGGTATGCCTGGGTTGAAGAGTTGGGATGAGCATCAAAGTCGAAGGCGAAATGATGGGTCGACGCACTTTCATTCCCTCGAAGACATTGGGGCAATATTGCAGGCAGGAGCTCATGGGGTCAAGGCTCAACGGCGCATAAGGTTTGATCTCTGGCGCTGACCAGCCATGTACGGGGTCGTGATTCATGACCAGCATGTGGTCGGTTTGTGTCTAAAGGGTAAATATAAGCTATGAGAAGTCATCAGGTGCAGCACAACTCACCTGGCCGAAAACCAGTGATTCCGGAACAGGAAGAGGCTTTAGTGTTTTCGCCAGGGTAACAACGAGCTTCGAGGCCTAGTAGTAAGAGGAATGTCAGAGTGAACGCTGGTGAATAGCTGATACACGTACATCGAGCTCAGCGGGGCGAGCCTCTGCGACGGCTTGAGGGTTAGATGATTTCAAGATGGCCATTGTGTGGTATTGGTGGAAGACAGTGGTGGATGAGAGGATAGAGAAGAGGGAAATTCCTGGTCCGAGTCATGGTCCGGTCGCAAAAATGATGGGGCGAAATTTTGTTGACACGATCGTTACTACACATACAGTACATCTTATCTTATCTTCGTTGAGATAAAAGATGTGCCACCAAATTCGCGATTTAGATACTCTTGGGCTCGATAACCCGTTTCACGGCTTTCTTATTGTCCAAGTGACTGTACCATTTTGACGGACCACAAACCTCCCAAAAGCAGTAAGTAATGGTCAATTGAACTGTACGTCGGTTTGGACATGATGGACGCCAGGATCCGACAATACATATGTAGATCCGCACCCAAATTGATCTATTCAAGTTGTCACTACACTGACTGACAGGCATTGGCAAAGTCATTGAGCAGCAGCTTGTGGTGAGCTCGGCAAATCTGATCATTATCCTGATGACACTCATAAACCTGTGTGGCCTTTCTTGCTATTGACTTTTCAAGACAATGTACAAATTACGTGGTAAGAATAAATCTATCTCTTTATTGAACCACGCAACTTCATCGTTCGAATATTTGAAGCTGAGGCTGCCCAAAGAAGTAGTCTTTGGAAACCCTCTGTGATTGGCGGCGGAGCGGCCCGGTCCCCAATTGTAACCCTAATATCAAGACCTAACCCCAATCACTGGTTTCCTCCTCCCATCATGTTCGCCCGTCCCATACCCCGGCTCCTGGGTCGTTCATGGGCCAGATCTTCCTTCCATTCAACAGCTTCCTTCTGGGCATCCAAAAGGGTCGTTCACAAGTTTAAGCTTGCCGACATTGGTGAAGGAATAACGGAATGCGAAGTCATAAAGTGGTGCGTATGTTCCGGCCGGACCCACTGGCTCCTTCTGAAAGACATTTCCTTCTCGCAGGAGCGTAAAACCTTTGCAAGTAATTCAGGCTTTTGAGCCTTTGTGCGAAGTCCAAAGTGACAAGGCAAGCGTGGAGATAACGAGCCCATTTGAGGGCGTGGTTAAGGAGCTCCTGGTTCAGGAAGGGGAAGTAGCCAAGGTTGGAGCGGGGTTGTGTCTCATTGAAGTGGATGAAGAGACAAAAGAAGGAGAAGAGGTAGGGAAGGAGGCTTCGACGCCAGCAGTTGAGATAGCGCCACCAAGCGTTGAAGAACCCACTTTGAAGAAACGGGGAGTCCATCCTTTGGATCCGAAATACGTACCGGAGCCTGGTCAGGCGAGGAAGGAGGACGTGTTCGCTGCTCCCTCGGTGCGTCATTTGGCACGTCAAAATGGTGTGGACCTTGGCCTGCTCGTTCCTGGAAGTGGCAAGGCTGGCCGGATAGAGAAGCGAGACGTCGAGGCGTATCTCGCGCGCAGCACCACAACGGAACAAACCACACCGTTGGCGGTTGCAGATCAACAGGAAGATGTTGTTGTTGAGTTGGGCCGGACGCGGTATGGAATGTGGAAAGCCATGGTCAAGGCAAGCGGGGTCTCTCTTATTCGAAATTAGCTTATTGACCACATCTTAGAGCCTCGAAATTCCACATTTTGGTTACTCGACTACTCTGGACGTAACAGAGCTACACAATCTTTTACCCATTTTCAATAACCATATACCTCCCCACTTCTTACCCTCGACTTCTGGTACTCAACCACCTCCCGTCAACCCCTCCGCACTGTACCCCGCGCCTTCTCCGCCTCGGGTTACCGAGTCACATCAATACACGCGTCTAACATATCTCCCTATCCTCCTCAAGACCCTCTCCAAAGCCATGATCGAATGGCCGCTTCTACGGAGTTCCATCACCCCGGGAACCAACGACCCAACCGCAAAACCAACCCTCACCATTCGTCCCTCAGCCGACATCAGCATCGCCCTCTCCACTCCATCAGGCCTCTACACGCCGACCCTCCAATCCGTCAACACCCATTCAATCTACTCCCTCACCTCCCAGCTCAAACACCTCTCTTACCTAGGAAGACAGACGCCCTGCGGCCTGACACCAAAAGAGATGCCCAAGCGGGGGGGGACGGTGACCGTATCCAACGTCGGCGCTATAGGCGCTGGGGAATTTGCGTCGCCTGTTTTGGTACCTGGGGGTGGTGTAGCGATCGTGGCTATTGGGAGGGCCAAGTGGGTTTGGGACGTTGATCGGGGAGATGGGAAAGGGGAGAGGAGGTTGAAGGTTGGGATAAGCTGGAGTGCGGATCATCGTGTTGTGGAGGGTGCGGAGTTGGCGGCGTTTGTGGAATGCTGGCGCGGGTATGTTGAGGTCCCGCAGAGGTTGATTGCGGAGGGTGTATGATAAGTAATTTGGGCTTCGGGGTGATGAAATTCAAGATACCAATGGAATTTAAAACAAGTAAAAAATAGAGGGAGGCTAGTGTGGTTTAGTAAATTTTCTTTAAAACGTCGCCATTTGGTCCTCGCGGCAACTATTCCCGGGAAAGAGCTCTTTATTCCTTGGAAAATCTACTCTGGAGAACCAGAGAATATTCTTGAGGAGTGAGAAGATCGGCCTTGAGCGGAATTAGACGAAGTGGAAGCGTAGAGCGTTGAATGGGGGCGTAAAATACAAATCGATCTCGCTTATCGGGGCGGTAGTTTCAGTGCAGTCCTCCCAAAACGATGTGCTTCGGTCATGAAATCCCCGACAGATGATGTGCACATCACTCAGCCTGCCATCGGGCATGGTTGGGTTACTTAGTACTCCGCTGAGCATCTCCACCCAGCAAATTCGCCACCACAGCAGCGCTATCCTGAGATCTCTTAAGGGTCTCATACAGCACTTGAACGCTCCGACTTGCCTCTGCCAAGAGCTGCTGTTCATTCGGGATGCCCGTTGCGTTTGGTGGAGGAAGCGGGAGAGCTCCGATACCTGTGTGTCTCAAGGTATCGTATAGGTTTTGTATACATTGTTTGAGAGATTCGATGCATTCTATGTGATTGATTCATTGTGAGTGCTTTGTCAGTGAGGTGTTGCAACGGTAGGATCACCAGAAGTATGTTTTGGTGATGTGTTGGGATTGTAGGCGTTTTGTCTGCGTAATCGTGAATGAGCACCTCTCGTCTGCAGATTCGATCAAACCACTGATCACTCACATACTCGACAACACCTCCCTCGCAAGGCTCTGAACCCTAATCACCTGGTCCTGAGCAAGCGCCAAGTGTTCTTTAAACAGCTCTGGTGAATTCGGATCCGTCCCTTGATGGAGGGAGCTAAGTTGCGCTACCCCTCCTCCAGGCTGATGATTCGCATGCGAGTTTACGTTGGGAACGTTGACTGAGAATGGGGGGATGGCTGGGACGCCGTATGTTGGATACCCGGAGATGGGGTTGGTTGACGATGTGGATACGGTCCTGGAAGAGGCTGGGAGCATTTGAGCTGGTATGAGGCGTGTGGTCGGTCAAGATTGTGACGGTGGAACTTATAGCGTCGTGTTTGGTTGATCCAACATCCGGTGCTGATCTCCGCCTCCGCTGCCCTGATGCTTGAATTTTTGAAAAGACCGCGAAGCTACATACTTTCTTGAAGGAAAAAAAAAACATGTTGAGGTTTTGCAGACTGAAGTAAAAGGTCATGCATCCATACACGTCAGTAGCAGCAACTCGTTTCGATCGAGTGACCTCGGGGTTCCACACCACAACAATACAACAATATGGGCCCCGCGCGCTTCCAACTGCGCCATGCTGCTGACACTTACCTGCGCTCACCTAGAAGCTAAGATTCAAAGTCAATAACTTTGACTTGTACCACATCGCTACCAATACGGTAGTACCAAATCTCTACTGTTTGTTTTCCACCCCCGATCTCAAGTCTCTCGTAGGCAGGCAGGCTCGCACGTTCGACAGGCTGATCAGACCATACACTCACTTGCACTCGACTTAGTTTCTGTGTATGCCCGCTCCGACACTGACAGCCGTCGCACGCATCGCGACTCCATATCGAAGCTCAGCCTCGCGCGTCCCTCTTCGCTTGTGACTGACATTAGGCTGCCAGGATTTTGGACAGGTCGTCATTGAAACGCTGATCAAGCTCAGGGGACTTTCGGAGTGATTGTAAGAGCCTGTTCGAAGGCGGGTGAAGGAGCTGCTCGTGGAGAGGGCATGGCGGACGTTGGACTGGGGCTGTCGTGGTATCCGACGCAATATATCGGATCTTCGTCGAGCACGGGTATGGCGTAGTGAAGCGGGTCATCGGGATGTCGTCCCCAGGGGTATGAAGGACGAATCGAATGTAGGACGTCCCCGATTACCACAGCAGAAAAGGGACAAGCGGCGGCGTCACTACATATTAAAAGGAAGACGTCGTTGTGGAATTGGGATGGGTCATGGTCAAGGTGAGTGGACTTCTCTAGGTCCGAATTCTATCGATTGACCGCTTTGTAGAGCTTCCAAAGCTTGACGGACTGCACTTTGGCTATCGCCCCCCACAGTTGCAAATCATTCCTCTCCGCCTTTCCATATGACTTCCTGTTTCTCGGACTGTTCTGTTTGCGGCTCCACTGGGCCTCGCGTCTTCCCTCCCTTAGGTTTCCGGCTCATGGGAATTCATGTGCTTCCCGTGAGACCCTCCCCCAAGTCGTGGCTCGATGGTTTGATGGCTTTCCACGTTATTTTGGGCATTCAAAACGCAGTGTCGAGCAAATGTGGTCTCCCCGGCTCTTTATTCATGCCCACCCCCAACCTATCAAAACCTATGTACGTGCTCCCCTCCCAGCTGAAACCTCGCGACTGTGGCTCCGACAATAGGTTTTCGGTGGCTCCTTTTCGAGTCCGAATTATACTCTGCGCCTTCACTCAGAGCTTGTGTATCACCTCTGAAGGCGGACGACTGGAAACTGACGCCAACATTGGGAGTATGCTCCGCCGACATCAGTGTCGTCGTTTCACCTCTTCGTGCTGACGCTTCAATCTGTTGACACCCACTCAATTCACCCCCTCCTCCTCGTACCTCGGAACGAGGATTCGACTCTGCCTTCCTATATGATAGGCATTATACTCCACGCCTTCACCAGTTGCAACAATTTATGCGGCGACTTCATCTCCCCGTCCGCTTCAAGACTCCCCGTCCAAGCCCCGTCCGCTTTAGGACACGTAAACACCAATTTGTCGACAGATAATGGCTCCTCACGGCTGAAGCACCTATCCGATATCGAGTGTGACATACATCCCCCTCCTGCTAGAGACTCTCTGCAGATACCATGGTTCGAAGGTCTCCTCTGCAGACTTTAACGACCAAAATTGACGTCCCAATCTCAAAATCCCAAAGTCTATCATACAAAAGTCTTACACAACTAATCTTCGGTCTCCGTTCCCTCCCCCTCCGATTCTTCCCCAAAAGGCCTCTTCGCCAATGCCTCCAACTCTGCAATATGTTTATTCAACATCTTCCCAACCATAGCCACCCCCCCAATCAATATCCGAAGATCGTTTCGCAGCTTCTCCGCTTCCGCTGTCAACGCCGAAGTCTTGCGACGATGAGAGGAAGGTCCTGCCCTCAGAGTAGTGTCTTCCATTGAATGATGGCTAACTGAGGAATTGTCTAATGTCCTAGAACCAGAGCCTGAGCCTGAGCCTGATAGGCGCTGCCTGACTTTCCGAGTTTCAGCGTCTACGATCGCTTTTCTTTTTCCCTTGCCCAAATCTCCCGGTGGTGGTGCTACGCCGCCTGCTTGCGGTACAGCACCAGGTACTTTCTTCGTCAGCGAACATGCTTGTTTGAGGTGGATGCATTGCTCGCATCTGCTCCCTAGGCTCTTTTCTGAAAAACACATTCGTGGGACGGCTGCTTGGGTACATCGGTGACACTATAGAACGGCTCTCTTAGTCGTGGGCACGGGGTGAGACGGGATATACGGAGAAAACGTACCCGTGGATCATTTAGTTTGTGGATGTTCGGTTTGAAGACTAAGGGTTCTCTTTTCACTTGATGGGACGACCCCAGTTGAGGCGCCTTTTCCTTCTCCTTCTCCTGCTTGGCGGCTCTCTGAGAGGAGTTTGATGATATTTGCGGAGGAACGGTTGTAGTATCTTCACATCCTGATACATACCTCTCAAAACGAATCCTTAGCACGATCGTGTCTCCGATTTTGCCATCATTCATGTGGTTGATGCGACGTCGTTTGAGATGGAAGAAAGGCTGTTATTAAAGAATGAAAGCCGCGATGATGTGGTTGAGCTTTTCTCCGATCCACGCGAGGGAACTCTGTACGCTGAACCTCACGCCGGGACAATCTACGAGTGGGACCTGCAGAATAATGGTCCCGAATGGTGGATCGGGGAGGAGTAGAATGTCCGACTCGACAAAAAAAAAATACTTTCATTACGCCGGCCGGTTATAGTAAGTGACGAGTGTTCAAGCAAGAGAATCTTGAAGGAGAAGAGACTGAAATTGGATTAACCTTGGCTTAGGCATCGGGAAAGAAACAAATGAGCGGGGAAGTTATCAAGTGGACAAGCTGTGTGATTAGTGCGCTGAACATTTGCTCCAGAAGAAGGTTGGAGAATTCCCACTGCGTTGAATTTGTACTACGCGGCAGACGGTGTTGCGGGCGCAGGTACGATGCGAGGACGACAAGGCAGATTGAGGTTGCCGAGTTGCAACTTGGGAGAACTTAGTATGGCGTCGTGTTTGGTTGATCCAACCCTGATGCTCGAATTTTGAGAAGACCGCGAATGTTCATACTTTCATACTTTCCTGAAAAAAAAAGAAAAGAAAAGCACTGAGGTTGTGCAGAATGAAGTAAAAAGACGGTCACCGAATGAAATAGCAGCAACTCGTTTCGATCGAGTGACCTCGGGGTTACATACTAAAGAGTACTAAGTGTACATTACATATGGGCCCCGCGCGCTTCCAACTGCGCCATGCTGCTGACACTTACCTACGCTCACCTAGAATTTAAAACTTAAAGTTAGTAACTTTGACTTCTACGACCAACCTGAGACGATATGCACCGGACGCGTGGACGGTCTTGGTACACAACTATGTACCCCGAGTCTGCTTCAAGCTGATCTTCGACATCTCGTTTGCGGAACTTTAAAATGTTGATGACTTGCGGAAAGCCCCGTTGCTCTACTTAAGTGACAAGCATGAGAACGAGGCCGTTCCCTTCTCTTTCCCTTGGTTACCCCTCTTCACTCTCTATGGCCTTCAACTGCAGAGACTGTCCGCGCTCCTTCAACACTATTTCAGCGCTCTCATCTCATTGTCGTGCGAAAGCCCATGCCTTTCATGCATGCATCGATTGTGATCGTGTGTTCGTGAACAGTGTAGCGCTGGCACAGGTACGTAATCCACCATTGACTCCCATAGGCTGAGGCCGCTCACTACTCTTTGAAGCATCTCGCTGCGTCTCCTGCGCACACAGATTCCGATCCTTCCAGCGACGAAAGTGACGACGGCAGTGATGCATCTGACGATGAGGAGCCTTACTGCAGGGGGTGCGATCGCTGGTTTATCGACCTCGATAGCCTATACCAGCACCTGTCTGCGAGCCTAAAGCATAACTGGTGCTTTATTTGTTCTAGGGATTTCAATTCGGAGACCGCGCTAGATCAAGTTCGTCCTACCCGTCCTTCACAGTGTATGAACAACGCTTAATAACCTGTTTAGCATAATTTATCGAAGCTGGCCCATGCCGATCGATCCTTCAGGTGCCCCTTCTGTTCGAAGATGTTCAAGGCGCCTTCCGCCATTGCCCATCACATCGAGTCCGGTTGCCATAAGATCAATCGCCACCAAGTCACCGCAGCAGTGAAGAAGCTCAAGATTGTTCCCGACATATGCATCACCCGGCTTCTCCCTTCTTCAGGTCCGCCTACGATTTCAACTTACATTGCGACGGAACAATCGTTCAATGGAACATCGTACGAATGCTTCTTATGCCACAAGGGCTTTCGACTCCTTACCAGCCTTAACGCGCACCTGGCTTCGCCGGCCCACGACGCCGACGAATTCAGGTGCCCAAAGTGCAACAAGGACTTTACGGTAATTTCAGCACTTGTCCAACATATTGAGAGCGAGGTTTGTGGTCTAGCTAAGATGCAGGAGGTTCAGGGTACTTTCAACGATTTGACGGCGAACTTCTCTCGTCTACTTCGTGTTTGAACATGTCGATGTTCTGGTACGTTCATTTTTGTGCAGCTCGCCGTTGCCTTATTCTCTTATCTAGGGGACTGAAACATAGATCAACGCTAGTCGTAGCGTTGTTCTATTTTACAGCCTTCAAACCCTAGATTCTTTTTTTGTTTCGTATCGTTCTTGTCTGCTCCGCGTCAAGTTGTTTTACCCTGCAGTCATCGTCAGTTCTTGTAAAGCTACCTGGAGTTGATAGTGAATCTCTATTCAACGTGTCGTATGTGTAACACTCAAAGAGTTTTGCTTGCCTACTTCTGTTACCGCAATTCTTGATTCGCCACAACCGATTTCTAGCCTGGTCGTAGGGTGGGGTTTTAGACCCACACATTGATAGGTTTATCTTAGAGCATCCCTCCATTTAACCTCCACTATCCTGGACGTGAGAGTAAAATACGATAGACAATCAAGATGAATTAGCGGAATTCGGAGCGGCCTCAAGCCGCGATGTGTCGTCTACACTAATGCCTCTAAAGAAACATTAAGAAATCAACGCCCTTCTTGCTCGCAATGATTGTTTGGTTTTCATAGCATTACGACTTAACTTCCACTGAATACTACTTATGCGTCTCTGAAAGACCGTAAGAATGCAAGAATTTACGCGTTTTATTTGTTTTAACAATCCTCTGCTACCCCTATAGTTTACCACGCAGTAAAACACGTCTACCATTTTGGTTACTTTTTCTGTAGCCTGCACTTCACACAATGTACTGTAATTCATCCATCCAGGCCTCAAATCTACGCAGACAGATGGTTGAACGTTGAACACTCAGGAACCTTGATTACGATCAACTTTCAAGCATACCCCAAGCATACCCCACATGCGAATGATTCCCCGCATCGGAAGAAAGTCCCGGTAATTCAAATTCGAAAATTTGTCCCGTTGTGGCCCGTGGGCCATCAACGTTCAACTAATCATTTACATAATAATGTTGTTACATACTACGCACCAAGCTTTGAGCATTTCAGCCAAATAAGATGAAAATTCATGTCTTTCCCACTTAAGACGCTGGGTGAAGGGTAGATTTTAGAAATGCGGTTGAATAACTTCAGGGATTTTTATACGTCATTCGTGAGGGAGAATTTAGCGGACACAATAAGTAGTCAGAGAGATTATTAATATTGATTCCTCGCACCACATCGGAAGCCCGGTCCGACTCAAGAGGAGGTAAGTAATTAGACGAGCACGGTTAGTCACAACGTTAGTATATTGGAGGGCCATGCAGGGAGAGAAGAGTTGCACCCCTATGTGTAAGGGGAAGTGAGTATGTTCATGAAATTTCTCCGGTCAAGGATGTGCTGAAAATTATAAATAAGCTCAATTTTCGAAGGAAAAGCGTTTACTTACGTAAGCGAAACCGTCAAGCCCTACTTCGGAGTCTAAATTTATCCATTCTTACCACCATGCTCTGGAACGTCTCGCCGACGCTTGCTCTCTTATGCGCCATACGCTTACTATACGTCCGGCTATAACGTTTGAAAAGTCGATGCCACTTTAGAACCTACGTTGACAACGGTCCAATCATGTAAGAGCTTGCGAAATTGACCTGGTTGAAATTGGTTGACTAACACGTTTGCTCAGGAGGTGAATCTCACTCCATACCTTGCGATCTATCCCGAGTGGCACGAGGAAAATCTGAGATCGAAACTAACACTATAAAATCTCCCCACTCATAGGTTTCGGACCCCAGGCTTCGGACAAGATGCTTCTCTCCCTCTCCTACGTGTTGGCGCTCTACTCTCTGTCAACGTTCGCTGCGCCCACCACGAACGACGGTGTTCCCCGCGTCAAGTTGGGGAAGACGACGCTTGTCGGGAGGGCTATCACAGCGTCGAAGGTCGAGTTCTTTGGAGGTACCGTCGTTCGCGTTGGTTACTTGACGATTTGTTAACCTATAAATTTGCTTTGCTTGTAGCTATTCCTTATGCTGAACCTCCCCTTGGTCCGCTTCGCCTCAGGCCTCCTGTGCTGAAAACGCATCTGAACGTTGCTACGTTCAACGCGACAAATTTTGGCAAGGGTTGCTTGCAATATGTAAGTCGGTGCTGCCTTGCGATCGTTTATGCTGATATCAGGTGTCGTCAGCCAAAGCATCTTACTGCTGATGAAGTTGACGAGGATTGCATGACTATCAATGTTTATCGTCCGGCTGGGATTAGTTCTGATGCCAAATTACCTGTGGTGCGTTTCATTTTTATTATTATGTCGACCTTTTCAGTGACGTCTTTTGTTCAGCTGTTTTGGACGTACGTTGTTCAAGACATATTTTCTCTTCCCGTCTCAAATTAATGATATCTTAGCCATGGCGGTGGGATGATTCAAGGTGCTGGAAACATGTTCAACGGAAGCGCAATCGTCGCTCAGAGCATAACTCGGGTTTGTTCCTCCTCTCACCCTTCCCTTAATGCAAGTATTCATTTCAATCTCTAGGGTACCCCAATCATCTACGTCAACTTTAACTATCGTCTCGGCCCTCTTGGGTTCCCTCAGGGTCAAGAAGGTGGGTAATCCTCCTTGCGTCAGCCGTATGACTCAAACATATTATCGTCTAGCCATCAATAACAAAGCGCTCAACCTTGGACTCAAGGATCAAGTAACCGCCCTCGAGTGGGTCCAGCAGAACATAGGGATTTTTGGCGGTGACAAGAAAAAGGTCAGTGGCTACCACCAAGGCTAATAATCACGCCACTAATCTCCATTCCAGGTAACCGTCTTTGGAGAGAGCGCCGGGTCTATCATGACGTCCGCCCTCTTCCTTAACTCAAACCTCGAGAAGTATGCGAGGGCTGCAGTAAGCCCCTGTCAATTATCACCAACGACCCCTACCAACCCACCCTCAGATCTTCCAATCTGGACACTTGACATTCAAAGGAAACTTTCCCGCAACGCATCAACAATCCGATTGGGACGGCTTCGTTGCCCTCGTCCCAAGCTGCGCCGACCTTGTCGCTATGAATAACACCTGGGATTGTATTCGTGAGGCCCCTGTCGCTGAGATCTTTGCTTCCCTCGTCAACGTGGAGACAAACACGGCCGCGCCCTTCATGCCAGTGCTTGATGGGCCGGACGGGTTTATCCCAGATTACCCGTCTAAGTTGTATGCCAAGGGGCATTTCGCGAAACTGCCATTCATCACGGGGACGAACCTTGATGAAGGTGCGTTATTTTATTCTTCTTGCCTCTGGAGAATATGAACTGAAGTGAAGAAATGTAGGGACACTCTTTGTAGCCCCGACGATCAACTCCACGGACCAAGTTCGCGCGAGCCTCATCGCCGGCGCCTCTCCCTCCAACAACCCCGCTTCGCTAAACGCCTCAGTGGATAAGATCTTGCAGCTGTACCCCGATGTTCCAGCGCTCGGTGCACCCTTCGGGACTGGGAACGAGACATTCGGGTATTCGAGCCAGTACAAACGGATGGCTGCCATCTGTGCGTTCGCTTCCTTTCCTTTCTTGGTTTCACCCCGAACTGACTGTTGTGGCATAGCTACTGATGCGATGATGTTGGCGCCGCGCAGATTCTGGCAGAAAGCCGCTGCCGACTTTGGAGTGAAGACCTACGGGTATCTGTTCACTGAGCCTATGCTTGCGGACCCCCCTGCTCTCGGCAGTGCGTTTGTTTCTTCCTTTGTGTAAAGTTGCGATATTTACCCACTTGACGTTCAGCAACGCACGCTGTTGATCTCACATTCGTCTACGGTGGACTCTACTACAAGCCCCTCGAGAAAACGACCTCCGCACACACAGCTAGCAGCTACTTCATTGATTACTGGGTATCGTTCACGAATGGCTTGGATCCTAATGACGGGAAGGGTGTACAACGTGAGTTTCCTCTTTGCATTGCCTCCTTGAGTGTCCGTTGAAGGGATTTCTCTGATATCTTAGGCCCGAAATGGGAGCAATACACATCTAAGAACCAGGTATGTCTTCCTCTTAATTTCATGAAAAGGATGTTGACACCGGTGATGCCTTTGTAGGTTCTCCTGCAGATTAACGGACAGAACACGACGACTATCCCTGATACCTTCCGCAAGACACAGACTGACTTCATGAATTCGGATCCCGCAATTTGGTTCCATTAATTTAAAAGAGACTAGTTTCCATTCCGTCGACTCGAACTACCTGCCTACCCGAGGGGAGACTTGAGAAATAGTGACGCATTTGGATAGGATAATACGATTGATGACGATGTGAGAATAATGGTTATGATATTGTTACGATTGTACTTTTTCGGTTTCGTGTAAGATGTGACGTTTTGCGTTAAGTAATGTTTCTCTTCAGGCAACAAAGCTATGCATTATTACTGTGATGGTTGAACATCACTACGAAACATTTATATACCAGAGGCGCCGCTATCTACTTAGGGAAAATATATATAAGTCCCGGACACAAGACTTACTCCGAGTTGAGCTTGAGCTTCTCCTCCCAGATGATTTCCACTAGAGTTAAAACATAACTATCGGCCAGGTGATCAGGAAGAGCCTTCCTCAGCCACCCTTCAATTTTTTCCAACCCATAGCCGTTGCTGTGCATCATGTGTTCAATGTGAATCCGATGAACCTGTGCTACCCGCAAGGCGTTTACCAATATGTCGCACTCGAAGCGGTGACGCCGAAGGAGTTCTCGCAACCATTCCTCATCCCAGGCATCGTCGTGGTCCACACGAGTGCTAGTAGGGTTGGCAGGGGGCGGAGTTGCGACACTGGGCTCCAGTCGGGATGATGAAGCACTGCGGGACGAGGGAGGACCGCGAGATGACGATGGTGGCTGAGTGAGGGTGCGGTTCCATGTAAATGGTACGGAAGGTGGGGTTGGTGGAATGGAGACGACGGCCGAAGTAGAGGCGAGGCGGGAGCTCGTACCCTTTCCCCCTTTCTCGTTGGTTTCCTCGGGGTGTTCCCTCATTTTTCCTGTCCGTCGCTCTAGGCGGGCCGCGACATCATTTCCCACCCCCTCCACGTTGTCCCCAGTAGTAAAGCGCACTCGCTCGCTCCTGGCCTGGGTTTGAGAGGAACCGAATCCCGTCGACTTTGAAAAGTTAGTCAGTGAAGGAAAGGTTGCGATAAGAGGTACGTACCTGTGAATTTGACGCGGCTTTAGTCCCTGTTGCTGTCTGGGATAGGTATAAAGATTAGTCCAAATGAATGAAGAAGAAATGATAGAAATTTTTACCTGCGAGTTTTCCTCTTTGCATTGCCTCCTTGAGTGTCCGTTGAAGGGATTTCTCTGATATCTTAGGCCCGAAATGGGAGCAATACACATCTAAGAACCAGGTATGTCTTCCTCTTAATTTCACGAAAAGGATGTTGACATCAGTGATGCCTTTTGTAGGTTCTCCTGCAGATTAACGGACAGAACACGACGACTATCCCTGATACCTTCCGCAAGACACAGACTGACTTCATGAATTCGGATCCAGCAATTTGGTTCCATTAATTTTCAAAAGAGACTAGTTTTCATTCTGCCAACTCGAAACCACCTGCCTACCCAAGGGGAGACTTGAGAAATAGTGATGATTGATTTCGCATTCGGATAGGATAAGTAATACGATTGAAGACGATGTGAAAATATTGGTTATGATATTGTTACGACTTGGTTACGACTGTACCTCTCTAGCTTTTTGCTTTTTCTACCCCAATCTGAAGTCTCTCGAAGGCAGGCAGGCTCGCACATTCGACAGGCTGATCAGGACCATACACTCACTTGCACTCGGCCTAGTTCCTGTGTATGCCCACTACGACAACCGTCGCACTCCGCGACATCGCGTATCCCCTCTTCGCTTGTGCCTGACTGGGCTTCCAGGATTTTGGACAGGCCGTCATTGACGCTGATCAAGCTTAGGGGACTTTCGGAGTGATTGTAAGAGTTTGTTCGAAAGGCGGGTGAAGGAGCTCTTCGTGGAGAGGGGGGGCATGACGGACGTTGGACTGGGGTTGTCGTGGTATCCGACGCATATATCGACGCGTCGAGCAAGGGCATTCCATGGTGAAGCAAGTCATGACTCATCTGGATGTCGTCCCCGGGGGTTTGAAGGACGAACAGAAGAAGTAGGACGTCGCCGATCAAAGTGAGGGGATTTCTTTAGTCCACATTCTATCAATTGACTGCGGCGTAGAGCTTTGAAGTTTGACGGTCTGCATTTTGACTATCGCACCTCAGCTGCAAACCATTGCTCTCTGCCTTCCCAAAATGCCCTCCTGCTTCTCAGATTGTTCTGTTTGCGGTTCCACATCACGCCCCTGAAGGCGGGCGACTGGAAACCGAGGCCAACATTGGGAGTCTGTTCCGGCGACAGCAGTGTCGTCGTTTCGCCTCTTCGTGCTGACGCTTCAATCCGTTGACACCCACTCAATTCAACCCCTCCTCGTACCTCGGGACGAGGATCCGACCCTGCCTCTCTCCGCATCATAGGTACTTTGCTCCACGCCTTCACCGGTTGCAGCAATCCACGGGGCTGCTTCATCTCCCCAATGTCCGCTTCGACTCCCTCTAGGGCACGCAAACTCCGATTGGTCGACAAGCAATGACTTCTCCCAGCTGAAGCACCTCTCCGATGTTGACATTATTCGACCACGCTTCATGCATCTGACATACCATATTGCAAAAGACGCCCTGCAGATACTCTGTTTCGAAGGTCTCTCCCCCAGACTTAAACGACCAAAACCGACGTATCAATATCAAAATCCCAAAGTCTATCATACAAAAAAGTCTTATACAACTAGTCCTCAAACTCCGTTCCCTCCCCCTCCGATTCTTCCCCAAACGGCCTCTTCGCCAACGCCTCCAACTCTGCAATATGTTTATTCAACATCTTCCCAACCATAGCCACCCCTCCAATCAATATCCGAAGATCGTTTCGCAGCTTCTCCGCTTCTGCTGTCAACGCCGAAGTCTTGCGACGATGGGACGAAGGTCCTGCCCTCGGAGTAGTATCTTCCATTGAATGATGGCTAACTGAGGAATTGTCTAATGTCCTAGAACCAGAGCCAGAGCCTGATAGCCGCTGCCTGACTTTCCGTGTCTCAGCGTCTACGATCGCTTTTCTTTTTCCCTTTCCCAAATCTCCCACTGGTTGTGCTACGCCTCCTGCTTGCTGTACAGCACCAGGTACTTTCTTCGTTAGCGAACATGCTTGTTTGAGGTGGATGCATCGCTCGCATCTGCTCCCTAGGCTCTTTTCTGAAAAACACATTCGTGGGACGGCTGCTTGGGAACATCGGTGACACTATAGAACGGCTCTCTTAGTCGTGGTGGTGAGACGGGATACTTGCGGAGAAAACGTACCCGTGGATCATTTAGTTTGTGGATGTTCGGTTTGAAGACTGGGGGTTCTCTTTTCACTTGATGGGACGAGGTCGGTGGAGGCGCCTTTTCCTTCTCTTTCTTCGCCGCTCTAGAGTTCGAGTTTGAAGATGTGCCAGCACCACCGGGAGCATCGCCTTCAACGACCTCCTCCTGCCCCTCCTCTCCGTCTTCGGAATCATCAAACTCCAAGTCGATGATCTGCGATAGAGGTACTACCACGGCGATCTTGTTCGCGCACCTGGAGAACCGCTGGTCGATGATGGTGAGCGCTGGTTGGGTCAACCACGTCCGGGATCGGAGCGTTGCCATCCATGAGGGCATGAGGTTTTTGGGCCAGCGGAGTTGGTGCTCTGTTGCTGTTTCGACGGTGCCGATCCATTTGTCCTGGGATTGGTTACATTACATATATGATTGGGGGTTGGATTGGACGGACGAGGTGCTTACCAGTACCTCTGAGATGATGGCCCACTCTGCCTTTTTCGCATCGGCTCTTTTGAGTTTGGGGGAAGAGGCGGATATGACGGAGTTCAGTCTTGTTGTGGCGCGCTTGAAGTCTTCTAGAATCCTGTTCGACATGGCTGGTTGAGGGAGAGAGAGAGCAGCAGAAACGTTATCTTGTAACCAGCTTGTAAGTTGTACTCGTGTGAGGCTGTTCACATTTGATCGGACACATTCAGGGTCATCAAATGCGATTCGGAGGGATTATATTTAGAGTTTGTCAACGCGTGATATTCGACGTGGTTACTCCGAGTCCCTGCAAATCTGCAGCTCTCCCATCCAAACCCATATCGCACTTCGAGAGGCAATGCCGCGCAGTACGTTCTTCCTGGCGCCCCTCTTCCTCTGAACCAATCTTAATCTTCATTCCCACACCCAGAATCTTCTGCGGCCGTCTCGAACTCTCGACTTCCCCTTCGACTTCCGAATATCCCCTCAACGGTTGGTTTCATTCGTTTTGCTCGTTCCCTTCCTCTTACACGCATGACAGCTTGCACAGAAACGGCGTATATTTGGGGTAACCCAAAAAGAGCTTAACGCGATTTTCGTGAGTTGTTTTTCGTTCTCCGACCTCCTCCGCCGTTCAAGCTGATAGGGGGAAATGGTAGGGTACCGTTCGACGGTTCTCGGACCTATACCTCGACCTCAATCACCTCGCTACGCACCAGGAGGAACGACTGATTCAAGTCGAGAATGCTGTGAGGTCCCCCCTCATTGTTTTATTCAACGCAGCTGCTCAGTTGACATACATAGGTGAAAGAAGCATATCCCAACATTTTCAGTAATGGTGAAACTAAGATTCAGCACCTCCGGAATTGTATATATAGAAATCATGACGTTGCACGATCAGCGAGGAAAGTTACCAACAGAGGAGGAATGGGAGAGGTGGTGGAGACAGGCACAAGGGAAACTCAGGTTTCTGATGAAAGTGGTGAAAGTGATGCAGAGGCTATGGATGAGGATGCTGGGCCCTCCAGCGCTAGTGGGCGTTTGGTACGTTTGTTATGATTATTCTTGGGGAGGCAACCACTGATACTCTTTCAGAGTCAGGGTTCCCCCGTGCAGCCGGAAAGCGAACCCCGGAACACCCACTCGTCTAGTGCAAGGCAGGCTTCATTGCCCCCTGATTCAGTCGAAGAGACAGTGCACGTCCGCCCCAGTCATTCTGCTCCATTACGAAGGAGAGGCTGCCCACCGAAGCAAAGTGCACAACCCACGGAGGGGAGCGGGGTCACTCCTTTCGTCAATGCGTCAGCTTCGACTAGTGCAGGGCATGATTTATTGCCCCTTGATTCGGTCGGGCAGGCGGTGCATGTCCACCCCGGTCATTCTGCTTCACCACGAAAGACAGGCCGCCCATCGAACCGAGCAACGGAAAGGAGAGGGCTCATACTTCCCGTCAACTCATCAGCTTCGGCCAGTCGACTCCCCAACCGTCAAGTCGAGGTCGTCATTCAATCTACACAACTTGCATTACCTCCAACCGTACACGTTCCGCCGCCTAATACTCAGCCCGAAACGCCTCCCAACGACGGCTCAGATCCAGGTTTAAAAGAAGTAAAACAATTCCTAGCGTCAACGTGCAAACCATCCCTCATCCACCTCCTGGACCACCTCGTGCACTACGGCTGCGTCAGCGGCGATTTCCTGCGCTTTTTGGCGGGACGGGCGGCGAGGGTTGAGGAGGAGGAGTTTCATAAGTATTTGAGGAATCATTTCTCGAAGGGACGTGCACGTGCACATGGACAAGAAGGGAGGGATTTGACGGAGATTGAGATTTTGGTTTTGACGGAGGGGTTGTTGAGTTTAAGGGGTGATAGGTGAGGGACGGGTTTGGGTGTTGGAATTGGAATTGGTTGGGGAAATTTGATGTGGATGATGAAGGAGATCATTCTCTATGATGCAGAGTGTGTGTTGTACGACAGGGAAGGTATGGGGGAGTTGAACTGAGCTGAGAAGACCCTTGCCCTTTTTTCTCGGAGGGAGGGCGCACCATCGGGGCAAGGTCGGGGCTGGTCGGGGGTTACATCGCACTGGGGCGAGCGAAGCAGAAGTTTGGGGAGTGCTAGTGAACGTTGGCGCCAACCTTCAATATTTCAGTATTCAACGCCGACTTATCCTCGCCGGCCACTCCGTAAAAGTTACTCACCCAATTGCTGTACCAACAAACCAATTTTTCCGTCTTTCTCGGCTTATATGGTTTTATTTCGATACGCCGTAGAACATATGAAGTCGGATATGGTGTAAAGGGTGCTGCATACCATGAAATGATACGGTGTGCTTGAGTAGAATATGTGTCGTGGTGGTCTGGGTTCGAATCCCAGTGTCCGATTGAATGAGTGTGGAACGAATATTATTATGGAATAGCTAAGCGCTTACACCTTCCATACAACGAAATTTGAATTTACCATCCGTTTTCGTATTTTCTGTTGATTTTCTGGCGATCCTAGTGTTCGAAATGTACATGTTGTGAAGTCTCTCTCTTTCATTCCAAAAAAAAGAACAGGAGAAACTAAAGGAACGTTGCAGAGGAGTGGAGTTTGGGAGAGTTGCTGTGGAATAACGCGTCAGCTATGTAAAACCTTCCGCACGATGTGATGCATACAAGAATGTACGAACTAGATTTTGCTCACTCTGAGCGGGAGTTCGTTCTTACCATTCCCACCAACCACAGTAGGCGTGGCTATCATGTTCATCTGCCAAAATATCTCCTTGTCGGAGGGGGAGAATTTGAAAGACTCGATCAAGAGCGAGAGCACGACCTCTGAAGAAATCGCGTCAGTCATCAAGAAAAAAATACTGAGCTTGTGGAATTCAACAGACTCATTTCGAGTTGGGAGAATTTGAATCCGCTGTGGGGTGCGATGTTTCAGTTATATTGAATAACGAAAAAGAAAATACGAGGGGTGATACACACATGCAAGATCTCCCACCGCCCCCGAATGTCATACTGATATTTTTCACGGATTAAATCAGCATTTGACAAGACGAGACAATACCGATTACCCACAGGTTTGAATAGACACCTGGAATAGGTGCACCAGCTACTGAGAAGGGTGAGGCGCTCACCCATCTCTCTGGAATCCATTCAAAAGAATTGGAACCCCATATCTCCGGGTCACGGTTGGATGCGAGAGCCGAGACGATGATGTTTGTATTTTTCGGGATGGGAATCTCATTGATTTCGTGTCCGTCGAGGCCTTTGATGGGGTTTAAAAGTGGCATCACGGTGTCTGCGCATGACCTGTTTCATTTCCTCATCAGAATGAGAAGAGAATTAGGGGCGAGGTGAGAGATGCACGTTCTCAAAATATAAGATACCGGAGGGTAAAGGCGAAGGGTTTCTCTGCAAACCGCGTCCAGATATGGGAGTGCTACTAGCTCGTCGTATGCAAGGTCCCCGTACTTCACGCGGGCGTCGGTGACTTCGCGGCGCAGTTTTTCTTGAACATCTTGATTCTGCGCTAATAAAAATAGGGTGCGAGCGAGCGCGTTTGAGGTTGTGTCCATAGCTGCGAATATCAAAGTTCTAGAAAATAGAAAATTAGACCCAGAGCAAGCTGCAGGTTTTTTTTATGAGAGTAGAAACGCACGACATCTGTCCGATGAGGTCAGACTCATCTAGTTTATCGTCATCCGTTGCATGCATGTTGGCCCTCACTAGTGCAAGGATAAGCATGACACTATCAAAGAGAAGGTGATAATCTACTTACTGAGAATACTCATAATATCCTTTCCCCTCCCAATCTGTCTCGCCAAAACCTCGTCCCCATCCATCAACGCCTTTTTCTTGGATTCGAAAATCTCGACAGAAGTGTTGTACATCACATCGACAATGTCCCGCATATCATGCAGATTTTTCCACGGAAGCAAGTCAACGACGAATCGTCGGAATTTTGGGGTGCCGATTTTGAGTGCGGGTACAAGCAGGTACGCACGGAGGAATGAGACGCGTAAGGAGGTCGGTCTTGGCAAGTTGGACGGCTGTTCAGAAAAGTTTCACTCTAGATGGTGAATAAGACTCACAATAGCTTTTTGACGGAGCCGCTGTATGGGTGTGGTGTGGCGTCTTCAACTAAGGGGTCAAATGAGTAGCCTAGACCACTCTGTCCAATTAATTCCAGTGCTGTACGAGCCATCTATGAGACGAGATCGATCTGAAAAGAGTTGGAGAGTGTCAATTGAAAGGTTTTTCTCATGAAATTTACCTCTTGAGGACCATCTTCGACTTTCAGCGCAATCGACGCCTGAAGCTGAGTGGAGAGGATGAGGATCGAATGGGGAATTAAAAAAGAGGGGTGCTAACGTTATGAGTGACATTGTAGAAAATGGGAACTGGGATACCGTTTAGCGTGAAGAGAAAGGAGTGGTTAGGATCACCGAACTCATTTCACGCATGTGAGCAATGGAAAAGACTGGGTTTAACATCTTTCTTTGTCGGCGATGATGTTCTCCTGGATTGATAAATGGATTGGTGTATCACGAAAAGCGTTTGCATCGCTCACCCTTGGTCGCCACCAGCCCTTTACCAAACACTAAGCCGTTGAATCTGAGCGATTGAATGTGAACAGTCAGGTACGAGAGCCTTTGGCAGAAGAGAGAGGCAAATTTACGCAAAAATCGATGTGTCCTTTTCGTATGAATGTTGATCCTGGAACCCGTATATTAGCAGAAAAGAAGGGCGGTTGAGGGCTGGCTTACCTTTACAACAATGTGGTGCATCGCCTTCGAATCGAACACATAAAGTTGATTTTCCTACATCAAACAAATGAGTGTCGGCCTAGGAGCCCTCTGATGACGAGGATCTTGGACATACACCAAAAAGAGCCTTGACCTTGACCACGCCTCCATCTGACAAGAATAGTACTTTTGAGACTCAGACACGAACAAAGTCCAAATGTTACCTACATTTTGTTGCAATGTCTTGATGGAATTCCCAACCATTAACGTTGAACAATTGCGGGAAGTTACCTGACAAGCAGTTTGTCCCGCTCGTTGTTGGACTTAAGAGTACTAGGTACCTTTGAAGAAAGAAGGGGAGGGAGGCCCTGGAATGTTATCGAGGGCTGTCTTGACGACGAGGCGACGCAGAACGCAATAAAATGCCCAGAAGATAGCGAACGAAAAGATTCCTTTGAAAATTAACCCGAGCATGATGGGAGACGGTGGACACGCACTGGCATAGCCAGGGCCGTCCTGGTCTTGTTCTTATCAAGATTGAGTGTGGCCACCAATGAAGAGCTGGGGAAGGAATTCGAAGGCATTCAGTTGTTGAGACTGCCTTTGGATCTTTTGTCTCACAGAACGAATGAACAGCTCACCTTTGACGTGCAGTGTGGGCACTTTTCTGCAACTATTTGACATTCCAAGGGAAACTTGTCAAGATCAAGCTCTGCGACAAGTACAAAACTTCTCAGGAATGTCAAGAATAGACTACCCCGAGTTCGAATGGCCTTCTGTGCATGACAGATCGACAGTGGAAGTAATGATCACGTGAGGCAAGGGATGTGGGCTGATACCAAGGTGTGTCGGAAGTTGGTCGGAAGCCCGTTCCTCATTAAGACCGATCCGGGATATATGTACTCTACTCTACTCTTGGCCTGGGGGGCATATGTACATACCATGTATAGTGATGGCGGGGATTGGATGTACATATCAGAGCATGCGCATACGACCATGGCAATAAAAGAACAATGATGAACTAGACTTTGCTGACTCTGAGCGGGAGTTCGTTCTTACCATTCCCACCAATGACAATAGGCGTCGCTATTGAGTTCATTTGCCAAAATATCTCCTTGTCGGAGTGGGAAAATTTGAAAGACTCGATCAAGACCGAGAGCACGACCTCTGAAGAAAGCACGTCAGTGAGCAAGAAAAAATTACTTCGTTTGTGGAATTGAACGGACTCATTTCGAGTTGGGAGAATTTAAATCCGCTGTGGGGTGCGATTTTTTTAGTCATATAGAATAACGAAGAAAACAAGAAATGATACACACATGCAAGCTCTCCCGCCGCCCCCGAATGTCATACTGATATTTTTCACGGATTAAATCAGCATTTGAAAAGGCGAGACAATAAATCCGATGACCCACAGGTTCGAATAGACCCCTGGAATAGGTGCACTAGCTACTGAGAAGGGTGAGGCGCTCACCCATCTCTCTGGGATCCATTCTAAAGAATCGGAACCCCATATCTCCGGGTCACGGTTGGATGCGAGAGCCGAGATGATAATGTTTGTGTTTTTCGGGAGGGGAATTTCATTGATTTCGCGTCCGTCGAGTCCTTTGATGGGGTTTGAAAGTGGCATCACAGTGTCTGCGCATGTCCTACATTATTTCTCAGACATCAGAATGAAAGAAGGTGAGGGGCGAGTTGAAAGGCGCACGTTCTCAAAAGGTAAGATAACGGGGGGTAAAGACGAAGGGTTTCTCGGCAAACCGCGTCCAGATACGGGAGTGCTACTAGCTCATCGTACGCAAGGTCCCCGTACTTCACGCGGGCTTCGGTGACTTCGCGGCGCAGTTTTTCTTGAACATCTTGATTCTGCGCTAATAAGAAAAGGGTGCGAGCAAGCGCGTTTGAGGTTGTGTCCATAGCTGCGAATATCAAAGTTCTGGGAAATAGGAAATTAGAGCCAGAGCAAGCTGCAGGGTTTTTCGTGAAAGTAGAAACACACGACATCTGTCCGATGAGTTCGGACTCATCTAGTCTATCTTCATCTGTTGCTTGCAAGTTGGCTCTCACTAGTGCAAGGATAAGCATGACACCATCGAAGAGAAGGTGATAATCTACTCACTGAGAATACTCATGATATCCTTCCCCCTCCCAATCTGTGCAGCCAAAGCCTCGTCCCCATCCATCAACGCTTTTTTCTTGGATTCGAAAATCTCGACAGAAGTATTGTACATCACATCGACAATGTCCCGCACATCATGCAGGTTTTTCCAGGGAAGCAAGTCAAGGACGAAGCGTCGGAATTTTGGCGTGCCGATTTTGAGTGCGGGGACAAGCAGGTACGCGCGGAAGAACGCGACGCGGATGATGGTGGGCCTAGGACGGCCGTCAAGAGAAGTTTCAATCTGAATGGTAGATCAGACTCACACTAGCTTTTTGACGGAGTCGCTGTACGGGTGTGGCGCGGCATCTTCAGCTAAGGAGTCAAATGAGTAGCCTAGGCCACTCTGCCCAATTAATTCCAGTGCTGTACGAGCCATCCATGAGACGAGATCGATCTGAAAAGGGTTGGAGAGAGTTAATTGAAGGTTTTTCTAAAGAAATTTACCTCTTGAGGACCGTCTTCGACTTTCAGCGCGATTGACGCCCGAAGCTGAGTGGAGAGCATGAGGATCGAACGGGCGATTGAAGATGCAGAGTGCTAACGTTATGAGTGACATTGTAGAAAATGGGAACTGGAATACTGTTTAGCGTGAAGAGAACGGAATGAGGGGTCAGGATCAACGAACCCATTTCACGCATGTGAGCAATGGAGAACACTGGGTTTAACATCTTTCTTTGTCGGCGATGACGTTCTCCTACATCACTAAATGAATTGGTGTATCCCGAAAAGCGTTCGCATCGCTCACCCTTGTTCGCCAGCAGCCCATTACCAAACAGTAAGCGGTTGAATCTGAGCGATTGAATGTGATCAGTCAAGTAGCAGAGCCTTCGGGAAAAGAGAGAAAGCAGGTACACAAAAATCGATGATTCCTTTCCGTATGAATGTTGATCCTGTTTGAAACACACATGTATCTTGGCACAAAAAAATGTGCTGTGTGAGGTCTGGCTTACCTTTACAACAATGTGGTGCATGGCCTTCGGATCGAACACATAGAGTTGATTTTCCTTGATCAAACAAAGTGAGTGTTGCCGCCTAGTAGCCTTCTCATGACAACAATCTCGAACATACACCAAAAAGGGCCTTGACCTTGACCACACCTCCATCTGACAAGAATAGTACTTTTGAGACTCACACACGAACAAAGTCCAAATGTTACCTACATTTGGTTGCGATGTCATGATGGAAATCCCAACCATCAACGTTGAACAATTGCGGGAAGTTACCTGAAAAGCAGTGTGTCCCGCCGCGCGTTGTTGGAGTTGATAGTACACGTACCTTTGAAGAAAGAAGGGGAGGGAGGCCCTGGAATGTTATCGAGAGCCGTCTTCACGACGAGCCGACGCAGAACACGATAAAAAGCCCAGAGGCCAACGAACACATAGATCCCTTTGAAGATTGACTCGAGCATGGTGGGGGAAGGAGGAGCGTGCACTCTGCCGGAATGGTGCCACGACTCATAGCCACCGTCCCGAAGTTCTTGTTCTTCATCAAAGACGAACCAAGTTTGGTTAGTACTTAGTGGTGATAGGTGGTGATATATTGATACGTAACAGCTTCGGGAATCGGCATTTCCCGAGAGCCGTGTGCTTTTTACATGGACGGCGCCTCCGTATCACCAGCTAGCAGGTTTCTTTTTTCTTCCCAGACGTACTTAGCTCTCCTAAAATAGAAAATGTAGTAGCGACGTTAGACTTATTGCAAGCGATTCTATTATTGTCGGTCACTATTGTATGTACACCCTGCCCTCAAATCCCCTCAGCCGAATGTCATTTGAGCCTGAGGCAACTCCAATTTCGTCTCCTTCATCGCCTCCATAGTTTCCCAGAACATGTCTGAAGCCAGTCCAATCGCTTTTTGAATCGAGACTAAAAATAACGTCTGTCTTCTTGAAATTTAGGAGAACCAGGGCTGAGGAATTCTCAAGAGTACGAATGTACGCGAACACTTCTTCATGGCTGTTTGATATGTCGCTGAAATCGCCATATATCTATCGATATCAACAGCGACTGGTAAACAAAGACAAAAGGCCTAGATATCTACGCACCAAGACCTCATGCGCTTTTCGCAGGTTCAAAGCGTGCTTCCAAAATGAATGAACGCTATCGTTGTCCTTGAGCTGCGCCGCTACGTTCCACGTCTGATAGTCCTCGTTAACTCTCATCCACGGTTCACCGCTTGTAAACCCAGCGTGTGCGCTAGAGTTCCACTGCCGGGGCATTCGGAAATGAAGATAAGGCAGAATAATTAGAAGCGATCCTTGCGCTGACCTGCATGGGTACTCGAGCGTGATCCCGCGCATTCCGCTGGAAACCGTCAAGGATGTCAGACATATCCACGGCCTCGTCGATTAATAACTTCTTCCTTTCCTCCAAGATTCTGCAAAATCTACAATCACCGACAGAAGTTTCCATCATGCCAAACAAAGACTTACTTCTTATAATAAATCTGACTGGCGATATCCTTGTATTCCTCGATCCCCCACGTCCTTGGGAGATTCTTCAATCCAAGCTCCTGGCCCTGATATATGTATAAGGTTCCGCTCTGCGAAATTTCGAGGATGGCGAGCATCTTTGCTGATTTTGCGCGCCATTCTTCTGAGTCGTCGCCGAACCGGGTCACGGAGCGCGCATGGTCATGATTCTCTATGTAAACCCTTTAAAGCATAAAATAGGAAATTGGTCTAGCCTAAAAAAAAAAAAAAAAAAAAAAAGGGAAACTTACGTGTTCCAGAAACCTTCCTCTCGTTTGTAATTCTGCCATTTCACCACTACCTGTCTGAATTCGGCTAGAGTCCAGTCCTTGTGTTTCAGTGGTAACCTAGAATTTCCTTCCTTTGGAAAATCCACATCCATGAGCTGGAAATGAAACACCATGTTCAATTCGTTATTTGAAGGCAGGACATAGCCATCGAATTCGGACATTTTTTGTGTGAAGGAAGCTTCACCAACTGTGATTAAGTCGTATTCTATTGGCGACAATAGTAATTAACGACGCAAATAAACTGAGTTCGTTGAGCGACTTACTGGACAGAACTTTCTTGTCCATTTCCTTAATATATTCGTGAATCTTTGGGCTACACCGCCCGTGAGACGCGAGATAAATTTAAGAATTCAACGACTAACCCATTCGCATAGTGAATGACGGCTGGTTGATACACCTCGTCCGGAGAGGTGATTGGGGCATCGGGGAGTCCTTCCGCTTTGGATAAGAGATCGATGACATCCAACTGCATGAAACAAAATCATCGCCTTTATCCAGACAATCACATATATGGCTTACTCGAAATCCATCGCATCCACGGTCTGTCCAAAACTGCATAAAATCCCAAACTGCATCCCTAACATCCGCATTCTCCCAGTTCAGATCCGGCTGCTTAGAGACGAACAAATGCAAGTAATATTCTTCCGTAATTTCGTCGTACTCCCATGCCGAGCCTGTGATTGAATATTATTTGAGTATACGGATCGCAAAGAAAGTGTTCCCCTCGGGGCATCCCGTCGAGAAGGCACACAACTGGCAAATGCCCAACACTCGGGTACATCCTAGCCATACCAATAGAGAAGAATCAATACTAGCTGCCTACCTTGAAACACTGATCTCCAATTATTCGGAGGCTGCCTGTTACCGTCGTCGTCGTATCTCGGGGGACGCCATATGTACCAATCCCGTTTGGGATCAGACTTGCTGGACCGAGAGTCTAGGAACCACTGATGCTATCGACACGTACGGATGACAATTAGATTTGACACGCATTTCATTCGATGGCGTCTTCCGCACCTCATCGGAAGTATGGTTGACCACCAAGTCCATCCTGAGTCACGAAAATTCAATATTCATACTCAACTTCCGTAAGATCAAAGAAGACAAACATGAGTTTCATGCCTCGCTCGTGAACCCCGCTCAATAGGTTATCCCAGTCAGCTAGCGTCCCATATCTCGGGTCTATATCACGAAAATCAGAACTGTTCCATTCCACATTTAAACTTGCATCAGCACGAGTCAATCGCGAGTTGAAATAAATTTGAATGCTTACATATCGTACCCCATGTCAGCCAAGGGGGATCGATAAATGGGAGATAACCATAGAACATCAACGCCTAAATCTTTCAGATAATCCAGTTTTGCATAGATTCCGTTCAGGTCACCAATGCCATCACCATTGGAGTCGAAGAAGGAGATGGGAAATATCTGGTAAATGGTAGCTTCCTTCCACCACGCCCGCGATGGAACAAAAGGCGTCGACATTATGGTAAGGAGTGTGAAAGAGGGAACTTGGTGTGCGATTGCCCGTCTTGAACGTCATATATCAATGGAGCTTTGAGAAGCACTGGGCAAATGGACTCACAGTTGAACGGAACGTGCTTGTACCTTGTAGGATCATATCACTGCGAGTACACAACGCCTCGATCCAGGAAAGCAAAGCTTAAGGAACACATGACTCGGCTCTAAGCACTGTTCACCTTCGTTTATGGGCCCTCCACATGCGCAGGTAGGACGTGGAACATAATTTCTTTTTGACAGACGATCAGGACTGTCAAGACTCAAGGAGGATGAGTAGGCAATGAGGAACTTCACATTGAAAAGTTGGAGATTTGCCTTTGGAGGTTATTTTGCGCCTTTGAGTTGGTGTTGATTCATGGCCGAGCCTAACACTGTTGAACGTTTCCGGAATGAAGTCAAGTGTCCATGTCAAGCGTGGTTATCGTGAGGAAGCACTTCAGAAGTTTGAACGGGTAGAGAACAGACAGAGTTTGCAATCAGCACAGCCACTTCTAATACGGATTCAGACACTGCACAAATCAAACACGGTGTGGGTCTGCGCACCCTAAATGATTTTTCAACATGTGAGTGCTGTCAATTCAGAAGAATAAAAATCTTCTCAAAGGAAACGATGCCAAGGTGGAGCAAAGGTGGAGGTCGGCTTACGTCGAGTACCGGTCCGGTCCTTCGGCCCGCGCCAAAAGTTGACATCATCGCTCTCCTCCCGAAACCGCCCACACACCACCACCATGGCAGAAAACGTATCCACCCTTTTGAACGCTCTAAAGCACGACCAAGTCATTCCAGATGTTATCCCCAAGTCATTCGCTCCCTCCGTTCTCTTCTCCATCGTCTATCCTGGGGTAGAGACTGGCTTGGGCAAGGAAATCCTCCGAAACCACACGCTCCCAGAGCCTACGATCAAACTCTTGAGCGGTGCCGGAGAAGGAGCAGGGGACAAGTCGTTTACTTTGGTGTTGACTGATCCCGACGCACCGTCTCGGGCGGACCCCAAGTTTGGAGAGTGGAGGCACTGGGTTGTATGTCTCAACTTGTTGCGTTCGGTTTGAAGTTGATGAGTACTAATACCTTTGGAACAGGTCACTGGGGTTAAGTTGTCGGAGGCCAACGAAAATGTGAAGCTCACGTCCGCCGCTGCTACTCCGTACGAGCCCCCTGCACCGCCGGCAGGTACGGGACTTCACCGTTACGGTCTGTAATTGCTTTTTTCCAAAGCTAATGAGGCTGATAAAATTCAATCAAGTTTTCCTGCTTTTTGAGGAGCCCGTATCGTTCTCCATCCCGAAGGGTGCTATCGAGCATGTCGCAGCTTTGAAGGACCGCCGCTCGTGGAACGCCCAGGCGTTCGCTGAGAAGTATGGTTTGAAGTTGGTTGGCGCTAACTTCTTTGTCACCCAGTCGCAGGTCTAGTTGATTTGAGGAGGAATTTGTCTTTTATCTAAAGTTCTATAAAACACGAAGAATCAAGCGACAGTCGAGTAGGATGATGACATGCACCCTTTGATTATTTCCGATGCGCGGTTTGTCCGTTGTCCGTCGAATATTTGAATATTGATCGTTTGCTAATCGCAATCGTTTGGCGACTTGCGGCAAGTGAAGGAAATTGATGGCATAGCTCTTCATGCCCACCGCAGATAGTGATAGTGCACTTACAAAAATGTAGTTGCGGTAAAATAAGATGTGTTTGGAAAATCAGGAAAATCAATTTATCATCGCGTGACCCGCGACGCGTAAATAGAACACGCCAAATGTCTGGCGCGATCATTCCTTCTCTCTTTTGACCACCATCTTCAACGCTCAAATGAACGAATTTAACACCTCAGAATAGCGTATCACTAGGAAGCTGCTACGCCGGACAACGGGAACTCCACGCCCAGTCAGCCGCGCTCCGATGCCACACTAGTAACACTGGCACATATCGCTTTTCGTGACGATTCTGATATTATCATGCAGGTCCGGAGCATCAGTAACTGTCAACGTTACCCCTTACCTGCGTTCTCAGGCGCATACATGGAACACTTTCCCACTTGTTCCAGGGTCTCGGCAGTATGTCGGACAGATACCGCGAGAAACCGCAGAAGCTTTCGGGATCCAGTGATTTCACAATTTCGGTCCCGGTAGGGTTTTTTGCGCAGGGCTCCCGAATGTACGCTCCGTTCACAATGTCCACATGGTCCCACCTGGTCCCACATTTTGAATGATATTCAGGGATCAGTGTATATTGACTTTTAATCCCTCAGGAAAACGGGTACCGATGCTTCATTGCTTGTTACTTCCTGATTCGACGGGTAATGCAACCAGTGGTAACACTGTCAGACTCGGAATGTCAACGAATCAAACAAATATGTTTTGGCTTGGAGGTTCTCTCTATTCTGGTAATTCAAGAGGGTCAACCTCTGGTTCTTGCAAGCTGCCGTCAATCAGTGATTGGATCACGCCGAGGAGATGTCGCCGGCAAGGAATTCCGACAATAAATTGCGATGCTTGTTGACACTATTGCTTCCGCTGTCGCCGTCCCGTGATCAAAGTTGAACTTGCACGGCTTCCTTCACGAGCGCTCCTTGTTCTCTTCCTCAACCCACCCCCGCCAGTCCTCAAGAAAGTCCACCAGTTCTCGTCTCGGCGTATTATTTGCCGTGTACGAGTCTGGGGTCTGTGGTCGAAGTAGAGGTGCGCACTGCCAAGGTTGGTATCCTAGTAACCTGCGCCTAAAATCCCACTGACAAGACAATAGAGTTCCAGAATAACAAAATCCAAACCAATTAACGCGTTTATACAGCTCACGAGTCTACACGTCGTCCTGATACGCCCACTCAAATTTCACGACTCTCTCGACCATTCACGACTTTATTTCGATAACGACAGCTACTGATTTTTCGTTCTCATTCTACGACATTTTTATTCGTTTCAAACTGCACAATTATTCATCGAATGTTTAACACACTAACCGCTCGACCTCTTGCGGTTGCCACTCCACCGCAACCCGCAACCCACAATATCCCCTCCATCCGCCTCATCTCCGCCACCCCGTCTGCGACTGGGACATCTTCAGAGGCGAATACCTCTCTCAACCGCACCATCGACAGCTCATGGGCATCTATCCCTTCTCCATTGGCGCCAAAAGCTGAGGTTCCCTCACGGAAGCGCCTTGTTCCCAAAAAATCGAAACTCAGTCTACTCGGTGTTGGGCGCGAGAAGGAGAGAGGAAAGGATCTTTCTGACGTCGTCCGACGCGTTGGAGCTACCTCATCAAGCAAAGGTGGCTTCGAGATCTACGTGGACCCCACCGTGGATCCAGACATCGGCGAGATCGTCATGGTGAAGAAGAAGAAGTCCCGTGTTGCCCTTGATGGCATGAAGTGGGGCCCGTTGGGTGAGGTAACAAATGTCCCTTCCGTCACTCCCAGGGAAGCCCCGGCTTTGCTCAAAGTCAAGAACGAGGAGAAAGAGAAGTGGTGGAGTATCGGGAGAGGGCGTAAAGACTCTAAAGAGAAGACGAAGGAAGCGAAAGAAAACAAGGGTCGCGCCATCTGTAGGATTCTTCTTTTTGTCTATGCCCGCCCATCAGCTAACGATTTTCCAGCTCCTGCTCCATATGTGCCTGTTCGTTCCAAGAGTAAGTGGATAATATTCTCACCGAGGTTTTCTTGAAAATCGTTGACATTTTATTTACAGCCCCAGAGCCACTCAAACTCGGCTCAGAAGCACGCGCTCGATTCAACTCTTTGGACTCTGGGATCCTTCTGAACAGCCCTCCAATCATAGGACCATCACAGGAAAGCGTCCGATCAGGACAAACCTTGCAATTCTCAGAACCAAAATCCAGCAAGGTATCTGATCCGCCGGGTACTCGTTCCCGCTCTTCCACGCCCACGATTGGCGGCTTACTTGCACCGCCTTCAAATGGCTTGCTCGCGCCACCATCGAACGCCAACCAGGGGTCCATAGCCCTTCGAGCTATTCGCTCAGTACGTTCTTTAGCGCGTATTGGGAGCTGGAACGACAAGGAGGCTGTACCCGTCAAGAAGGAGAAGAAGGACAAAGCGAGCAAGGAGGGGACGATCAAGGAGGGTAAGAAGAAGAAGAAGGAGAAGAAGACGGAGGAGGAGGATGTGGAGGGTGGAGAGAAGAAGAAGAAAAAGAAGGAGAAGAAAGATAAGACGGATACCGTTCGCCTATCGACCAGCAGCTTTGAGGCTGGTGCACTCACGGCTAGTCCTGAGGTGAACAAGACCCTTGGGAGGAAAAAGCACTCGATTCTGGGTCTTGGACTCCCATCCACGATGCGCCTGCAGACGGTTCGCAATGGTTCGACGGCCTCTTCGATACCTCCGGCGACTATCAGTGGCAATCGACTTTCTGTGGAATCGACTGTCCCCGTCATCGGCCGAGACCGTGCTGGGTCGACAATCTCCACAGGGTCTTCTTTGAGGCCGGTATCTGTCGCCTCTAGTCTTTCCAGGGCGTCGTCTGGCAGTTCATGCGCCTCTGTGAAGTGGGATGAAGAAGGCCTTGAGACCGTCAGGGAGCAGAGGAAGCGGGAGCGCGCGAGCAAGAACCGGACGTCCACGGATGATGAGGATATGAAGAGTAGAACCAAGACCGAGAGCCGACATTCACTGGAGGGGAGAAAGAGGACGCCTCTTTCTGAGGTTTTCCCTGAGATACAACGGAGCGATTCACCTGCTATGTCCGTGCGTCGAGCGTTCCCCATCTTGACGATTGAGGAGGCTACAGCGGACGGACATGGCGCGCCTGGTGACGAGGAGCTGTTGGAAGAAGAACGAGAAACTGCGGCTGCGGCTACTCCTGTCAAGAAGGCTCGTGTTAGACCAATGTCCGAACAATTACTTGGTAGGAGCCGACCGAAGCCAATTCATGAAGACGAGGATGGTAAGTCACCTCTATCATCTGACTGAACAGTGAATAACTTGCAATTTCATCAGGTGTTCTCTCTATCCTTGACGCTGCCACTAACGAGTTGGCTCTGCTCATCAACAACCTCGATTTGGAAGCCACTCCTTGTACGCCTGACTTGACTCCTTTGCGCCCTAGCCCTGGCCTTTCGGAGAAGAGAGGTGAGGTTTCGATCTATAGCTTATATCTAGTCTCGATATTAACGATAGTCCCAGATTCTACGGATTACACTGGCAGTCCCAAGAGGAAGAAACTGGTCTCAGAGAGCCCTTTGAAGAATGGGCTGAGGGGCAGTCTGGCTTCTATCAGTTCTTTGCGGCCCTATGCTCAGTCTCGTGGCAAGGCAACAAGGACGTCGACAACACCAATCCATCCGGATCTTATTGGCCAACAGATCGCACCTTGGCCTACCTTGATTCAGTCATTGTCGCCACTGAAGGAGTCACCACCGAGCACCAAGAAGACGAAAGCAACGCCGCCATCTACTTTCCGGAAGACACACAAACGTACTATGACACCTGGTCCGGAGCCTGAGCCTGATCCGATCTTTCACCCTCTTGCTCCTCCTAAGGCTCGTGTCACTTCCTCAGCTAGCAGAATCTCTACCTCTCCATCACCGAAGGAACAACCTAACGCGTATGGGACAATACGAGCCCCATCTTCGTTGACGTTTGGATCGAGGTCTACCTCCTCAAGGCCCGAATCCAAGGGATCCATAGATGAGATGGGCCTATTGGTTCCCGGACCTGTCTTCACGCGCTCAACCAGCTCAACCTCCTCCTCTCGCAAACGCTCATCGCTCACTCCGTTGTCGGATTCACGTAGCACCAAAGGAAGCAGAGGGAGTCAAGGCTCTGTTCGTAGCTCACGGGGTATTCCCATTCCTCCTGAGGCTCGTAAGGTGCTGGGGATGGGTGGGACGATGGGTGGATCGGAAGCTTCTGGATATGCTGTTCCCGAGCTCGACGCGTCCGATCCTGATTCGGATGTTCCTGATGAACTGCGTATCATCCTCGCTGGCGGGCCACATTCAGACAGGGACTCTGTTGGGGATACTTTCTCTTTCCCTGACCAGGAGGAGGTTCTTCACCGAGCATTTACGGCCTCGCCTGATTCTCAGTCAGAAGAGCTTCCTGTTGCACGTTCTGCAGCATCGCCGTTCATTGACATGCCCGTTTTCCGCGCGTCGCTTATGGATGAGGATGAAAACCTGGCTGATCTGGATGAAGGCGGCAACACGTCCGAGGAGGACAATACCAAGAAGTCGTTCGATTTCACTGGGGAGCTGAAGAAGCTGAACGAATCAGGCGGGTCTGATCGTCGAAGTTTTGTAGAGCAACTTGAGAACGCTTTCAAGACGCCTGCCAAGGTCGATCTTCGTTATGACTTTGGAGCCCATCTCAAGGATGGGATGCTACATGTCGAGGTGCCCCCAGTACCCAAGATACCAGTGGAACTGAACACTGCTCTCTTCGCGGAAGACAGTTCTTATGGCAGCTCAGGATTCGACAGTCTTCAGGGTTCACGGTCTCGCATCGTCGACATGAAGGAGCCTACAATGCTTCAAAGTACTCGCACAGAACAGATTTTCGAGACTGGATCGGGTTCGCAGTTCGACGTTTTCCCTACCTCTCGGATTGTCGATGTCGTGGAGCCTAGTATGCTGCTCGGCCCTAATAGCTTTTCAAGCCATGAGGTTATCATTGCGCCAGAGTCTCCCCCCAGCTTGAACAATTCCTTGGCTTTATCCACGTACTCTGCGGTATCCTCCAGGTCTGACGGCGAACTCGATACTTCATTCAGATTTGGAGGACGTCGGAACTCGGAGTCGCGCGATGTTGAGCCAGAGAAACCCATGACCCTTTCGGACATCATCCCATCCCCTTCGCATGCACGATCCCTGTCCAACTCGTCCTTGATGGATGAAGGTGATTCTGTGTTCAAGTCCATTCTGGCTAAAGCTGCCAATCTGCCTCAGAGACCTCGCGTTGAAGCTGAAGAAAAGCAGGATCGTAGAGATTCTTATATACCTCTTACTCGGCCCTCATCTGGCGTCAGCTTTGGTGGTTTGGACTCGTTCGAAGAAGTTCGTCGTGGATTTGAGTTCAATGACAACCGTCCAGCGTTTTATCCTCCTCCTGCTACCCGACGGGCTCACCGGGTTCAGGATTCCGTCTTCAGCATCGCGTCTGTGTCTTCTTACGGAAGGGTTCTCAATGCAGGTTCCAGCGATCCTTTTGACTATGGACTACCAAGTCTTCAGGAACGACCTTCATGCGAAGACATGTCCATCTCGATGTCAATCACTGTCGACGACACGTTCTCTTTCCTGAATCACCAACCCCGCAGACGCATTGATAGTGACGCCTCTAGCTTCTACTTCCAGGCCCCACAGCCATTTGCACGCGGCCACCGTCGTCATGAATCGAATTTGTCCATATCATCGCAAGGTCCGCCTATCAGCCGTTATAATCGCAGCCATCACCGCCGCAACGATTCCAACACCAGTGCAAGCTCCGTTGCCATCTCATACGCCATGCATGGGGCGACTGGTGGTCGTGCGACATGGGCTAGACATCGTCAAGAATCATCCGTCGATTCCGTCATGAGCGATTTCTCCGCCATGCACCTTGGCCGTCCTGGGCTTGGTGACAAGATGTTCGAGAGGGACAATCAAATGCCTCTTTCCGCGATCGCAGCATCTCCTTGTGAGAGTGTATTTGCCAAGGCTCAACGCAACGCAAATAGGTCGTCTTTCGATTATGACTCGATCATTGACCACAGGGAGGGGGGTTCAAACGAAGATTCCCTCTTTGACAGGTCCGAGTACAGGTCGTCGATGTCATCCGACCTCTTTGGCAACGACTTTTCTCAACCCAATTCAAATGGTTTGCTTCCTGCTGGCCAATTCCGACCGCTCTCCATCATCAGCATGCACAGTGCTCACGCTCCGATGGAGGAGGATGACACTATGATTAGCGTACGTTTTCATTTATTTTCATTGTGCTATAGTTGATCTGGGTTCACTTTAGATGCTTGGTGGCGGTCACGTCCGTCGCTGCTCCATTGGGTCTATCATGGAAGCGTCTCCATGTGTTCGCGTCGAAAAGCGCAAGCATGCCCTGTTCAACGACACGAAGGGCTACGACAGTCATTATGATTCTTCGAACAAGGCACGAATTGTAGAGAAACCCTCGATTGCATCGACATCTTCATATCAGTTTGGCGGAGAGCGAATGATCAAAGCGCAACACGGCCTTTTGGAGCGTCAGAGTCTTGAGGATAGCTGTCTCATTGCTGATGGCGAGGATCTTAGTAACTCCTGTAAGTTGTAAGAAATGTCCTGGTCGTGTACCAACTAACGCTTCTTTATAGTCCACGCGGTTCCGGTTTTCACTCGTCCTGGTCCTGCAGCTCGGTCAAGATCAAGCACATGCACTTCAAGCTCCGGTGGTGACACTCCTCCACTCTCAGCTTCAGATGGCTCCTCCATCTCGGAGGGTTCCCAGTCCAGCATTGACCTCTCGCAGTTGAACATGATGCTCTCGAATGCCACTCATCCCATGTCTACCGTTTCTCGGGCTAGGGCTCGTGCCCGTGCTCGTGGTCATGGTCACCGTCGCAGGTACTCGCAGGCTCATGCCTCGCGTTCATCGGTGTATGAAACAATCGAGGAGGAGATGTCAAATGCCTCATCACCGGCTCGGACAATTGGCTCCAAAAAGAGCAGCCCCACCCAATGCCAGCCTATATTCGTCGTTGATTCGGACACTGCCTCTATCAACTCGGTTACAGAGGAGACCATCTGGGATGATGAACGCGGCATCGTGGCCCTACGCAAGTACTACGCTCTGAAAGATGAGGCGCATGTCACCGTTGTGGAAAGTAAGCGGCAATGGCTGGACACCCCGTTCTCGGTGTTCGCTCTCCAATGTAAGGTGTTTCGTTTGATTCTTCTTATGCCGAGGCTAAATCAAGCTGTCAGCGTTCCAACCGCCCAAGGAGCCATTGGGTATGCAAGCCCTACTAGAGTACTCTGTACAGAATTATGGCCCTCTCCCTTCGGAGCTTCGACCTCGCCGCGTGCGGTCACGCACCCAGTCCCGTCCATCACCGTATCCTCAAGCACGCTTGCCCAAGGTCACTGTATCGCCCGAACAAACCAGGTCCTCAAAGTCCTCCAATGCCCATGCTACCCCGGTTTTGAAGCCCCTCCCTGTGAATGCCAACACCCTCTCAGTGGCACCTTCATTGGAGGCACTCAAGCCATTCTCGCCGCTCGTCATCAACATTGAGCCCAAACGCGAGAATGCCTTTGGGCTTGCCGCCAGACCTCGCGTCGCGTCATCTACACGAAGGTCAGCACTGGGATGGTCGAAACGAAGCAATGGAAAGGCCTCCACTGACCAGAAAGAGAATCAAGGCGCGGTGATGACGTGAGTGTGTCCCAAGGTGTCTGATGACCTTGCTGACTGTTCTCTTCCTGTAGGCCTGGCGAATCATTGAGACTCAACCGACCTCGTCCACGTGGACGAGCAACTCCCGCCACGCAAGGCCGTCCTATCCGAGTCTGAAGTAAACCCAACCAATAACAATACTCTATGCTTATTGAACTATGCATCCTCCTCCTCTATCAGCATCTTCCCCCTCATCAAAAACACATCTGTAACGTCCCCACGAACCCTCAATGATATCTTTACGCACACATTTTGATATTTTACCCTCTTCTTACGATCCAATGATCCTTTTACGACTCACCTTTCTTACTAACGTCTCACCCCCCATCCCCTTTATTCTTGGAATTGATTGTCGCTATCTGTTATCTTGCTGTCTATCCTGAACATATCTCTTCGCACCCCTTTAGCTTTGGCACTTTTCAATAAGAACCCAAATCAAATGTAGCGTAACATTCGTAGACCGAATACCATTGCGCATTATGTTCCTACCCGTGTGGCAAACATAAGTTGTCCGAAATTTCCGTAGCACATAAACTCAAGTACACCCTTTTGGAATCCTTTATTATTTTCTGCGCTCCCCGTAGCTCTGCTGGTCAGATTCTCAACAAGGACAATCATTCAGTTAGTGTAGGTGTAGCTGACTCGGTTAGATCTTCAACACTACCCGTAGTGAAGTCATCATCGTGCTTTTCTATCATTCCGAACTTTAAATTCGGTGGGGTAGCAAGCGGGTTCGATCCCTCTCGGTGTATTATACATTTTGTTATTTTACCAGATGAGTAAATGACACCTAATCATCAAACACTACGAGAACCGATATATATAGCTCTCAGCTAGCTCCACAGAGAAAGCCAGAAAAGAAATGCAATGCCTTCATACATAAACACAGTTTCCGACCTCAATAATCAAAGCTACAATTCAGGGATACTCTGCAGGCTTCTGGATTCCAACCATGCTTTCCTGTCCACCAACACACCATCGTACTCAATCGCTCTCATCTCCGGCCAGACAAATCCATCTCCCAAAAAAAGCCGTATCAAATTCACACCGTGAGGGTACCCCATCCCCTTCACCGTCAACTGCGTCAGATTCGGAAACACCCGCGCGAGAAGACCAAAATCTTCTCCCCCGAAGTGAATATTGACATCCTCGAGCCTCAGAGTGTGGACCCTCGGAAAATCGAACTGAATGTGCTCACAAGCGGTAATGAAACCCGCCCAAGTGTACCCAGTGATGTTCACGAACTGGACTTTTTCCAGAGTTGCGGCGACGCGTTTGAGAAAGATTTCCTGAAACAGTTGCCCAGCTGCATGCTGCATGATATCGCCAGCCCTGATAGTACAACCCCGCTCATGACGATAGTCATGCAAGGCATGGAAAGTGATACTAGTGAGCGTCGAGCCGGTCCTTGCCAAGTACTTGTCTCTTGGGGAAACGTACGGCGTGTGACCCGGAAAGCCTGGGGGCAGCGGCCCAAGCATTATTCCTAGCCTGTGGTATGGCCGCGGAATTCCGACGTTGCTAAGTACGATATGCTTTGCGCCCGAGATGGAAAACGCGTCCCAATATACCTCTCGTTTGAAGAGATGGTCCTCAAAGATAATTCGATCCATGTTCGACGGAAACCGAGACGCTCCAGCGAATTGAGCATTCAGACAGATGAGTTGGGGAGCGATGCGATCGAGTGGGAATGGACCTGAAGGGATGTTCGTATTCGCGTCACGAAAGTTCTCAACGACATGGAGCCATTTGATCCCAGCTTTTGTTCTTGCCTTTAAATTGTGCCGTTCGAAGATCTTCAGGAGAGCAGCGAGGGCAAAGTGGTTTCCTTCGACACGCACAGACTCGCAGCGCATAATAAACTCGTCCAGTTGGCGCCTAGCCGCTGTATAGACCTCTCCACTGAGATGCCACTCACACCCAAGCAGAGAAACGTCTAGATGGAGGGGATAGGGGTGCGAGCGCACGAGGATATTCCTGAGCATTTTGCCCAGACCGAGTAGTTGGCGGTAGCTGATGCGGACACGTTGCCACATCGCAGGTCGTTCAAGTACGATCTTGCGCCACGTCTTACAGACGTGAGAGAGGGTGAACGCGGCGAGAATGGTCGTTTTGAGCTCTGGGAGCTTGTACGCGTCAGATGTGGGCGCAATCACGCCCCGCGTTGGGATGCCACCCATAACTTGTACGCCGCCACTCCGACCTCCGACAGTAGGGTCTTGAATAATGCCATCGTCTACACTGTCCGTGACGGAATTGAATATTTTGCAGAGTATTTCTGTAGCGAGATCGTTGAGGTAAGCCATCTGAGGATCTGCGGGATGTCGAAGGGAGCTGGGAATCACGATGGTTGAAGGGAAACAGAGAGGCGTCCAGAAGTCGGAAGGTTTGAAAGGCTAAGTTGGACTCTGCTGGTTATTTATACATGTAGAGAGTGGCCTAGTGTGGCCCACAACCGTCCATTGTTCTCTGGATTCGTGCAAGGATACCGATCATGGCGTGGGACAAGCCACAAAAATCCAAATTGTGGCCTTCTTTGATATTACGGGCAGGGAGCAGGTGTTGCACAATGCGGCGGAGGGGGGGGGGAAACAACAGAAACAATTAAGCCTTCAGTGACCATAGCCACGGGCTTGCCGAAATTTGGGTCAGGCCTCTGCCAGAGGTGTCCATGCAGTGGAAAGATGGCGAAAGCTACAAGTTGCAATGACCGACTCCAAAGGCCTTGAGAGACGAATGTCCAAACAAAAAGAACAAAAAACATTTGTAAAGGTTGACGCCTAGACCAGCAAACGGGTAACACATGCGATACAGGGAATGGAGAAGCGGTGGCAACGACCATGGGCCTTGGACTCCTTACAAAAGAGCAATAAACGCCCCTAACCATGGCAGACAGAAAAAAAATTGAGTTACTTCGATGGGCTGAGCGACTGCCAGTGTCGGACTTGGCGTCTAACCGCATGTATTCCGTGCCGATTATGAATATTTGAATGCCGGTCCTATTGGTTGTAAGCGAGAGTGTGAATATACTTAGGGCAACACGAAGTGACGTGTGTACGTACCAGAAAAGGGAGCTGCTAGATACCACTGGAACACGTAGCTCAGTGGTATTGAACAAAGACAAGCCAGGTTAGCATCGCAGGTTGATCGCAGGTGGACGTCATTGGCACAAAAGAGACGACTTTCATTCGCCATGATTCTCTAGAGAAAGTAAGAATTGGTATTCCATTTTCTGAAGCAGACGTACTTGGTTGGCATTTGGTAACTGCCAGTCGCACGCAGAGGCGGCTGGATATCGAGTGCATTTTCAGATATTGTATCTGTTAAAAGGTTTAGCGCGCAGTCGTCAAAGCGAGCCTCGATCGAGGACGGAAGAAGTGATTCCCGGCGTTTGCCGATGAGTTGAAGAAATGGACGCACGTGGCGTCGCTGCTATTTAAGCCACTCTTCCCCCCACGAACTGACCCGAACATATTATTGTCCTCCCATCGGCGTGGACATAACTTCCACCTTGGAGCTATCAAGAAATCGCTTCTCGTACGCGTTTTTAACCAATAGTCTAAATCGCGTATGTATCTCCCTGTACGACGTCAAAAAAATTAACCAGGTTGGATATACTAAGTATGCGCTCGCCATTGAATTACAGGGTCCTTTGTCGATGTCCGTGCCCCCTGATACTTTTCAAGTAATTTTAATAATTGTTCCAAGCAGGGAGATAGTCCTGGCTCTACTAAATTGGCCTATGCGTCAAAACTCTCATTTCTCGGCGCCTAGAGCCAAATTGACGAGATAAACAGAAGGAGGGAGTTAATGCCATTAAGCAATCGGGGGTTGAACGTTGAGTACCGAGTCCGTAACTGTGGCGCATTTTTCTCATCTTGCGCCCTCTCCGACGGTCGATAGGACTGCGAAGAATCACACGGTCTGCAAACGTATGGTTTCCTATGAGCTGAGAACACAATCACTGACGTTGCCTTTTCTTTCATTCCTATTTTGCCTTCTTTCGGAACTCTTTCGTCTATTTATGTCCGTTGAGGCGAAGCCCCACTGACGTGCAAGACATTGCTCACACGAAGACTACCCAAGACCCTGATGCATGATGCCTTACATGATTCTGACCCAATTCTTTCGCCAGGATTATCGTTCCAACCTCGGGTAAAGATGATTATTCGACTCAGCTATTCCCTACATGCTCATTTTACGCGCTGAAATCTCACTCATGCCTTGCAGTAACTTATGGTCAAGTGGGCAAGGAAACACTTTTGAGCTTTGTTTCAAAAAATTCTCCTATATATGGGGTACTGGCTTCAAAGATATCAAAATCATTAGCGCCACCCGTTGGAGGAAGAATTTACTGAAGGCGCTGACGGGAGCCACTGAAGGATGCCTAATCGGACGAGTTTACCTCAAACGAACAAATCTTATCTGATTACCGGCATTTGCCAGTGTGAGGTCAGTGATACGACAATCTTGCTACTGACACTCACAAAATGCTTCAGCTCCCAGTCGAACTTATTTTCGAGGTCCTCTCGCACCTCCCCCTCAAGAATCTTGCAGTATTCCCTGTAGTTTGTCGAGAATGGCTGGAATTCATCAAAGAAAACGAGTCAACAATCTACCACAACGCTGCCCAGTTCCACAACTTCGTTCCGGCCTCTTCCAGTTCTCAACGACTCCATGAGGCTTTGAAAGAGCTATACTCTCAAAGATCACTCCAAGGAGTGAATTCTTGGAAAGAACTATGTACGTCGTCACGTTCTTTTATCTTGATCTTACTTACAGCCGTAGGCCAACGTCGTCTCCAAATCCAGCAGAGTTGGCTTGGTAATGCCCCATCCCGCATAGTCCGACACCACACCTCACCCAACCGTCGTGTCCATCGCATCAAAGTCGACGAATTGGCCGGGTTCATCATCACCACTTCTCAGAGTGGCGGTCTGGCCGTCACTGATATCAACACCGACCAGCTGCTGTGGTCTTTACCCGAAGTGTGTCCCTCCCTCTGTCTCTTTCCCCGTGCATGACTGAGTTACGATAACAGACATACGTGCGCGCCTACGCACACTGCGAATACTCAAACGGATACATCATCTTTGACCGCTTCACCTCTGAAAAAGAAATCTGGCGGCTCTCCTCCATCGATTCCGTCTCCGCCGACTCCTCCTCCTCCCTTCCTGACACCATTCAAACCCAAATACCACCCGACGGATCCCATCCCGGGCTATTCAAACCCCACGCACTCCTCCAAACACCCGAACCAACACGTGCCTATCGTTTCGTGTACCCTACACTCCTAGTCGCAGCTTTCGAGCGCGTCTATCTATATGACGTACCCTCCGCACGTCTCGTCCAGATCATCGAGAACATACAACCATTAACCACTAACATCAGCCTCGGAACGCTGAATTACGTGGACCTCAGTGCGAGACACGTCTTCCTCTGCGGTGGGCATGCCCTTCGGGTGTTTGATAGAGGTACGGGGAGGGCGGTGTTGACTCTCCCATCGAACAAGTTTGTATATGGAAGGTGGGGGTATAGGTTGGAGACTGGGCCGAGGAATGAGAGTGCAATGGGGTCGGTGCTTGTTGAGCATGAGATGGAGGCGATAATGTGTGGGCCGGGAACCGAACTGAATCAGTATTTCGACGAATTCGTAGCTGGTACGTATCCAGTCCCTCTCCATCCCTCCTCTTTCAATGTACTGATGGATGACTAGTCCACGTCTCCCCATGCGGCTCACACCTCGTCGGACTCTTATCAAGCTCTCGCCTCATCATCATGCCCCACTTCGAACGTGCCATCCACAACCAAATGGACATCTTCGACTTGACCCTTGACGTCCAACTAGGTTCACCACATGCTCAATCCGTGTATCTCGCGTATGAGAACAACCGAGTGGCAGTGGTCACTGTAAGTCCGATTCACCTTCGTACCCTCCTCTTTCCCACCACTCAGGCAACCTCCGTTAACAGGGAACAGCACTCTTCATAGTCCACCTACCCCCCTTCGCCCCCTCCTCCAACTTTCCCGCAACCCCACCTCCCATCCGGGTATTCCGCGTTTTCTCCTTCTTGAACCCCGAACGACTGGGCTCCGCGTCGTGTCTCCAGATGTCAGACACGGGGATCTACCTGAATTGCAAGCCGTCTTTCGGAGATGATGCTGACGACGATGATGACGACGAGGATGATGATGAATTGGACCCAGAGATGCTGGAAGACGCGTTTTGGGACTCGATAGCTGATCAAGCTACTTATGCTGGTAAGTACTCTTTCGTTTGTGTGTTGTATGGGTACTTATTGTTGGAATTAGTGCTCCCGAATGGGGATTACATGGTAATCACAGATGATCGTACGTTCTTCCTTCGTTCTTGGTTTCTTGATGTTGATTTTGTTGGCGTAGACGGCGTTGGGCATACGATGCGTTCTTCAGACGTGTATAGTGTTGATTTTGTTGAGCGATATTATTCATAAATGTACACTATCATTACACTACCCAATATTCATGCGTTCTTTCTTGGTTCTTGGCTCTCTTGGTTTTCATAGCTTGTTGGTGTAGATGGCGTCGGGCATACGATGTGTTCTTCGGACGTGTATAGCGTTGATTTCATTGAGTGATACGATTCATAAATGTACCAACTATCAATCACAATGCCTATCCTATCGTACACTCCAATCAAGCACTCCCCTGAAACTCCTTCGTAAACTCATCCATAGCATCCAAAGTCTGCACAACATGTTCAAACCTAACCACTCCCTCCCCCTTGCCGACCGCAAGACTATGCGCAGTCCTACACGCATTCTTAATCTGCCGTCCATTAATATTCCTCTTAGCAAGTTCCTTGATCTGCTCGGGGGAGATAGACTCGGACGCATTGATCTTTGCGATGAACGCCTTCCAGACTTGTTCCTTTGATTCTTGGGAGAGCTGCTGGAAGTGCAGGGCGACGTGGATGCGGGAGAGGAAGGCTTCATCGAAGGCTTTAACGCGGTTTGTGGTGAGGAAGAGGATGCCGCGGTAGTATTCGACATGTCGGAGGCTGTGAGGAGTGATTGGTGTTAACGAAGGAAGAAACCAAAGAAGGAAGAAGACATACAAAACAGCAACCATCGCATTCCGCTCAAGGTCATGCAAAGACCTTCGTTCAAGGAACACATCCGCCTCATCAATCAACACAATAGCCTTCCACGCCGTAGCGACGTCAAAAACCCTCTCAAGCGCCAAATCCAATTCAGAAGCCTTCGTCCCCAAATCGCCTCCCCCAATCACGTATAAAGGCCTTTTAACATGCTCGCTCGTGGCTTCTGCTGAAAACGTCTTGCCGACCCCAGGGGGCCCAAAGAGGTTAACGACGAGTCCGTGTCCTTTGCCTTTTATAAAGTCGTCGAACCCGATTTCGCGGTGGTGTGATTCGACGAGGGATTGGAGGAGGTTCTTTCTGTCGGCTGGGAGGACGAGGTTGGCGAATGCGTCCGAGTTCCAGTCGACGTCTTGGATCTTCTCGACGTCGAATTCCACTGAGAACAAGGGGGTCAGATGGGGGTTTCAGGTGGTACTAACTTGAGGGAAGGAAGGGAACATACACCAAAGTTTATCACTCAAGCTAAACCCATACACAACCGTAGGCGTGAGGATCAACTCTTCATCCGTGAGCTCCACATCCGTTTCGTCGTCCTTGATCTGGTTTTGAACCAAGTTGTGCGTGAATGGGTTGACGTTGACTGGGAGGTTTGAAAGGTTTGGGAGGGGCGAGTGTGGTGGGGTGTACTGGTATTGGGGTTGGCCGTATGGGTCGAGTGCGGGTTGGAAGCGGGCGTTGGTTTGGTCCGTTTCGGTCTTGGGCGGGATGGGGACTGGGAATTGGTAGTTTGCGTTTAGGCGACGGAAGGTGGCTATGAGGGTGGTTGGTTAGGCATGGTCAACAATGGACGACGAAAGAAAACTCACCTCTGTCAACCATAATCCTGCTTCGAACCTGAAAGCAAAAAATTAGGACTGACGACGACGGCACACAAGAATAGGAATTCACATTATGCCTCAAAAGATTATCCCCACACTTCAACGCAGCAATCCCATCAAACTGTTTATGATGCACACCAATCAACCCAACCCACTTCTTCCCCCTCTCCGCAATCGTCTTGCGGAGCTTCGCCTCGTCCTGATGGAACTTAATAGGGTACGCATCCAAACTATCAATCTTCACCGTCCCCCTAAAAGGCCTCAAATGGACAATCGTCGCGATCCTGCCAATCCCTACAGAATGCGACATGGGCCTGTCGACGAGGTCCACGCTCTCACATACGAGCCGATACATCGGCTTTCCGTCCACCGTCGTCCGGGACCAGTACGTCAATTTGAGAAGACGCGGGAGCCCGGTGATGGAGCATCGTGCAACGAAGATGGAGCGCGGGATGAGGATGGCGTAGAGCAGGTCCCAGGTGATTTCTCCGTGTGCGGTGAGGCGCTCGAGGGTACTTAAGGTTAGGCGGTAGTCTGAGGCGATGGTGGATGTGAGGAGGTTGACGGAGGAGAGCATGTGTGTGTATTCGTCTGTTTGTTTCTTCTTTGCGAGGGTGTCGCGGTAGTTGAGGAATTCTTGGTGGAAGGTGACGAAGATTTCGGGGTCCAGCTGTTATTGAGATAGGTTAGCAAGAAAAGGGTAAGGTTGACGGAATGGGGGTCACCTCCAAAGGATCAGAGTTCCATGAGATTCCGGGCCAGGATTGGATAACGTCCTTGCAGGCTTTGAGAATGTACTCGCTCTTGATGACGAGCTTGAACGTCGGCTCGAGGTTCTCTTGCCTAGGGACGCTCCGGACAATCCTAATCATAATGATTTTAGTTAAAAATTCAAAACACGAACTCTTAGAGTCAAGCTTACACGAAACTAAACTCCTTCCACGCGTCGTTGGTACCACTCTGCATGATGGGGATGGTCTCCACGACGACCTTGGAACTCGTGTTCTAAAAGATAATGAGCAAAAACGCAAAACGGATGGAAAGAGGCGTGTTACCCTGTACTTCCAGCTCTTCGTCCATCGACTGTAATAGTGGTCGACCCGCTTGACCTTCAAAGAAGGCACGGGGAGAGGTTCCTCCCGTACAATGGTAGAGACTTTCGACTCATTGTCTTCTGTATACAGCGAGCCAGGCTCTTTCGAAGAAGAACCCTTGACGAGAGTTGAGAAGCGCTTGTGCATGGTGGGGGGATGGAGGAGGGGATAGAGGGATCCTCCTGTCTTATGAATGGAGCGAGCATGGGAATATGGCGTTTCTAGCGCTACCGAAATGAGTCAGCTGGCGATGAATGACTAGGATGGTTAGGAAAGGGTTCATTGTACTGCGGTGTTTACAGCACTCTATCACATATCACATCAAGGTGCAAATCAGGGTTCTCAACTTGAGAAGATCCATTGGAATCGACGTAAAAAAACGTTGAAAGCTGGTTTTCGATTGAACGTTCAACGCACGAGGGGAGGGTCGATGACTCTAACTCGATAAGCTCCAAATGAAATCAGGAAGCATAGAGGCTGGGCCCGAAGCGTTCCAAAGCTACATCAAAGTAGAAGAAGTCGGCACATCAACCTCTTCTGGGCATAAGCCGCTTACCGTTGGCGGCTGGGCTCAGGTCTGTATTTGGTAAGAGAAGTTGATTTCCGAGGGGTGTTTGGGGGAACTGGCACCGCTTCTTCACGAATTCTGAGTGCGTGACAATATGAAATGAAAACTAATAGCTGCCTGTAGGCATGGGTGACAACGCGTATGTTTTCCGTGAATAAACAGCTGGTTTCAGTACTGTTTCAGTATTTCTTCTTGAAAGTCATACGAAAACTTAACGAAAACCTCTTTGCATATCCACATAAGTATTCATATTGATTGTTTGGAAAGTCTGTAGCCGTAGATTGGACTTTCATATGTTTTCTGCGAAAGAAAACACTTGGAAAACACTTTATTTCCATTATACGAAGTATATTGAACGATATCTTTGGAACTTGAAGTCATAACTCATGGTGTGGTCATGTGATGTTACCACCCTGTTTTTGGCCACGTCCGTCGTCGATTAGGCTCGTGACCAGCCTGTATATGAGAACTTCGATATACAGGCTGGTATGTCTGAGTTTAAATCCCCGTACCGCGCGGCTCCCACGCCAGTTTCCATAAGCGGTTCGACAATTTTTGACCTCCCCTTAACAATCCGGTCCGGCTCACGCCAAATCATCCCGCCCTGCGATTCGCTTTTTTCTCCGTCCACTGCTTCCAACGTCAAGTCATCTCTCAGCTATGCACCACAGAAGCGCAGCCGATATACTGGCATCTGCCACATTTGCGCCGACAAAGAAAACCCGAAAACCTGCAAAAGCGAACCCTCTAGCTTCCGACATCGGTTCCAGCAAATTTTCTGCGTCTCCTTCAATATCCCAGCTTGCGCCGAGCGACGCCAATCCTCTGACCACCGCAAATTCTTACATACCACCAACTTCTATCACATTCACCCCAACATCGACGCCGATACATTTTTGACATTGAGAAAGGAGGAAGTTGGGGGTACTTCGGGTATATTCTTTAACGCCGAATGTATTATATATTTTGTGTGTAGGCCAATTTCATTTGACAATATTGGATCAGAGCCTCCCGGTGAATTTTCTGGGTTTGGTGTTCAATGATACAGACGTGTGGTATATGAGAAAACGCGTCAATTTCACGCCATTAATTCAGTGGAAACGCGGTGCGCGTCATGCGACACGTGCGGATTGTTTAGGGGAGGTCAGAAACCATCGAACCATTTATGGAAACTGGCGTGGGAGCCGCGCGGTACGTCAATTTAAACTCAGATTTACCGGTCTGTATATCGCAGGACTTTCTTCATATACAGACGGTCACCGGTCTAGTCGTCGATTGTATTTTCTTATGTCTCTCTCAACACCCTCGATTTGAATGAGCAAAAGCCCTCGCACCAAGCATGGCCTGATTTCAGTTAGAGTGTGTTGTTTCCACCGTTCTTTTCACTAATCTCACACGTAAATTTCTAGGTACTACTTTCTTTGATATTCAGAAGCTGCGGCGACTCCAACGTGCACGCATGGATTAACCGTGAATTGAATAAAAGCTTCGCTGTATGATCCCAGCCAATTGACGTCCTTTCCATGTAAAGTGACCCATTTTAGCGAGCTGCAGTGTGTTTTCTATCAATACGTTTTCTGCGTAGCGCTCACACGTATACTCGAGATGTTCCCTTATGGCTCTCTCAACACCCTCGATTTGAAGAAGTCCTTTCCATGTAAAGTGACCTATTCTAGCAAGCTGCAGTGTGTGTTTTCTATCAATACGTTTTCTGCAGAGCGCTCAGCCGTATGTTTTCCTATCTTTCTTTTGAAATCTCACTTATGGTTCCGAAAGGATGCCTGTGCGGATTACTCTTGTACGAATGAGGAAGTTTACGAAGGTTGAGATGGTTGGGATGCACAAGGTCATACCTTTGCGAAAACACCATCCAATGTCCGCAAGCGACCCGCGCGTAGAGACGGCGATACACCGTGTCGAAGCCTGAGGGATTGCGGGCCGTGTAGTATGTTGAATGGCATTGGGGGTGTTCAAGAACTGCCAATACAAAGGTTTGTTTAGTTATTCAAGACTCCATGCGACAGGGAGTACTTACCATTTTGTTTACAGTGAAACGTGCCTACCCGACCTGCAGCAGTGCTCCGTGCACTATTTGATTGCATCAGACCCCTAAGGGCTTCTAGTGCTGGCTAGGAGAGTAGACACCTTGTGGACATTGTAACCCAAAAGGATGCGGCCATCCTTGAGCTGCTTGTAGCGAAGAGAATTCTTCGAATCTCTTGGTCTATAACGCTGTTGATTAGGGGACTGAGGATTCTGGATGACAATAAACGAATAACCCCTGTGAAACACCAGACGGTATGTACCCTCCTTCATCGTCTTATCCTGGCTTTGAGATTGTCGCACGTTGTCGGCGTCGAACATTTGTTGTGTGAGCTCGGGCACTGCCATGGTGCCATACTATTGGCTGCCATGAGCTGTCAGGGGGCAAAGCCAGTCATGAGGGAGTGAGGAACTGGAGGGCAGTCAATACATGCGCATAGAGAATTGGCATCAACCCGCGTACCCATGTTATCGACAAGCTTACTCAAATCCAAGCGAAGAGAAAACCTTGTGGGGGGAACCGCACCCTCGAGGTCACACGGTAAAACCAGAGTAACGCAGGCGGCGCACGGCATACCATCCACTTAAATGCCAGCCAGTAACGAGCGGGCCATGGTCGGTCAAGAAGGAAGTGTTACAGAAACATGATGACACATCAACTTCGTTATGCCGCACGAGGCCGCTGATATCAAGCAGGCTTAGACCCATAATACTTCTTTCTATTTACATGCTATAAGTTGAGCTATGGTGAAGTGGTCTGATCGGGCTGTATAACCAACCGCATCTATCATGCAAAGGCTGGGGTTTCGATTCAAGCCCAGTGCAACTACTGGCAACCTGCTATTTCATAAACATCCGCCTATTTTTTAGGCCAACGGTAGACATCTTTCTTTTCTATAGACATATCATTGGACTAACTAGTTTTTGCATGCAAGTCTCCGCACAAGCAGCAAAAAGACGAAACATACTATCTTGGCGTGTATAATGGTAGAGGTCACACTTGATTAATTACGAGGTCACACCGAATTGTCGACCAATGTCATGGTCGCAATGTAGCGAGGACCCCATCACGTCAAGAAGCATCTTGAAATCCTTCCTTCCGAAAAGATTTTAGACCTGAGCCCAGCCGCCAACGGTAGCCGCTTTTCTCACGGCATGACAGCTTTGCTAAAACAGTTATTGATATTGCTAAGTACAGTTACTTTATTCCAATCATGTTATCAAGAAATAATCATATGGTTTATGTTTGTCACCATAAAATCACCAAAGTGGTAAACTTCAAGGAAGATTTTTGTTTTTCTATCTATGAAAAATGAAGTGAAATCCAGAAACATAATAATTTTACAAATATAAATTTTTGACACGTGTATTCAAGGGGCTTGTACATGTTGCCCTCGTATTTTGTTAGTTTATAGACTCCATTTCTCTTTACATCATAATCCATCCAAACAAGCTAGTTAAAAAACTATGTAGATCTCGTCTATCAAAACACAACATTATTCAATATTATAACGACAGAAAGCAACTAAGGAAACACCTGACAAAAGTGTATGAGGGACATAATTTACACGTTACAGTGACCGGCAAAATATTGTATTAAAATTTTTATGTACTTAGTAGCTAACTATTTCTGGCCGTAGGCCGCCAACGCTTGACAGCTCTCCGAAACGAAACTTGTCGGCGGGAGCATCTGACGGACAGGCTTCCTTTTGATGGGATCGAGTTAGAGGGATCGAGGGTGGACTCTTCAACGCACGTCGCAAACTGAACGTGGAGCGACGCTCACATTGACAAAAGGACTGTCGAAATTGAAGAGGTGTGTCAAGACATGTGCCATGGAGCTGCGCAGCTTCTCATCTCTCCACAAATAGTTTTGGGGTTCGGAAGATCGAGGCGACGTGGGCAAAGGTGAGAACACAAGGACAAGTACACTGGAAATCAACATCGGACGTACATAGATGCGAGTCTATCTAGAAAGTAAGATAAGGATCGCGCAGAATGTTAACCTTTCTGTAGTCTATAATGGAAGAACAAAAACCAAAAAACCAAAAAACAAGTAAATAATCAAATTTCAAAGCCATCCATTTGCTGAAATCCTCCGCATCATCTACAGATGTGCAGGTAACTTGCAGCAAAAAGAAAACCCGAAAAAAGGGAGGGATCCCCCGACGACACAAGCCGGTAGTGCAGTAGCAAGGTCATCGTGTCCAAGGGGTGCAAGCAGAGCCCAAGGAGCTGGGGCGGCAAAAATTAGATAACCAGAAATGGAGGCGGTGCCTCCATAATAGTGGTTAAACTATTAAGAACAGATACTACACTTGATCTAAGCCAAAAGGCCAGAGTGGTAAGGAATCAACGTGGTCGCAACGAGGTTTATATAGGGCGGCAGCGCGCACGGACCATTTGGTGATGGCATTTGATTTCCCGCGACAGGGGTGTCTTTCTTTACCATTATTTCTTTGTTCGCTCCATGGCCACACCTTCTTTGACCTATAGTAAAATGGTCGGCGGGTAAATGCTTCGTAGTTGAGAAGCGTATCAAAAATATTGATCATCTATAAACTAAGTGTCCTTAGCTCATTGCAATTACGGCTCAACATGCATAGCCGACTCCTTGTAAAAAATCGTCGGCTTACCCATGGACTTACCGCTTAAAATTTTTCAGAATAAATCTCTCGGCCAAAGCATAGTCAAGATAAAATTACAACTCCTAGGGTAAGTATACAGCATATAGGTAGGTATATAGCAAGAGCGGTAAGCAAAGGGGTATATCATCTGATAGAAATCGTTCGAACCTCATCCCCTACTCTCAAATCAATGCCATTAAACGTGACACGTTTCAACAACGGAAGAACGTGCGGGTCTCGCGTTTTCGCGACCAACAAAGAACTCGGATCGACATCACTCAGCATAAGCGTCTCAACCGCCGGAAAAGCAACATAAAACTCTCTCCTCAAATCCTTAACAGGAAGGGACGACAGCCCCAACGATTTCAAAAGCGGATACTTCGGATACGGCGCGCCAATCATCTGCTGAAGAATCTCAAGAGCGTTATCATGGATGTTATCCAAACACAGCTCCTCCAAACGGGAGGTATACGTCATGTTATAAAGCCTGATGAACGCAGCCATAGAGTCGGGGGAAGCCGCGACTTTAAGTCGGGACAATGTGAGATGGGTGAGTTGCGAAACGGTGAACGCGGGTTTTATAGAGACGAGGGGGTTGATAACGTTCACGAAGAGCTCTGTATCCGTTATACTGAGCCTTGTGAGCTTGTTCATGCATGGTACCGGCTGACTAGCCGGAAACCTATAGTCGATGTGTGCGTTTTGGTCGAGAAATCGACCTGAAGACTCGACCAAATCGAGAGTGCGGATACCTTGAAGTAGGGAGGCGTCTCCGAAGGTAGCAGCTGTTCGTACGAGTCGGAGAGATGTAAACGCGCTTTGATCAACCAGGAAAGGTCCAAAGAAGGACACCGGACCCGTATCGCACTGGATGATCTCCAGATGCTCGAGTTTGGGCATAGTGCGATATTTGAGGTGCTTCGCAATTGCATGGATGATAGGATTCCGCGCGGTGATTGTAAGTTTACGCAAGCGCTTGATGTGAAGCACGATTGCCTCGAAGGTGTCACGAAAATCGGGGGCTTCAGCATCACAGGTTGAGAAAAATCGTTGTTCACTGAAGTCGATTCTGACGTCAATGTGATAGTGTGTAGACCGGGAAAGAATGTGTTCTAATATCCGGGGATGGCGAGCGGCGCGAAGGGATATATTGGTCCAGATATTGGGCATGCCTAGGGCAACTTCTCTCCAATTCCTACAGACGCTGGAAATGGTTAATCCCAAAACGTTGTTCGACTGGGAGAAATGGGCGCTAAATATTTCTCGCAGGAGGGCTTTTGATAAGTTGTGAAATGGGCAGGTCCGACGATGGTATGGGGTCATAATGGTATGAGAGGCCATGGAGTGAGCGAGCCTTGACAAATGTCACTCCAAGACAAGGTTTTTCTAAGAGGTTCGCCTTGGTATCGAAAGGTCTGAACAACGTTGTGTATGTGACAGAAGGACAACAACTTGACATTTTGAGCGGCGCTCTGATAGTGACAGCAGGGTTCGAGGACATTGGTCACGAGACTTACCAAACCTCACCAGCAGTGCGGAGAGGTTGAGATACGATCAAGCTAGTATGGTGGCGAGGAGAATTTGAAGGTGAAAGATTTTTGTTTGTCCACGCTGGATTTACCAAACACTCGCTCGGACAGGGGTTCTGGATGCACCAGAAAAAAGTGGCAAAAAATATGGTGAACAAATAGTTGGATTGTAGTACGGTATTAGCTGATAAATAACATCACCACTCAAGCTCAATCCCATTTCGAGATCTTCATCGTACCCTTCTCCATCAAATTCGTATGGAACTTGAACGCATTCTACCATCCCACAATCAGTAAGTATTACCCCCCAAAGAAGAAGCAAGTACGTACCCTCAGCATATGCGGCTCATGACCAGCCCCCCTAGCCAGACATTCCTTTAACGAGCGCTCATAATACTACCCCAACCATCAAACCATATCCACATCAAACGAAAATTGACGAATACACGTACCTCATGCAACATATCCTTATAATCCGGGTGCGCGCATTTCTCAATGATGACCGGCGCACGCTCGCGTGGCGATAAGCCACGGAGGTCCGCGAGACCTTGCTCGGTGACGATGATGTCTAGATCGTGCTCTGGAGAAAGTGTAAGCGTAAGAGTCGGCAGGGAAAGTTGATTGCTGGAAAGACGAACCAGTGTGGTCGACGTGAGATGCGAAGGGAACGATGCAGCTGATCCCTGTCGGGTCCGTCTTGGTTGGTCGGCTAGTAGTGGTGTCAATGGGGAAAGAGAGGGTGATTTGGTTACGACGTACGCCGAAGGGGTATGCATGATGGAGAGTTTAGCGTTACGAAGGAAGTCGCCTGAGCCACCGAGACCGTTCAACATTCTAGGTGACATCAATCAGGGCTCGATTTCGATGTAGAATCGCAGAACGTACCTTGAACCAAGAGCGTTCGTGGAGTTGGCGTGGGCGTACTGCGAGCCTTCGTTAGAGTTTATATGGGAACGTCGGAGGAATGAGACATACGATGTCGACTTCGAGTGGGGTATTCATGGCGATGACTCCGAGACGGCGGATGATCTCGGGGGCATTCGCAACTTGTTGGGAGCGTAAGAGAAGACGGTCTTTGTATTGGGCCCAGTCTAGAAGGAAGACATATCAGTAAGGAGGTACTGGTGACATGTTTCCCTGCTTACTGGCATAGAAGTGGTCGAAGCTTTGGGTAGCATATGGATTGAGTACTCATATCTGAAGAGACAGAACAGGCAACGTACCCCTCGGGCGAGAAACGGATACTGGTCGCAGTGGCGAACTGAAGCTTCCCAGAGTCGAAGAAACGAATAAAGGTATCTGTAGCAGGTTAACATACGCCGATAAGAAATCATCAAGAACGGCCTACCTTGCAATACCTCAGTCCAAACTTGCACTTGCTCGAAAGGACCATCCGCCAAACCACCAATGATAGAATTGGCAACGTTACCAATGCCTGATTGAAGAGGGAGAAGAGACTTGGGGAGACGACCAGCAGCAACCTCCTCCGACAAGAAGTTGATCAGATGGGCTGCAATGGCGCGACTTTCATCGTTCTACATTGCTCATTAGAGCGAACGGAAGAGAAGGGAGAGAAGCGACGAACCTCAGGCGCGTTCTTGCCCGTGTTGTCGGGCACGCGGGACTCAACGATGGCAACTACGCGATCGGGGTCGATGGGGATGGATGTGAGACCTATCCGGTTCATAGGGTTTGTGACGAGCTGTTGGGGATGAGTGAGGGACAAACGCACAACAGAAAAAGATGACTGACGTAGGGTTGTCGGTTCGGCGGCGTGAAAGAGTGGTTGATGTCATGTAGCCCCTCAAGGCAGGGAATGTGGGTATTAACTTCAATAATAATCTTTTCCGCGCTCTGTACTATTTCCGGGGTAGCACCCACCGATGCACCTAGGAACTAGTCAGGATCCGACTCTAAGGAGACCCTAGAAAGTGGGAAGACGTACCGGGAATGATACTCCCATCTTCTGTGATTGCCGTCGCCTCCACGATGGCCCAGTCGAGTGGTTTCTTCGGATCTCCATGCTTCTTTTTGAGGCTGTAATAACCGTAAGTCAAGTCCTGAGGGAACACTGTTTTGACATTATAGAGTCAGTAGAACGATTCAATGATGAAGAAGACTCACTGGAAAGATGCTTGTCGGCGAATTCAATCCGACCGGCATTGATGCCCTTTGAAACCTCTTTTCCGACTTGATGTGGGTATCGACGAGCAATCCTAGAAAGCGTCCAATCAGTGAGGCTCGAGAGTTTGGAATACAATCACATTACATGTCCAGGGATGCCCAGCGATCTTCAACCTCAGGCCCGACAGAAGCGCCCACGAAGAGGTTGAACTTTTTCTTTGTTTCAGGGTTTTCTTGCATTTTGCTCTCTTCTGCCAAGTCAGCCATTGCCTGACAATCATAAGCTTTATAGTTGAAAGGTGGGAAGATATCGTGAAACATACCGTCGGGACAGTTTTGGGATACCCGACTCCAGTGAACCCAGACCATCCAATCTATACAGCTCGTTTAGGCAAGGGAGTTGATGTGGTTCATAAGAACATACATAGTCATCGTTCTGTCAAAGTGTGCAATGAGATAGCGCCCAAAAAAAGTCGGAAAAATAAGGATCACCTTGAAAAGCGGAGCCAAATCCTTCGGATGAGCGAGTTTGCTCAGATAAGCTGGTCGACGAACTCGCTCTCGGAGAGCCGCAGATGCGGTAGCAGGTGCATTGCGAAGGAGGGGTGTGGCTCGCATGGTCGGAATTGCACTATGTTAGATGCGGGGAACGAGGCATGCACCACCACATCTATAAATAATGCAATGAGACAACTTTGACGCGGTAGAATCAATAGGCTTGTAAGGCGGCCGGCTGAAGTTTCTAATGATCTTCCGACCGGCCCTACCCCACTCGTCGAACTTCCTCCGATACCTACAGGCTGGAGCGGGTAAGTATCGGACGTGAGCTGGGTGCTATTCATGGTGTCATTGGTTGAGGCTCCCAGAGACATTCAGGCTGGGAAATTCTTGTCAAAGTGTTATCGTGCTGAGCGTGATTGAGAGCTTACAGTTGACGTCTTTCCAACCAGCCAAGTGATAGTGCAAGATGGGTTCACGTTGCCATGCTCACGTTTCCGAAAGGAACGGACACACGTCACCACTCCCAGTGACCGGATAAACTCCCACGCCGCCGCCTCCCGCAGCCCTTGTGCTTGCCTATGAGTTCAAAGTTGACCGTTGCTCACAGTGAGCACGATGATGAGCCAACTTAGAATACTGATTTTCACAGAAAACGTAAGATCTTTAATATTTCTAACAGCCCATATTGACGTTAGTTATCCTCTTCAGTTGTAAGCCGAGCTCATACGTTTCATTGCTTCTCGATGTTTTTTCTCCAGCTTTTGTCCTCAAACGTCTTCCGTCATGACCTTGGCTTATGTTGCGCAACACTTCGCGGTTGCAATACCTGTTTCCTAGCGCCGACTTAAAACAAGTTCAGGGACATTGGAGTCACAGTCCTGCCGTTGCTGTTATAGAGTCCGGTGGTTTCCTGAGCTCTGCGTCCTTTTTATATTCATGGAAGTCGGAGTACGTCCACAGCCCCGCTTTTAAAATTTGGCCCCAGAATTCAGCATTGACAACAAGAGTCGAGGTTCAATGCTCGGGCCTAGAGCTTGCTCATCCGAAACAGGGTTTTGTCCCCTCACTCTGTTCATTGCTTGGTTAGTATGACCACGCTGTTTTGTTCATTTTGAAATCACATCCCCCCAGAACCCTCGGACATCGCTGCTGCCTATGCTTTAGTGACGCCTTGAGGCACCTCCTCCCTGGCCCCAACTTTGGAACAAGACCACGAGCCCACGTTATCGGTGAATCGTCCCGTTAATCGCTCTTAGTTGGTGGGCGCTTGTGGACGCCTCTTGTTCTTTTTGATCTTTAATACCAGGCTATCGGCCGCTTATCCCCACTTCTCCTGGTGTTTCTTGCGACCACTGCCTTGTGGGCGCAGATTTCGGAACAAGGCCACGATGTCCGTGACTCATCCCGCCTAGCGCATCAGCTCGCATCAGGCGGCCGATCGGTATCCATTTTAGGGAATACGCAAGTTCATAGAACAATGGATTGCTGTGGGGCCACAATTTTAACCCCCTAGAGTCACTTTAAATCAACAATACAGCCATCTAAAATCCAGACTCCGACGACAGTCTTCCCACTTTCCCTTCAACCACAACTTGAACGCGCTTCCCAACGAACTTCGATTACATTCCGCAATGCGCTCGCCCTCCGTCAACAAATTACCTACAGAAATGCTGTGCGAGGTTTTCAAGCTCCTCACAGGATGTGTAGATGGTGGCATTAGCGACCCCACCATGGCAGTCATGGATCCAGACGGGGACAGCAGTGGCATCATAGTCACGCCCCCAGCCGACGCCTTGATGCTTCCCGAACTCACACATGACTCCGAAACCGCGATCGCCCTCTCACACGTCTGCAAAAGATGGCGCAGGATCATGCTCGACCGACCCGTTATGTGGTCACGTCTGCGCATCACTCACAGGCGGCTCTTCTCGGACTGGGCAGACCTCACCAAAGAGGTACTCGAGCGTTCCCGAAGTAATCCACTCCATCTGGACGTGTCCTTTCTAGTAAGATGCAACCCAAACACGAGGGATAACTGTCAAAGCATCTTTTATGCTGTTAATGGCATATTCGCCAAGCACTTAGCGCGTTGTGTGAGTTTGCGCCTGGAGGGACGCCATTGGGCGATCCACTACTTCTTACGGGCCTTGGAATATTACAATTACCAGTCCGACACGACCGCTGGGATCAAGTGGCTCCACATCTTCGAGGAGGTTGATCGGAAAGAGATCAGTCCCAACATACCATTTCAAATATCTCTAATCGCGCCTCAGGTCGTCTCGCTGGCTTCTCAATTCGCTCTGGTGTCCGACTTTCCTACGGGTATGGATCGGATTCTCTTCGAGGACCGTCTGTTTTCCAAGGGGGAATATCTGGACGCTCTGACAATGACTTATGTAAAACACATCATCCTCGCCAACATCGATATCCCCGCTGCGCGCCTTCAATGGGAGGCTGCGCAGGACAGAGTCAAGTATCTCAAAAGGACCGCATCACCCCTCGTCAGTATCATGTTTCGCGACATCAGAGACTCTGTGGGGAGCATCCGTAGCAACGACCGCATTCGCGCTGCCCAGCAGTTTTTTGCGGAAACCTTTCTAGAGCGGATTAGTGAGACTCTGGAGCAAGTCTGGTTTGTCGGTATCTCTGAAGACATTTGGGCTGGATTTATCTCCGTGTGCGACGGCATACCATTCCACTTCCCAAACGTGCGCAGTTTGAGGCTCGAAGACATCAATATGTACGACGGCGATGACGATTTTGACCTTCTCGCGAGGCTGTTCCCTAATTTAACTCGGTTAATGGTGGGGATTATGGACGAATCCCATGGAAAGACTTTGATCAAGCTTTGGTCGTTGGATAAGTCTGTTTGGCCAAAGCTGAAGGAAATTGAATATGATGATGTTTTGGTGGAGAGGGAGGAGGGGATGAAATTTAAAAGGTGGAGGATTCGGCCTACTATGTCGATTGAATTGTAATCATCATGGGACTGGTCTTCGTATAATTAAATCCCATATAAACTATCCTATGCTGGCTATTTAAGGCGGAAGGTTACGGTGATACGTGTCAGTGGGACTGCGGGTGGAATTACTGCAGCTCCATCCATGAGCCATCGTTGCCTCGTCGCGCAATCGAAGACACAATAGCTAGTACGTGGCCATGTGGAGCCGATTGGTCTCACAAACGCGATATCATTAGCGATGAAGTGGAGGGGTCTTGTTTGGTCTCAATGATACAACATGTCTTAGTTCAAAGTTGATTTGACAATCTCGGAAACAATTTCTTGACGAAGGAGCCTATAGCCCAGCAAGTCCCGTACCATAAGCTTCTCTCATCTCTTCTTCAATCATCACCCTTCCCTCTTTATCACAGACCCCTCCATTGCAGCAAATCGGCTGTGCAATATCCATAACCATAGGCTCCTTCAGATGTAAGTACGGCGACGGGGTATGCAGCATGCTAGTCGCATTCTTGCCGCACTTCCAACACTTCCACGCCTGATCTTTCATAATTTCGTCATGGTGTTTTTTGACGAGTTGGGCGAGGAATGCGAGCGTCTTATCCTTTGGCGGAGCAGCAACGGTGAGGGATGCTGGGACGGAGTCTTTATATACGATTGGCTGCTGCCGCCCTATAACTTGAATTTCGTAGTTGAGTGGCTTGATACTCATCGCGACTGTCAGCTGGAAACGAAGGTCAAGTCAAATGTAACGAATGTAGGCAGATGGATGAACCTTTTGTTTTCCGCGGGGGGTACTTGTGAAATGAAACCATCCCAATTGCGAGGCTAAATAAGGTGGAAAATACACTCCTTTCTCCCGCCAATGGTGTCAGGCGGGTCAATTTTGGAGAGCGGATAGGAGTTTGGGGCGAGCGCATGATCATCGTGCCGGGATCCAATGCAAGTACATGAGATACCAGAAGTGAGTGAATGGTGGGGCGGACCCAGGAGTTGCCCAAGATTGATAGTGGAATCCCCGAGCCTGAAGCTTTAGAGTGCAATCCCAGGAGTCGATGTAGAGAGGTTCCTTATGATTGCACCAGCCTGAGGAAGAATACAGAAGTTGAACGGTTTGAAGGTTGGTCAGTTATTTTTTTCCGGTAAACTGATGTTGTGCACAAGGGGCGTAACAAAGCAACTCCGAGCCCTCTGGTTGATTTCTTGGTTCGTGACGGTAATGCTCGGTAATTCTATTCTATCTATCTTCTTCTATCTAATTCTAATCAAGGGGGTGGCGGAACGTGGATTTTAGATATACAGTCGCATTACGAATTAAGGCACCCTCAGCCTACCCCCCCCTACCCCATACCCCCCAAAAAAGGAAACCTCTGAGTTCCTATGTCAAAAACATACTCAAGTAAGTATGTAGTATGTTACATTTTTGGATCTGTTACTACGTGCAACGACACTTCACCCCCATAGTATCCATACAACTCAGACACATCCAAAACTTCGATGAATGGCCAACCTTCACACATTTCGTGGCTCTCGAATTCATCTTTTTGCGAACCTGAATGGTGTTATAAAAAAGTTCGTTGACTTTTTTTTGGCTCTCAGTCAAAATTTCGGATAGTAAATACGCAGATTAAGTGTTTGCCGTGCATCTGAACTTCCCAACTTCTTTGGGGAGCGCGATTTGGCTTATTGGCAGGACTTTTGCAATGTAGGTCACAAAAAATATTTCGATACCCAAGCGGAGCCCCCCCCCCTAACCCTATATCCGGGATCCACGTTCCGCCACCCCCTTGATTCTAATCTAATATATAAATGTACAACGCTTACTAATAATTATGTAATAGATCATGTAAGCAACCTCTTTCTTTATACCAGTGGCTTTTTCTGGAAACTCTGGCCATAGGCAATGTTGTGTTGGTCCTATTAGACCCTACAACTACATTCTGTACTGCATAGAATAATTACCATGCATTTTTGTGGGTACACCTCCTTCAGCACCCTCAATTTCACTTTTTTTTTTCACCTTTATCACCCTTCATTTCCCTCTACACCTGTGTCAAAGTCACTATTAGTGTATATTTCTTCTTTTCTCTTATGGTTAACCACTCCTGCTCCTTTTCTGTCTGATGTTATCCTGCTAGGCAGTTCTTTTTTGACTTTTCTCTTCTGATTTACATTTTCCCAGTACTTGGTGTGGGTGGACATTTTGCTCCTTCTTTGGTGATTTGAAGTTGGCAAAAATTGGAGGACCAAATGCCTCTCTGTGTAAATGTCTGCCAGTTGCTATCAGTCTTTTGCTTTCTTTGCACAGCATTGATATGCGATGGTTTTACAGTTCTTTTTTAAGCTAAGCCATATGATGGAGGGTTAGGCCAATAAATATAGCTAAATTTCTATGGCTGGCTATAATCATGATATAGCATGTAGCTCCATGTAGGTCTTGATCAAAATGTGACTATGATGATTTGAATGGAAGATATGTACGAGAACTGGGAGTGAACATATGTTGGGTGGAGGATCTGGAGGGCTTTCATCTGGCAAGCTGGCAAAGTGTGGTGAGCTTTCTCTTGGGCAAGGTGTGGCCAAGTGAATTGAGTGCTGTGCTATAAGTCCACATCCAAGTGTAACATTGAAGAACTGGGATAAAAAAGAGGATATACATTCAATGACAATCCCAAAATAGGAATTCAAGCATCCTACTTTAGCTGCCTCACAGCAATTGAAGCTTCAAACTATGTAACCACCCTAACCTCCTACATAGGGAGACAAAACATCCCTAATTCTAACCATCAATCCTGACCTCCTAACTGAGAACACACTACCAAGCACACACTACCAAGAACATGCTATCAAGAACATGCTACCAAGAACATGCTATGATTGAATATGTGCACTGAGAACATGCTACCAAGAACATGCTACCAAGAATATGCTACCAAGAACACACTACTGAGAACACACCACCAAGCACACACTATAATTGAATATGTGCATTGAAAACATGCTACCAAGAATGTGCTATGATTGAATATGTGCATTGAGAACAAGCTACCAAGAACACACTATGATTGAATATGTGCATTGAGAACACACTATGATTGAATATTACTGAGAACATGCTACTGTACGATTATGACCACCTCTTCAAGCCGTTTATGGTGTGACCTATTTCGATCAACTCTTCATCACTTCAACATCTGATGTGAGGCATGACAAAGAGTACAGTCTCTTCATCTGTACTTCAGAAAATCAAGAATAGGCTGTCCTTGCAGTCAAATCATCAATGGTGCAATAGGTCTCCTTAGAAATTAGTCTAAGGATTCTTAGTGCTGTCTACACAGCTAGGAGTGAGGCTCAGAAGAATTGGTATTTTAGATGCAAGAGGAAACAGTTTCAAAACCTGCAGTGATGTGTGATGTCATGCTCACTTCCCTTCATTCAAACCCCTCTGTGATGCTTGAGGTGAAGACTCAGTCATAATCGTACAGTACCAAGAATGCACTATGATTGAATATGTGCATTGAAAACATGCTATCAAGAACACGCTATGATTGAATATGTGCATTGAGAACATGCTACCAAGAACACACTACTGAGAACACACCACCAAGCACACGCTACCAAGAACACACTACTGAGAACACACTAACATGCACATGCTATGATTGAATATTACTGAGAACAAGCTACCAAGAACATGCTATGATTGAATATGTGTATGAAAACATGCTACCAAGAACACATTACTGAGAACACACTACAAAGCACACACTACCAAAAACACACTATTAAGAACACACTACCAAGCACATACTACAAAGAACATGCTATCATTGAAGATGTGCATTGAGAATACACTACGAAGAACACACTACAATTGAAGATGTGCATTAGAAATGGGATGGAGCATGTGTACCAAAACTGGGATTAAGCATGTGTACAGGGGAGTCCAGGGGGTGTGCCCCTGGCAAGCTGTGACCAGTGCTGGAGGAATGGCCAAGTGTTAGCAAGACTATTGAGAACACACTACCAAGCACACACTATGATTGAATATGTGCATTGAGAACATGCTACTCAGAACATTCTACCAAGAACACACTACCATTCTACTTCTCACTGGAGAACATGCTGGAGAGCTGATCTTCAATCCTCACATAGATGAGACCCAAGTTCCATTAGTTTTGGAGGTTTGACTTCTCACTGGAGAACATGCTGGAGAGCTGATCTTCATTCCTCAGATGGGGATCATTCCTAATGAGACCCAAGTTCCATTCAAAATTAAACATCTACAATTTCCAGTTTGACTGTGTTTTGCTATGACTATCAACAAGTCACAAGGACAATCTGTGAATTATGTGGGGATAGATGCTCAATCTGCTGTGTTCACCCATGGGCAGTTCTATGTTGCAGTTTCATGAGTAACTTCTGTTCATAACATCAGGATAATATGGGATGATCAACTTCCAATTCCTGTTACCAAAAATATTGTATATCCTGAGGTACTTCTTGACTAAATTTGATATTGTAGATTTATGCTATGATTTTTGTACAATTTCTTTAATTACTGTAAATAAGTGTATGTGAATGAATATAGAGATTGGAATAAAAGAAGTGTACCAGAACTGGGATTTAAGATGAGTACCAAAACTGGGATTAAAGATGTGTATCAGGGGGTCCAGGGGGTGTGCCCCCGGCAAGCTGTGACCGGTGCTGGAGGAATGGCTGAGCGTTAGCGAGTGCCGTGCCGTAGGCACGGGTCTAAAGCTTGTTCAAAGAAATTATTTAATTGCTTACATAATCAACTTCACAAAAATAAGGAGAACGTTGGGAGAACGTCCAGAGCAATCTTTTAGGGAGGCGGGGAGATGATGTTTATTCGACAGATACCAGGAAGCGATGCGAGTGGACTCACAGGGACATTCATAGAGGGCGTATAACGAGAATGAAGTGTCCAATCGACGTTTGAGTGGTTGAGCTTGGGTTGAGCAAAAAAACCGCACTCTGCACTTGGGCCTCTGCTGCGGTACTTCATCCTGCGGCATTGAGCGAGGAGTTGAAAGGAGCGCAAAGG